AACTATATGATGTTTTAAAATTTATTTCCTATCTCAAGTAATATCTTTAACAGTCTCCTTTTTATTTGGCCTCAAGCATGCACTATCTACCATAATAAAAAAAAAAAGAGATAAACAGGAAAAAGACAAATTTGTTAAATTTTTAATGAAAGAAAGAAAGAAATATTTATATTGATATTGATATACCAAAGGATATGAAAAAACAAAAATTTGAGAATTTTTAAAAGCAGCTATTCTACTGTGGCGCATGGTTAGTACTTACTAATATTAATATTCAATATGTCAAGTATTATATTATACACAGTGATAGGATAGGTATTTTGTATTAGTATTAAAATACTTTCTATGGTGTAATATAGATATTACTTAGTGAAGGCATAGAGGCAACACTTTTAATTACAGATAATTTTTTCTTATATATTTTTCGTATTTTATTCAAAACCACCCATTTTTTTTTTCTGTTTTTGGTGTACTAACAAATACATGATATGCATCACTTGAAGAATTTCTCAAATCTCCCAAATAGGTTGGAACGAAAAAAAAAAAAAAATAAATAAATAAAAATAAATTCTTCAGCATTAACCTCAAAAAATAAGGGGAACTATTTCCCCATGAGGAAAAGTTTTAATATCATCATTATCAAGTTTAAGGTGCACCAGGTTGACTAATCTCGTCAATTTTTGTACTAGCTTGTAGTATATTTTAGTTTCAATACCTTGATTGACACTTTGAGCTTCTAACAAAGACCTACGTTGTGGTCTACCCTGCAGGACGCTATAAGCCTGAGTAGCTCTAGTGCCAGTTCCTAAAGGCGTCTCCATTCTCGTTCATTCGCATCAGTTTTATTCTTTTTTTTTAAAGAAAAAAAAAAACTTCGGCGCAAAATAGTTAAAAACGTAATAAGCTCATCTCCATCTTATTAAACTTATACATAACGCATCTCATCGAAAAGTGACGGTTATTAATGCTTTTTTATTTTTCCCATTTTTACAAAAATGTACAAAAAAGGAAAGAAAGAAAAAAAGTATTAGCCAAGCGAAAATTGACCTATGACTTAAGGGACTGTACTATATTTCCCTGCAACCTTTTATTTAAAATGACAATAGGTTTATCACCACTTATGTCTACAAACATCAATGTATAGACCCTTTTTTTATCAAGGTAGTATCAATCAAAAATTATCTGTCTACCCTATTTATCCTGGTCATAAAATATAAATACAACAAAAAATACAAATCGAAAGGCCATATTAATAATGATGACATGAACCCTGACGACCACTGCATCACGGGTGAGTTTTTGACAGCCTCCAAATGTAGTTATTCAAGGCCTGTTAATGAATATATAAAGACAAAAATAGAAACTATCGGGGAGATGGGGCCTATATATTAGTATAGATGCAACAATATGAAGTGAGGGAATAACTGGAGTGAGAATTTAAAAGGCTCAATATGACCCATAAGTGCAATAGTGTCTATTAATTTGAATATTAGACGCAAGTCAAAAGAAATTGGCTATTAAGATGGAATCAGAGTTAAAGTATTTCTATTTCATAGACAAAAACTTCATTGGTTGCTAGGTGTATCCCTAAATTCTAACAGCAATTTGAATTGCGTATTGTGGGCCCCAGTCTCAGTCAGTGATGAGACTGGAACGTTCGGGTATGTGGTCATTCTATGATATACAACAGAACAGAAGACTACACCTATAGCACCAAGTTAGAGTGAAGTACGATTGTCGAGGTACGCAACTCCTTAACACCTAAAAGATAGTGGTATTTTTTAATGCTGATAAATAGAATAAGACAATACAAAGAGGCCTTACAACATTGCTACTGAAATTTCAGCAACATTTTGATGTTGCTAAATGTTGGCATTCAAAGAATTGTTGATGTTGTTACAGATCGCAATTCAAAAAAAAAATAAAAATAAATAAAAATGGATACAGGCTTTGCTGACGTTTGTGCAATACAAAAGAAACAGAATAATGCAGATTCTTTTTAAGAAATATAATAAAAAAAATTTGTTACATATCTTTCAAGTACCAAGCATATCACGGCGTTAACTTATTAATTGGGGAAAAGGAAAAGTTACAATCGGACCCTTTAAAAAAATATTTTTCAAATAAAAGCAACTGAGCATTTGAATTTTTTATTTTTTTTTTTGCAGGGCACAATGGTAAATAGTAAAAATTATATAGGAAACGAAAAACAAAGAAAACAATCTATCGAGTAATAATATAGATTTCTACTTTTGTTGTTGTTAGCGACTAAACCCGATTTCTTTTTTTAAAAATTATTTAAAGCGAACAACAAAAAATAAAATAAAATAAACTTCAGTTACCCAAGTATTATCCTTAAATTACTCTTTTCAAATTTAATACCGCGATTTCCTAATATGATAAAGCAAATACGATTATTTTTTGTTCCATTATTTTTGAATAGTATTAAATAGTTTCTTGGCTATTGTTGTCCAGCCTCTTGAAGTAGCTTTAGACTTAATCAAAAGGAATAATTTTTGACATAGATTGCTTTGTGTAATTTGAAATGATATAAAAATAAAAAATAAAAAATAAAAAATAAAAAATAAAAAATAAAAAATAAAAAATATCATGATATTGTTCTCAGCTAATGATCAAATAATTCAAGTATTGTCACATTCAAAATTTCGTTTTTAAAAATAGTAGCAAATTAACCTAGGGCGTTACTTATCAGGACCTGCTTTTTAAGATTGTTATTATCTCAAAACAAGTGTTCTGATGATTCTTAAGTTCCCATTGTAATATATTAAAATGAGCTTATAAAGAGACATAGTGCTGTTATAAAAAGAAAGACAATGAAAACAATTAATCTTATAAAAAATAAATAGAAAATAATTCTTTAAAATAAAACTAAAAAAAAATTTATACATCTCTACATTTGATTGTATTCCAAAAAAAAAATTTTTTCATTAGAAAAATACTTGTAGAAATATTTGATAAATGAAACTAAATATTCAAACATGAACACTGAATTAAAAAAAAAAAAAAAAACGTTGAGCTTAATATACATAATTAAGTTTAAAGCTGCATTCAAAATTCAGAGAAATAAAAACATTAGGTATTCTAGAATCATGCTAGAATTACATATTGTGGGACATTTTATGACTTAAGGTCGAGTGGATCCCAAATTTTAAATAATAATAATAATAATAATAAAATAAAGATGTAAGTTAGCACATGTCAGATTACAAGGTTTGGAACCATAAGATTGGAACAAGATTATTATTTTAAGCGAAAATCAAATTTTTGAGGTATTGGGAGAAGTGATGATCATGATGCTCCAAACAAGCTCATAAATTTTTTATTTATTTTTTTATTTTTTTATTTTTTTATTTTTTTATTTTTTTATTTTTTTATTTTTTTATTTTTTTATTTTTTTATTTTTTTCAATCTAGAAATTATTATTCATTTTTCTATCAAAATAAAAAAGACATTTTTGCTCATGATGAATTTCCTACATAGGAATACAGAATAAATATTTTTCTTTAGGGAATGATAATTAAACAACCCTTTACCCTTAGGGGATATTGGAACTTCATTAGATTTTTACAAAATTAGATACTTTTCAAGGGCTTATTAACGAATTTTCAATGACTTATTAGAATTTTTTCAATGGCTTATTAGCATTTTGTCAATGGCTTATTTAACCACATCTTTAAAATATTTCAAAATTACGCAAGGGTAAGGGTTAATTATCATTATTATTTTTTTGGTGAAGCTTTAGATTCTGAGACCAAATAAGATAGCCACGAATTCATGCTAAGTTAAAACCTATGGATAATTATAACAATCAAATAAAACGATTTTAAATTCTACTATTCTAAATAATTAAGAATTTCATTTATAAAATCAATGTTAAATTAAATTAAATTAAATTAAACTAAATGGTATATCATATGCATGATTTTTGTTAAGTTTACTCGACCTCCTCGAGCGTAGGATCACGGTCCTCACCTGGAGCACCACTTGCACGTCAATAAAAGCTTAAGTCATAATAGGATTAGTAGTTCCTTCCAACTTCTATTGTCAGTCAGTGGACTCCGCAGTCATAGCATTCTGCTTGATATTATTGTGAAACATATACCATTTCTTGGAATATCACCTAAAAAGATTATGAATGAATTTATTAATTACCAGCCGGGTTCCAATAGGTTTAAGTGAGCCATAGAATTAGAAAGCGATAGATGCAAAAGAATGATTAATAAAGTTTGAATGAGATAATGATGATTATATTGTACATTTAATTAAAATTTAATTTAAATATGATTTGGCACAAAACATTGTAAGATCATGATCAATTGAATATAGATGATCTACTTATAAATCTATCTCTCAATGCTGCAAAATCAAAGTTTTAATTAGATTAAAGAGTACTCTGTAATTAGTTGCAAAGTTAAAATACACAGAGTATTAAAGATTACAAAAAATTAATATCTAAATTTTTTATAATGATTACTTTTTTAAAATTTTAATTGATTGTGAGTAAATGAAAATTAATCATAATTATTATTATTCATTGGAGAGAGATCTTTAAAATCTAACCCTTGCCCTTGTGAGATATTGGAACTTTATTAAATATTTACAAAATTAGATACGTATCTAATTTTTGTTTTCAAGGGCTTATTAACGAATTTTCAATGGCTTATTAGCATTTTGACAATGGCTTATTAGCATTTTGGCAATGGCTTAATAGCATTTTGTCCATGGCTTATTTAACCACGTCCTTAAAATATTTCTGAATTACGCAAGGGTAAGGGTTTATTATTATTATTATTATTTTTTTGGTGAAACTTTAGATTCTGAGACCAAATAAAATAGTCACCAATTCACGTTTAGTTAATGATTATCATGTAACTGAGACAAATTTAAATTCTAAAATTTGAAATAATCAAGAATGTTATTTAAAAAAAATATTTTAAATTAAATTAAATGAGTTATTATATGTACAGTATTTGTTATGTTTAGTCGACCTCTTCAACAGTAGGGCCACTGCCCTCACCTGAAGCACCGCCAGGAGCTGAGCCAGGAGCTGCGCCAGGGAACCCTCCAGGGAATCCTCCAGGCATACCGCCACCAGGAGCACCACCGCCACCTTGGTAGAAGCCTGTCATAATAGGATTAGCAACTCCTTCCAGCTCCTTTTGTCTGTCTGTGAACTCTTCAGTCGTAGCAGTCTGGTTGCTATCAAGCCACTCAATAGTCTCTGTAATTTGCTTCTCAAGCTTCTCACGATCACTTTCAGAAACCTTCTCCTTGAACTTTTCTTCAGAAATTGTATTCTTAAGCGAGTAAGCATAGCTTTCAAGACCATTCTTGGCTGCAATGCGCTTTGATTCCTTCTCGTCCTCATCCTTGTACTTTTCAGCTTCAGAGACCATCCGCTCAATGTCTTCCTTGGACAGACGGCCCTTGTCGTTGGTAATCGTAATTTTGCTGCTCTTACCGGTACCCTTCTCAACTGCAGAAACATTCAAGATACCATTGGCATCAATGTCGAACGTCACTTCAATTTGAGGAACACCACGAGGAGCAGGAGGAATACCAGAAAGCTCGAACTTGCCGAGAAGGTTATTATCCTTAGTCTTGGTACGCTCACCTTCATAGACCTGGATAAGAACACCAGGCTGATTGTCAGCATATGTAGAAAAGGTTTCAGACTTCTTGGTAGGAATGGTAGAGTTTCGGGGGATCAGTTTGGTCATGACACCGCCAGCAGTCTCAATACCAAGGGAAAGGGGTGCAACATCAAGCAGCAACAAGTCCTGGGTCTTTGAAGAAGAAGTGTCACCAGAAAGAATTGCAGCCTGGACAGCAGCACCATAGGCAACGGCCTCGTCAGGGTTGATAGACTTGGAAGGCTCCTTTCCATTGAAGAAATCAGAAACAAGTTTCTGGACCTTGGGGATACGTGTGGAACCACCAACAAGGACGATATCGTGAACTTGTGACTTGTCAATCTTAGCATCACGGAGGACCTTTTCGACAGGCTCTAAAGTGGATCTGAAAAGATCACCACAGAGCTCCTCAAATCTGGCACGGGTGATGGAAGTGTAGAAGTCAATTCCCTCGTAAAGAGAATCAATCTCAATTGTGGTTTGTGCAGAAGATGAGAGAGTACGCTTGGCACGTTCACATGCGGTTCTCAAACGTCTAAGAGCACGTTGGTTTGAAGAAAGATCCTTTTTGTTCTTGCGCTTAAACTCTTCAATGAAGTGGTTTACCAGTCTGTTATCGAAATCTTCACCACCAAGATGGGTATCACCTGCAGTAGCATTAACCTCGAAAATTCCGTCTTCAATGGTAAGAAGAGAAACATCAAAAGTACCACCACCAAGATCGAAAATTAGGACCTTGCGCTCTTCCTTAGCTCCCTTGTCAAGACCATAAGCAATGGCAGCAGCTGTAGGCTCATTGATGATACGCAGAACATTGAGACCAGCAATTAATCCTGCATCCTTAGTAGCCTGTCTTTGAGAGTCGTTAAAATAAGCGGGGACAGTAATGACAGCATCTGAAACTTTACTACCTAAGAAACTTTCTGCGGTTTCCTTCATCTTTGTGAGGACCATGGAGGAGATTTCTTCAGGTTGGAAAACTTTGGTTTCACCTTTGAACTGGACTTGAATGGCAGGTTTGCCATTCTTGTCAATGACCTTAAAGGGGAAATGTTTAAGATCAGTTTGAACCTCAGGATCGTTGAACTTTCGGCCAATTAATCGCTTGGCGTCAAAGACAGTATTTTCTGGGTTCATAGCAGCCTGGTTTTTGGCAGCATCACCAATCAGGCGCTCGGTGTCTGTAAATGCCACGAAGGAAGGTGTTGTGCGGTTACCTTGATCGTTGGCAATGATTTCGACACGGTCGTTTGTAAAATGGGCCACACAAGAGTATGTGGTACCGAGATCAATTCCAATAGCTTTGCTCATTGTTGTTGCTAAGTTATGATTTGATTTAGAGTAGATATTTGTGAAATTATTGTTAGAATAAATTTTTTCTTGTTTTTGTTTGATGAAGATAGAAGAAGAAAAAAAAAAAAAACTTTGATTTAGGGGATATTTGTCTTCCTTTTATATTTGTTGGAGTGGATAGTTGTGATTTCTCGAGATGATTCTACAGCCGCACAGTACCTTCTAGAGCCTTTTTGCTTATTCTGGAAATCTTTGAGTTCAATTTACTTTTGAGGTAGTTTTCTAGTAAGACCTTTACAACTCCACGTTACGAGAAATTTCTCATAAGCATAGCTACTGGTTTTTTATTTTTTGCTATTGTTTTTTTTCCCTCAATATAATGAAAATAAATAAGACGTTTAAACGAACTCAAATAGCATGGACTTTACGAGAACTATCGAGAAACAGTGATCTCTTGGCTACGTGATTAAAATTATCCTGCGCGTTCCATGATCACTAAATCAAGGGTAAGATTTCGAGGGCTATTTTAATTCCATCTTCATTTTAACAAATTTATTATTACTATGAATAGATCCCAGGTGCACCAAAAAATTTTAGCCACAATAGTCCAGAATGTGCCGGTACCTAAACTTCGTAACCAAGAACGTCCGGCCTTCGCTGGGTCCATAGTGGCATGTTTTCTCTTACTAAAAACTCAATTGTTAGTCTTTCAGTCACCCAGTTTTTTTTTTCTTCTTCTTCTTCCTCAACTTTTGTCTCATTTAATACTCACCTCGTTTGAGAACCGACAAGTCAATGTCAGCTGTAATGATCCTTGGTTCCGTATCAACATCCGGTGCTTGTGCCAAAACAGTCCCCCAAGGGTCCACGATAATCGAGTGGCCATAACTCTGACGTTTCCCAGCCTTGTCATGAGTACCGGTAAGAGCTGCCATGATAACATAGCATTGTGTGTCAATTGCACGCGCCCGTGCAAGAATCTCCCAGTGCGCAGCTCCCGTACGTACTGTGAAGGCTGAGGGGAACACAAGAACTTCAGCTCCAAGAGACCGGAGTCGTAAAGCGAGCTCAGGGAACCGAATATCGTAGCAAATGGCGGATCCAAGGCGTCCGATGGGTGTGTCGAAAGGTGGCAGCACTTGGTTTCCAGGCTCGACCGAGTTTGATTCTTTTAGAATAGGACCATTGCTAGGGTAATTAGTAAAAGATAAAAAAAATTGGAAGAACAATAAGGAGACTATAGCTGACAAATGTAAAAATACCTGATATCCACGTCAAAAAGATGGATTTTTTGGTACCGATGACGCACAGTGCCATCAGGCTCAACCCACAACAACGTGTTTTTTACACGCTTGCCACCCTCTGTTGGCTCGTGGACGCCTACCGAAACGTATGGTTTGACTGCGTTTTCTGGAATTTCTTTGAGTCCTGCGAGAATGCCATTTACAAAGATTTCAGAGGTGTCGATAGGTTTGGCGAGCTCAAGGGATTCTGCAGGCGAGCCCGCGATATAATCTGAGGCTTCTGGAAGAAATAATACGCTTGCTCCAGCAGCACTGGCTTTGTGAATTAGAGATTTGATGATTTGCGCATTCTGAGCAAGGTTGGATGTTGCACAAAATTGTCCAACGGCTGCAAGAACCATTTTTTTTTTTTTTTTTTTGGTGGAGGTGACGATAGTGGAGGGGTAGGTGGAACTTATTTTTAAGGTTTAATAAAAAAAAGAAAAAAACCCCTCCATTGAAAGAAAGTACAGCATAAATTTTAGCCCCATAAAAATGCCAAACTTTAACGGTTCTTATCGCGAATAAACGTTTTTTTTTAGTCTTTTAATCAAGAATTATACAAAAGTTATTAAAGCCATTTCATTTTATTCTACAAAAAAAAAAAAAAAAAAAAACTAAAAAAAAAATTGCTTTTTCATGTTCATTTTAATCATTAAATGTCTAATTTTAGCCAATCCCATTTCTGGGTATCGACAATCCGAGCAGTATCTCCAGAATCAACCTTTTTGTCAGTCGTCGGTGTAATCATCTGCTGAGAAAAAGGCATCTGCTTATCACTTTTGTCCTCCGGCTTAGAGCCCAAGCTTTGCTTGAGCACCTCGGGCGAGCGTGATGAAAGTGGAGACATGCCTATTCCATTTTCTCCTGGTGTATGTGGAGTTGTCGGAGCAGGCGAGTTATTGTTACTATTATTGGAATTCCCAAATGAAATGTTTCTCTTAGAAATGGGGGCACTAGAAACAATGCTTCCAGGAGTGGCTGCCAGACTTCGCTTACGGCGGGATTCTTCTTCAGCAGCCTCAGCTTGGGCCTTTGCAAGACTCAGCTTCTTTGAAGCTGCAGCCGCCATTAGCGATGCAGTAGACACAGCCATTAAACTTCCTCTTCGGCTATTAGAGTTTGGCGTTGTTGGAGATTGTGGTGAAGATACGCCTTGTTTCAGAGAAACCCCAGAAGGTGACCGTTTAATGGTCTGTTGTTGCTGCTGCGGCTGGAGTTTACTTAGACGTTTTGGTGAATTGCTCACAGGCGAGTCAGCAGGGGCTCCCGACTGAATAAACTGACTTGTATTGGAAAAACTACCTGGACTCGATTGTATTCCAACACTTTCCGATCGCCGTTTGGGGGCAATTGGAACAGGCTTAGGGTAAATACCAACTAGTGGCCGAGAGCTTCCATTGTTGACACTGCCTGCACCGCCAGTCATAGGCGAGCAAGGAAACGAGCCACATCCGGTTGAAAGGGAACCGTTATTGTTAGCATTGTTTGTACGTGCACGCGCAATAGGGATGGCAGCAGAAGCTGTAGCTATGTTGACTGCCATAGAAGATAATGAACCCGTGTTGGCGTTAAATTTGTTGAAACGGCCGGTTCCCCCATTACCATTGTTGCCGTAGTCGTGTACAACAAACTGATTCATTCCAGCTCGGGGGCCTGCAGATGTAGTTACACCAGGACCAATAGGACCCCCGAGAGTTCCTGGAAGAGGTTCGTTGCCATCTTGTCCCACATGACCAGGCTTGTGGTTTATAAAGCTGGAGGCAGAACCACCACTATTGCTAGCAATATTTTGTGGGAGCGATGAGGAGTAAATTGGAGACACGGTTGTCAATGAATTGCTAACATTGGAGGAAGCCATGGAGTTAAGACGCGAGTTAGACATACGGTTGCGCTTCTTGATGACGTCTGTTTTGAGAGAAAGTGGTCTGACTTCACCATGAAGTTTAAGAAAAAGACCACATGCATTGCAAAGAGGTTGTCCTTCAGGGTTGCGACGCCAAAGAGGTGTGGTACGGGTATGACAGTTTGTGCACTCCATTGGAGTTGAGTTGTCACTAGAGGAAGAAGATGACGAAGAAGAGGTGGATACAGAAGACGACACTGACATGTTTTTTTCAGAAGAAAGAGCGCTTGTGAGATGCGAATTTTTGGGTTTGCCATTGTCAGCTAGAGAAGAGCTGCTGTTGCGTGAAGCAATAGGATCCTTTGCAAGAGCCTGGAGTTTACTTCCGACGCTGTTATTTCTAGAAGATGGGTGTTTAGGGAATGCAGAGGGAGCAGAAGATGGTTCAAGCGCATTGGAGAGTCTATGCTGGGGCTTTGGTCTTGAAAGGTCTTGCTGCTGGAGTTGGAGCTGAAGCTTTGATTTGGTTTGTTGGCTAGGTAAGCTTGGATTTGGAGTCCTGCTTAGGAATCCAGAAGATGAGGATGGTGTTCCAAAAAACTGTAAGTTACTAGTGCTGTGACTGTTGCTCAAGTGTGGGTTCGAAAGGCCGCCATTATTGGAGCCAAAGGAGGAAGAACCAAAGGATGAAGAAAGCGAGGTTAATGAACCAGAAAGAGATGATGCGTTAGGCTGAGAAGCAGTTCGGGCTAGCTTTGACTTGCGAGGTATCAGAACTTCGGTAGTGGTGCTGTTGTTGTTGTTGTTGTTATTATTATTATTATTATTATTATTATTTGGAAGACTTGCAGGGTTCATGCCATTAAAGTTGGAGAAAAAACTCCAGTCTACAGGAGACTGTACGACAGAGCCTGATCTTGATCCAGAGTTTGGTGCTCTGGAAGGTCCGGACAAGGATCCTCTTGTAGAAGGAGGAGGACTTGCAATTAACGAAGTTACAGAAGACTGTCTGCGATAAGACTCCCGAGGAGAAGAAGGAACTGTGTAAGAGGCTGAAGCACCAGGGGACATTGCGTTATTTAAAGCATTTTGAGAAGAGACACTACTACTAAAACCAAATGTGTTTGCACCAGTGGGACTATCTTCTGGAGACTCGCCATCGCTACCACCCAAGTCAAACTTTGCAACTGAAGAAGGGCCATTTGAGTTTTGAGAGGTTGGTCGAAAGTTTGTAATTGTAGTGGAGGAGTTTGAACGGTGGATAGAATTATTGTTGCTACTATTGTTAGAGAACAATAAGGATGCACTAGGGGAACCGGCAACGCGGGAACTGCTAAAAGATCCAATGTGGTGGCCCATGAGCTCACGGGGACCCGCAACGCCAGAAGAAATGTTATGGTCGACAAATCCAGAGAGTGAGGTAGAGGACGATTTTGCGTGTCCAGAGAAGGATGGAGGGAAACATGGTGAGTTTGAAGTGAAAGCTTCTGGAGAAGTTTCGGAAGATAGAGGAGAAGAAGAAGAAGAAAAGGAGTTTGTTTTAAGTTTGTTTTGGAGTTGGAATTGGCGAGAAGAGCTTGGACGATCAATGAATTGTGTTGTGTTATTCGCGCAGGGTTGTTGAGGGGTTTCTTGTGGAGCCAAAGAGTCCAAAAAGGACAATATTGCTTCATCTGAGTGTACCTTATAACCATTATTGTTTTGTTTGGTGGGTGCTGGTGCTGGTGCTGGTGCGATGCCAGTAAGATTATTAGAAGTAGTACCAGAGACTTGGTTTAGAAGAGCAGAAATAGAATCATTTTCATTAATATCATGGAAGGAAGTTGATGAAGCAATTGAATCCAAGTTTTCCAAATTAAAATCCATACGAGGAATATCAAATGGAATAGGTGCATCTGCAGATTCCATTTGTGAAATGAATCTTGAATCGTCGGTATTATTATCCATCGTCATCATCATAACATCTTGAGGGGTGGGTGATCTTGTTTGGGTGTTGGAGACCATTTGGTGTTGTTGTTGTTGTTGTCTATTTGCATCATTTTGGATGAGGTTTTGGAGGTTTTGCTGTGAGATAACTTGAGAGTTGCTTGTCACGTTGTAGGCTACACTACCATTGGCATCTTGTTGATCGTTGGGAATGGGTGAGCCTGATGATGAGGATGCAGAAATGGAGTGATCAGCAAATGACAATGATACGGCTGGATGGTTTGGTGAAGCAAAGTTAGGCACAGCTGGGCTATCAACAACGGAACCCGGAGTAGAAATTCCCAAAAAGACACTTGTGTTATTTAAAGAAGATGATAAATTTCCATTTGGTAAGTTTGAAAAGTTGTTGTTGATGTTGTTGTTGATGTTGGTTGGAAGACCACCTGCTTTATTTTGGAGGTCAAATTCGACAACGTCATTATCATCGGGTGAAAGAAGGCCATAATCTTCTGTTCGCGAAAGTGCAGTTGTTGGAGGAGCAGAAGCGAGAGATGAAGAGTATGGGCCACCATTTCCAGAGGTAGTTGGATGAAGAGAAGAATAGATTGTAGCCGAAATCATTGGACTGTAGTGAGCAGCTCGTTTTCTATTTTTGGAGAGATTTGTAGGTAGTAGGCCATTTAATGAAGTTGATGATGATTGTTGCTGTTGTTGCTGCTGCTGCTGCTGTTGTTGTTGTTGTGTCTGAGGACATATTAGAGGAGAAATGGGGTCGATTGACTCAGGGGAAGTTTCATCAGGAGTATGATTGTGAATAAGAGGAGGAGGATTAGAAAAGAACATTTGGTCTTGGTCCATAGGTATATTTTGGTGTTGCTGTTGTTGCTCAAACTTGATTTTGGACATTCTCCATTGTAAATTGTCTACTCTACTGCGCTTATCCAGGGTCTTTTGGGCTTCAGCCAAAAGATTGGTAAGATGCGATGAAAAGGGGGACAATGTATTTTGCGAGTCTAACGGGTTATTATTATTGTTATTATTATTATTATTATTATTATTATTATTATTATTATTATTATTATTATTATTATTATTATTGTTAGAGTATTGGGGAGAGATATTTTGTTCTATTTGTGCAAATTGTGATTGAATATACTGCAACTGAAGTTGTTGACCTGACATTTGTGGTTGAGTATCTGAGACCAGTGAATAAAGGTTTTGTGGAGGGTTTGTTGAAGGCACATTTTGAAACTGATGTTGTTGTTGTTGTTGTTGTTGTTGTTGTTGTTGCTGCTGCTGCTGCTGTATTTGCTGCTGCTGTTGCTGTTGTTTCTGAATATTAGAAGGCTGTTGCGATTTCTTTTTAGTATTTTGGGTGGTCCGGGAATCCAAAGGAGTAGTAGATGTGTTGAAGAACTGTTTGAATGGAACGCCGGCAGGATTGAACCGCTTAGGCTGACGCTGCGATTTGCTCGACGATGATGAAGACATATCAAAGGAGGATAAGTAATGATATATTCAAAAAAAAAAAATAAATAAATAAATAACAAATATAATAAAATGGTTATAATTATGATTATTTGAAAGAAAGAAAAAGATAAAAATAAAAATAAAAATTTGAAGAAATGGTTAAAAGAAAGAAAAAGATTTTTTTTTAAAAAAAAAATTATTAAAATAAAAATTAAATATAAATATAAAAAAAAAAAAAATTAAAATAAAAAAAATTAATTTTTTTTTTGTAGTTTTTTTTTTTTTTTTAAGTCTTGTCAAAAAAAATTTTTTTTTTTTTTTTTTTTTACCTTCTGTACGGGAAATACACAAAAGAACTTTGTGAACAAGCAGTGCTAAGAAACACACAAGCATTTTTATTTATATATACGTACCTATTACGTAAATAATCCCGTGACTAACGGTTGTTTAACGGCGTGATTTTTTTTCTTTTTTTAGTTGTTACAATTATTTGTATTACATTATTTTCTTTATATTTACACACAAATAGTAGTCAGGTAGGGTAACAAAATTTTTTTTTTTAAAAAAAACTGTCAGAGATCCGGTCACCATTAAGCTCTCGGATTAAAAAAAAAAAAAAAAAATTATAGTGATGTGACTAATAATTATTTAATAATAATGAAAGTATGACATAATTGTTTTTTTATTTTTTATTTTTTTTTGGTAGGTATCAATAGCGGCTGACATTTTCCCTTCTTTCCCCCCCACAATCGCTTAGTCAAGTTATTAGCAATTGATTAGTAGTTTGTCATTACACTATGTCAGCTACATTCTAATTGCATATTTATATACATATATATGTGTTAAAATATAAAAAAAACTTTAACCCTAACCCCAAATGACTAAGCTACAACGCGTAACTTTTAAAATATGAATTTTTTGTCTCAACGCGTAGCAAACACGTCCATTTAAGGATTACGCGTTTATTTACAGCCGTGCAGGGTTTGTAGATTTGTGGATTTGTGGGTGTGTGTGACATTACAAGCGAATTCCACAGACCAGACAAGCAATTGGCACAGCAACAAGGAGCCTCAATAGAGACTAGTAAAATAAACGAAATAAATAAAAAAAAAAAAAAAAAAAAGGAGGCATTTCAATTAAAAGAAAATCATTAAAAAAAAAAATTGATTATGGAATAGACAATATAAATATATATATATATATATATGAATAAAAAGCAAATGATGATTATTATGTAGAATTACAATTTGGTTTTATTTTTTTTTTTTATATAAATTGAGTTGGGAGTTTTCAGCGCGAGGTATATAAGCCTTACTATTAGTAGTGTTTATATGAGAGAATGAATGTTTACCCACCCATGTAAATTATTATTATTATTAGTTTCTATTAACAACTACGCGTGTATAGGTGAATTCCAGAGTCAAAACAAACCTCCTTTGCTTCTTCTTCTTCTTTTTTTTTTTTTTTTTTTTTTTTTTTTTTTATAACATACAAAATTTTTTTTTTTTTTTTCTTCTTTCATAATCTTTTTCTTCTTTATTTCCATCTTCATCTTTTTTTACAATATTTCAATTTTTATAATAAATCGTTAACATCAATTATTAAACACGCGTGTAAAAGAGAGTATTAGTTCCATTAAAAGACATTTTCTCTTTTGCTTTATATGGAACAAAAATGTCATACTCTCCGCCACCACAAGGGGCTCAGAATGTCCAGCATCAATATACCCAACAACAACAACATCAACATCATCACCATCATCATCACCATCATCACCAACAACAGCAGCAGCAACAGCAGCAGCAACCAGCTCCTCAATCTTCAGCAGCTTCCCAAGCTCCTTCTAACAATGTAAACCGCAATTCTCAGGCCTCCTCTGCGTCTTTCAATCCTGATGATCCATCCCAAAAGCGACTCTCTCAAGCTTCTTCTTCCTCAACTTCCAAGCGTACCAAAACCCACATTGGGCCTTGGCGACTTGGACGAACTCTAGGTCGTGGGTCTTCTGGCCGTGTTCGTCTGGCTAAACATAATATCACTGGCCAGCTTGCTGCGGTCAAAATTGTCCCCAAGTCTCTGGTTTCTACAAATAATAATGATTCAAACAAAGAAAATCAAGCAGACTCACAAAGAGATGCAAATGGCTTTTCTTACGGCATTGAACGTGAGGTCATTATCATGAAGCTCATTGAGCATCCTAATGTTATGGCTTTATACGATGTCTGGGAGAACAAAGGCGAGCTGTAAGTTTATTTTTATTATTATTTTTTTTTTTTAAATACCACACCTGCAATTGTACATTCCAGCACATTTTGAAAATATTTTTCAAACTGCCTTGAAAAAAAAAAAAAATACTCTGGTTACTAACCCACGTCACCAACACCAACACCAACACCATTATCATCATCATCATTATATACACCAACATTTTCTAACAATTCAAATGTTTATTTTTCTAGATATCTCGTTCTTGAATACATTGAAGGAGGTGAGCTCTTTGACTACCTCATCAAAAAGGGTCGTCTCGAAGAGCGAGAGGCTCTCCACTATTTCCGCCAAATTATCAATGGTGTCGATTATTGCCATCACTTCAATATTTGGTAAGTCTCTCCTTTACCTAAAAAACTACCCCAAACTCTAACCTAAAAATTCTCAAAATTCATTTTCCCTCTTTTATTTAGTCATCGTGATCTTAAACCTGAAAACCTCCTTTTAGACAAAAACCGAAACATTAAAATCGCTGATTTCGGTATGGCTGCGTTGGAAACCTCTGACAAAATGCTAGAAACTTCATGCGGTTCCCCCCACTATGCTTCCCCAGAAATTGTCTCCGGTAAAAACTACCATGGTGGACCCTCAGACATTTGGTCTTGCGGTATCATTCTTTTTGCTCTTCTCACTGGCCATTTGCCATTTGATGATGAAAATATCCGTAAACTTCTTCTCAAGGTCCAAGCAGGTAGATTCCACATGCCTCATGACCTTTCCATAGAAGCAAAGGACCTCATCTCTCGTATGCTTTGCGTCGACCCGGACCAACGCATCACAATGCCTGAAATTCTTAACCATCCTCTTCTCAAAAAATACCCCTCAAAACGTGCAACAAGAACTTATGACCAAATTAACAAGCCTCTTTTGCCCATGTCTGTCTCTAAACCAGTCAACTCTAGAGAAGATATTGACCAGGAGATATTGAAAAATCTCCAAACTCTTTGGCACGGTGCAGACAGAGAAACCGTCATTTCTAGACTTTTGTCTCCAGACCAAAATGCAGAAAAAACCTTTTACTGTCTTCTCATGAAGTACCGTCATGACCACCTCGACGACGCAAACAAGCCTCCTGTTCCTCCAGCAGCTCCTAGCATGAGCAGATCTTCCAGCAAACAAGCCATCAAGCACTCCGCATCTAACCAGCATCTCAACTCCAGCTCAGGAAGCCAGCATCATCACCACCACCACAGCAGACGATCGTCTCATGGCAGACAACCCAGCCGCGTTTCTCGTCATTCCAGAACTGGCTCCAAAAGCTCAACTATCACTGCATCTTCCAGCCACAAGCGCGGAGTTTCTTTCTCTTCCATTAAGCAACGCACAAAGTCCAGTAACTCAATCAAGAGTAACGCCGGTTCCGTGTCTCGTCCTGATTCTCCTCCTCCACCAATGCCTTCCGATGCTGTTGAAATGCAAATGCAGGCTTCTGTGGATCACTCTCAAGATAACTCCCAATTCAGTTACGCCGAATATGACGAAACAGCACAGTATTTCCAAGAACAAGCGTTGCCTCAACAGCCAACTCAAATCGTAGAGGACCCCTTGAAAGAAGATGAATGGACAAAGGAGGCCAAGCGAACTTCTTCCGAGTTTGCATCTATGCTTGAGCATGTCTTTGATTTCCCTTCAAATTCTCCAGCCCCCTCAGTTCCAGTTCCACCTGTACCTGTCAAGGCCCAATCACAGCGCAGAGATACCCGCGTTGTTTCAGACCCATTACCTGCTTCTTACAATGTGGACCCTTCTAACCTTGATGCCACTATTCTTACAGATGCTAATGTCACTGAAAGAAGAAGAGTTGTATCCAATTTTGTTAATCCTACTGCATCTAGTCTTGATCCCTTTTCTGCAGGCTTCAATCCTCAACCGTGTGCTGCTGCTATTTATTCATCAAGTACTCATTCCAGCTTGGATAATATCCAACAATCTACTGAGCCTTCTCTTGACTTTGCTGCAGATGAGTCACTTGCCGCTGGCTTGTTGAATGTGGACTACTTGTTGCCCATGATTTTTGAGGAGGATGACCGTTTTGCAGATGCCATTGAGGAGGAGATGGACATCCACTTTAATGAACCTAAACCAAAAAGAATATCTGTACAGAAACCACCTCCTAGTATGCCCATTAATGTGCCAACTCAACCGAAATCTATTAAACCTTCGACAGGCCAATCCAGAACTGACTGGACCCGAGCTCGCAACCCTCACCTTCAAACACGTCGCAACAATAGCCAGCGGTACTCTACTACAGATCATAGCCATTTGCATAGTGATGCTGAAGACGACTTGAATATGGCTCCATTTGATGAGTCTGTTGTGGAAATTGGCTTCAACGGAACTGGAATTGTGGGAGTTGGTGTTCATGATACTTCTCTTACTGCTTTTGATACAAGCGAAAGTGGTAGCATCGACAACTCATTCAGCAAATCTAATACTGTTACCTACCAATCTGGTACATCAAACACTCACGGTGATATTTCAAACACTTCTGCTTTATCTGGAGACTCGTCACGACTTAGAATTTCTGGCTTACTCAAGACTGAAAGCTTCAAGGCTCGTGGGTCGTTTAGCAACTTTAAGACGCCATCTATGGTTGATATTGTTGAACAACGGGTGGTTCCTGAGTACCAGCTGAATGTTGCAAATGATATTCTTTCTTCAGGTTCTTCCAAAGACCACCAGAATACTCATTTGCAATTGTCAACTTCTTCTTCACCTCGTCAAAGCTCACTTCATGAACAGACAAGCGAGCCCGCAGTTGAGCAGCAACCTTTGTCTACTTCAGCTCCAACTCACATTGAGACGCCGAGCAACAGTAATACGGTTACGACAAACGAGCAGGAAAAGATGGATGTTGATGGAATGCCCAAGTTTATGGAATCACCAAAGATGAATACGCATTCGTTCATTCCATCTCTTTCAACACAACAGGCCCAGGTTTACCAACCGCCCAACATTGTCAAGCTTGGGGATGATTCCAAGGCCAGTTCAGGCCGCAGTTCAAACATTCTTCGCAAGTTTTCTCTTAACCCCAAGCGCCAGGCACCTGCTCCTCCAGCACCCTCTGCATCGTCTAAAGAGCCTACATCGTCGAATCTTGCACCATCCCGTACACCTACGCTTGCTGCTACACTCACCTCTGGAAGTACTTCTGGAGCTACAGCTACACCTAAACCTAAGATTGTTGCAACCAAGTTGCCTGTTGTGTTGTTGCCTACGCCGCCGCCAAGCGAACCTCAAAGCCGTGTGGCCAGTGGGTCTTCTCAAATGTCTACTGCCACAACTGCAGTTTCATCAACTGCACAGGCCCACTTTGAAGTTGCTCATCCTGCACCTGTTACTCGACCAATGGCTTCTACGAGTACATTGGTTTCCACAAAGCCTGCCAACATGGCTACAATCACAATGGCTCCCAAACCAGTTTCGGCAACGGTATACAAGTCTGAACCACCTAAGCCGTCTCAACAGCAGCATAATCATCAGGCTCATATTGATCCTTCTCCCGTTAAGCAAAACTGGTTTATGAAAATGCTTAATTTACGAACAGAACCCGAGACCGATAGTGGTCACGGTGCTGGTCATGGCAATCGGAGCCGGAGTCGCGGCCGGATGCCCGAAAAGATTTCACCTACACCTTATGAACTTCGTATTGACCATGATGGTAATAATGGTGGTCGATTTATGCAGCCTGGAACACCCACTACAGTGAGCCAAGCTGGGACCCCAGGGTACAAGTCGTCTCGTGGATACTATTCGCTTTTGACGGCGCCACAAGTGCGGCGACACGTTGTGGAGGTGCTCAAAGGATGGGAACAATATGGTGTTAGTGGCATTAAGATTTCGGATGGTGAGGTATCGAGCAACGGAGCTAAGGCTATTATTGTGCGTGCAAAGATTTCTTCGCGTAATGCCTTGTCTTTGCGTAGTACGCGATTCCGGGTGGAGATTGAGGCTCACGAGCTGAGATCGTACATTGCAGTACCTGCTGCTTCTTCTACCAAGACCAAGGCCCCTCCTGCACCAGCACCAGCGCCCATGCCAACACCAGCACCAGCACCACAACAGTCGAAGAATGTATTTAAGAGACTTTTTGGAGGTTCCAAGAGCTCTAAGAGTGAGCAGCATGCACCAGCTCCAGCACCAGTTTCGGCACCTGCACCTGCACCTGCGCCAGCGCCAGCAACAACTACAACTACAACTACAACTACAACTACAGCATCCACGACCAAGGTCACGAGCATTTTGATTATTCAGGAGCGTGGATCTTTGTCTACATTTGGCCGGTTTCTTAAGGAGATGGAGCAAGCTCTTGAGGCTCGCAATGCGATTAGTGGGACCTCGACAACTGCGATTTTAGGGCAGAAACTTTCAGCAGCCACGGCTACGGATCCATATTCTTCAGGAACTACAACATCTGCTAGAACTACATCTACGACAAGACCCATTAGCAGCACCAGCAGTGCATGGCGGCCTGTATCGACGGCGTCCGATAGCAATCGGAACAGTACGTTTAGCGGGTACAATATGGGTGGAGGCAATGGATCACGACCGACGTCTGGGTATACATCTGGGTATACGACAGGACATGAGAATGATTTTGAGGACGAGGAGGTTGTACTCATTGGGTCTGGATATCCAAAGTCGTCTACAACTGCACAGTACAAGTATACTTATCATGATACTGCGGGTGCTGGGACTTCTGGAAATGAAACCAACAGTAATAACAAGAACAGTCAGGGTCTTGGGATAGTTGTTTAAACAACAAAAATGAAAAAAAAAAAAATGAAAAAAAAATGCATTTTTATTTTACAAAATTTAAATTTGGTTTGAAAGAAAGAAAGAAAGAAAGAAAGAAAGGATTATTAATTTTTATTTTTATTTTTAATTTTTTTGAATATTTGGACTTGGGAATTATTATGGCCATAACATGATGCCGTCCGTTGGATATAATTTTTTTTTTATGTTTTTAATGTTTATTTTACTTTACAGTTTTCTAATACCCTAATGATAAATTTATTAATTTCTATTGTGATTGATGCAACTGGTAGAAATTAGTGAGTTATATATATATACAAGAAACGATTATATAGGAAAGAAGAAAAAAAAAGATATATATATATATATATATTTATAAATGCAAATATGAATTTAGTATAATTTTCTAATTATTATTAGCCTTTAGGATTGATTGCCCTCAAGTTTTTTTTTTTTTTTTTTTTTTAAAGAATATGCCTCAACTTTTTGTTTTTTTTCCCCTTTGTTTTTGAATGATTAAAAATGAATTATTTATAGAAATATTTATTGTAATCAAAAAAAAAAAAATAATTTTTTTACGAGTATTTTGAAATGTTTTTTTTTTAATTTTTTTTTATTTTCTTGGCTTTTTTATTTTATTTTTTTTTTGAATGGATTGGAATGAATTGGAATTGGAATTGGAATTGGATTTGGATTTGGATTTGGAATTGGAGTTTTTATTTTTATTTTTATTTTTATTTTTATTTTTATTTTTATTTTTATTTTTATTTTTATTTTTATTTTTATTTTTATTTTTATTTTTATTTTTATTTTTATTTTTATTTTTATTTTTATTTTTATTTTTATTTTTATTTTTATTTTTTTATATTTGAAATTCCTTTCAAAACAAACAGAATGGACCAAAATATGTTAGTCAGTTCTTAGTCAGAAGGCATATATATATATATATTTTTTTTTTTAAATTTGTCATTGCTGAGTCATTTAAATGAAAGGAAGTCGACATTTTTTTTTTTTGTTTATTTTCAACATCAAAAATAAAAATAAATAAAAAAGAAAATCTCAAGTTTTTAATTTCTATGAAAGTTTTAAATTTTTTTTTTAATTATAAAAGATGGTTTAAATGATGGTTAATATATATAACTTGTATAAAAAATTTCTAGCATGAAAGTTTTTAAATGGGAAACTTTTCTCCGAAGCCTTTTCTATTCATTCAATAAAGTTTGTCTAAAAGACATTTCAAAACCACCAAAAGAAGACTTGGAATTTATATTATTTATTATCATATCTTTATAAATTCAAAGTCTTTTATAAATATTCAATATATATATATATATATATATATATATATATATATAAATACCAAATTACTTTTTTTTTTTTTTTTTTTTTTTTTTTTTTAATTATTTTGGTCTTTTAAAACCTTTTCTATGCCAAATAAACGCCAAGATTCATCGTCGTGGGTTTTGGTGTAAATTTTTTTTTTTTTTTTTTTAAATAGTTGTTGATATATTAAAATAATTTTGCACCACCAAAAATAAAAAAAAAAAAAATTTCCCAACACCACCCTTTTAAAAACTCTAAAACAACACCAAAATATCTGGGATTCTCCACCATATCACCATTTTCTTTTCTTTTGGCAAATAATTCGCACCACCACAGACTTACAATCTCTTTCTACCATTACCACTAAATAGCAGCACTTTTGAAAGGACTTTCCTTCCATACGCTTGTGCTTGTGCTTCATCTTAAAATACTTTTTTTTTTTTTTTTTTTTTATTCTTCTTATTCTAATCAGTCTCCGGCTGTCTCTTCATCGAATCCGCTTAATTACCCCCTCATTATTATTTTTATTATTAAATTTTTTAATATATATATATATAGACGTGATAGAGTAATAATATTCACAACAATATATACACAAACACCTTACATTTCTCATGTCTTTACGAAGCTTTCATCACCATTCTCAGCAGCAACAGCAACAGCAGCAGCAACAGCAGCAACAAACGCAACAACAACAACAACAACAACCACAACAACAGCAGCAACAACAACATCAGTTCGCATATGCCCCACAAAACTATGGACTGAGAAACTCTCGTCAGGTAGACCAACAAATGGGTTTACCTTCGAGATCTCGCGACTCTGCATCTACCGGATTACTTCACATGGCTACTGGTCCCGGAGTTTCTCCGGATTCTCACGATGGAGGTAATACCTCGAATTCAATCAATACCAATACCAACACCAATAACAACAACAATAATAATAATAATAGTGTTAACAACAGTAGTAGTAGCAATAACAACAACAACAACAACAACAACAACAACAACAATAATAATACTAGTAACAGTAATAGCACTAATAGCGGTAATAACAGTAATAATAGTAATAATAACAATACCAACAGCTCTAATAACAGTGGTGCTGCTGGTGCAAACGGACAAAATAATCCAAATAATGTGGCAGTGGCAGCAGTGACAACTGCTACTGCATCCACCAGTAACCCCACGGGCGACAATTTGCTTGCGTTCCCATCATCACTTCCACACCAAACAAAACCTACCCATAACATACATCGGAACCGACTCCAAAACCTAAGCGATTCTTTATCAGTGCTGGACGACTTTGCTGCACGGACCAGTGCTTCGGGTGGTGGTAATGGTGGATCAATACCCGGGGGGCTTGGACCTAATGGGAGCAATATCAGCTCAGCCAGCAACATCAATAGTAATAATAATGATGGTCCAGCTTCTTCTCAAGCGAGGTCTTTTCATCATTCAAGACAACAAGATCCATTTAATGGAAATAGAGCATTTCATCACCCGGATTCGCGTAGAGATCTTTTATCAATCCATCGACAACAACAACATCAACAACATCAACAACATCAACAACATCAACAACATCAACAACATCAACAACATCAACAACATCAACAACACCAACAGCACCAACAACAACGGCAACAACACCGACAACTACATAACCCACATTCCATACTACATCACTCTCAACAACAGCAACAACATACTCACAGTTTCCATTTAAATGATCCACCTGAGGATGACAGCCCAGAATTATTGTTTTCTACTACCTCGCAACAACAGCCAAAAGATGATGCCAATAACGACACAGGTCATCGCCAAACCCATTACGCGACCCATCACAATGGATCTCTTCTTGGAGGAGGACCTACACCACAAAATCCCTTAAAACGAAGGCATGAGGAATCGGACGAAAATCAACTAATTAGTGGATCAACCAATCCTTCAGAAAAACCGACTCAACAAAATGATGAGTCCTCAGTAAACAACAATTCTACAAGTAGTGCTAATAACAATAACCAATCATCCTCCAATAAAACTGGTCGTGGATCATATGCCAAATGGACCATCAGCCAAACGTGTGTTGTTTTTGATTCACTGCAAAGAACAGTCAAGGATTGCGACGCGTCTGAGGTCCGATGGTCTTTTAGCAGTAAGATTTTGCAAACCGTTGCTGCCGAATTGATGCAACACAATGCCCAAATTAATGCCAGTGACAACCGGTCTATTTCTGTTTTAGCCAACGCTGTCAAACATCACATTCGCAATACCAAAGACAAATACATGGTCTACGCAGCGTTAGGTCGTCAAGAAGGCGTGACCTTTGACGAGGACGGCTGGTTACAGTGCCACGATCAAGCTATTCAAAAACGCCTAAAGCATGCCAAATATTTCCGCGAGCCTTTCCCGGTCAAACGCCAGATTGAAAATATTTTACAGATTCGACCAGAGCTTGCAGAGGCTCTATCGTTACGTCTCAATATTAAAGATGATGATGGAGAAAATGATGACAGCGATAGTGATGATAATAGTAATGCCAATTCTCGCGAGCAAATCATTCCTCGCACAAATAATGCTAGCAGCAGTAGCAGTAGCAATAGCAGTAGCAATAGCAGTAGCAGTAGCAGTAGCAGTAGCAGCAATAGCAATAGCAGCAGCAACAACAACAATCGACCCCAACGAACGCCTAATCCAGCAGCTACTTTGAATATACCACGTAACAATGTGGATGCAGGAGCGAAAAATCTGCAATCCCCACAGCTCCGTGGAGCAACCACAAACGGCATTGTTATTCCTGGGAATAATAATCGCACTGGAAGTGGAAGTGGAGGTGCAGGTGCAGGGTCTTTAAGCAATACGGATGCTATGGTGATTGATGACCCTACTAATATAGGGTCTATGAGTAACAATACCAACAATACCAACAATACCAACAATGGCACCAATAATAACGCCAACAACAATAATAGCCCTAATATGGGAGGTGTACAATCTCGAGTATCGTTGAACCAAGGAGTTGACTCGCTGGGTTCATCATCTGCTGCGGTGGCTATTATGGGTGGTGCTGCAGCTTCGACGGGACGCAACAATCAACTTTCACCTGCATCGCAGCACATTCAAACGACGTCGTCACCTCTGCGGAATCCCTCTTCACAACAGCTTCATGAAAATAATAGTAATAATAACAATAACAACAACAACAACAACAATAATAGCAACAGCACCAACAACAATAACAATCAGTATGGAGACTCTGGTATGCCATTGTCGTCACCAAATAGAGCCTATGCCGCAATTAACCCGGGAGGACAGCCTCATTTGAATCAACATTCAATTGGTAGTAGCAGCAACGGAGGAGGTAATGGTGGTAGTAATGGTAGCAGCAGTAGTAGTGGGATAGCCATTAGTCCCAATTATCCTGGAAGTGATGGTGCATCCACAGGGTCTTCTATCCGTTCCAGAGGTTCAGGCTCAAACAATAACAATAGCAGTAATTCGGGTACTAAAGAAATTATGGTTCCTGGTCGCAAAAATAGTAGCAGTGCTCAGGCGACCTCACCATTGTCTCACTCGCCTAATTCCACCAGCACCCTGTCGACGCATTTGTCGATGGGCGGGTCGTATAGCTCGCACATTAACACATTGCATCGAACAGACCAGAGTGGGTTTGCAGATAATCCATCGTCCCAAACAAGCGCAGGGGGGACTGGGAATGGCAGTGGTGGTAGTAGTAGTGGTAGCGGTAGTGGTAATGTGAGTAATAGTAATGGCGGTGGACAATCGTCATCATCGTCTATTTTCAAAATATCGTCCACCACTGCTTCTGGACAATTGAACCACCAACAGGTCGGAATGAACCAACCAGAGTCTGTAAGGGGTTCCATGATTGGGTCTTCACACCGCCAACAACTTCAGCAGCAGATTATACATCAACGACAACAGCAGTTACAACTACAACAGTTTCAACAGCAACAGCAGCAGCAGCTACAGCAACAGCAACAGCAGCAACAGCAGCAACAGCAGCAACAGCAGCAACAGCAGCAGCAACAGCAGCAGCAGCAACAGCAGCAGCAGCAACAACAGCAGCAACAACAACAGCAGCAACAACAACAGCAGCAACAACAGCAACAGCAGTTATCTACACTTGATACACATGTTCCTGATATGGCCAATTATTATTTACAAAAATACCCTACACAAACGCGTGGAACATTACTAGTCATGTTTTTGTATGGTGCTGAAAAGGGACGTGAAATCATGGAGCTAGCCAACAGACACCCGTCGCGTGAAAAGTTTGATAACCTTGAAGATATTTGTCTTTACTGGGCGGTTGAATTTTTGCAAGAACTTAAGGATGGACCCAAGTATGGGGCCATTATGTCTCGTATCAGTCAACTAGATGGTCATCACTCGTCGGTTAGCGGTGGCAGTGGTGGAAATATTAGTACCAACAACGCCAGCAACAGTGGCAGCAACAACAGTAGTAGTAGCAGTGGTAACAATAACCATGGAGCTAATGTTAATCGCACTACTGGGAATCTTCCGAATACTGGTGTTAGCAGCAGTAAAGATGGACCTAACTCTGGGACCAGTAGCAGTAGCAGTGGTAACAGGAACAGTGCCAATGTGGGGAGTAACGGAGCCTACGGGGGGTTTGCGTTTGAGCAATATCAGATGATTTGATAAATTATTTCTAATAATTGCAGAAACTGAACAAGAACCGGTTTCTTGTCTGCAATATTGGGGTTATAATAATGTGATGATGATACAATTTTAAGAACCTTTTTAATCCTTATAAGGAATAATATCATACAAAATAAATTGGCAAAGTCTTTTTTCTGGGGTTTTTTTTTCTTGTTTTTTGTTTATAGTAACTGGTTATCTTTTTATTTTATTAATGACATTTATGAATTTTTTGTTTTTTCTTTAAACTTGAATGACTAATTTTAAATGAGATATATATATATATATCAATGACTAAATTTTTTTTATTTTTATATTTCAATGATAAAATAATTCTTCAAATTTATCTTCAAATCTTTTTTTTTCACTTGTCTGTATCGGTGTCCCGAAGAATTTCTTGGTTTTATCAAATTGACTGCTGAAAAAAAAAAAAAAAAAAAAAAAAAAACGCCATTTTGAAGGTACGGCAAGTGTAAAATTAAAACAATGCACGTGATCAAACACCGTTTTTTTTTTTTTTTTTTTTTTTTTAACTTTTCTTCCATCAATAGCATTTTTTAATTTCTCTCTCCCCCCCCCACGCTCAGAGACATAAAAAAAAAAAACTGTTGGATCCCCACACACTTTTTGCTATTTAATTAGTCACTTTTAATTTTATTTTTTGACAATTATATATATATAAAGCCATCTTTTCTCTTTACTTCTTTTCCCTATTCTACCTATTTTAAATAACCATTAAACTATTCTATTTATCTATTAAAAATGGACTCAAAGTTCTCAGAAACTACAAGAAGATCTGTTGTCTACTCTAATAAAGGTATCGTGGCTTCCTCGCAGACTTTGGCATCTGCAGCCGGTCTTAGAATCTTAGACCAAGGTGGAAACGCAGCTGTATGTCTATTATTCATTTCATTTCATTTCATTTCAATTTTATTTTTTATTTATTTTTTAATTAAAGAGATTAACCACGTCTATTCTTTTATAGATGGCTGCCGTTGCAGCTGCTGCCGTCTTGGGACTTTTGGAACCCCACATGACAAGTCCTGGTGGTGACATTTTCACACTATTTTACGACTCAAAGTCCCAAACTGTTAAGGGAATTAATGGTTCGGGCAGATCTCCTCAAAATCTTTCCTATGATCAACTTGTAAAAGATCTCAATTCCATCAACAATAAAAATACAAGTGGTATTCCAGGGATTCCTGCTACCCATGTACACTCCGTGACTGTGCCTGGTGCAGTTGCCGGCTGGATAGATACTGTCGATACATTTGGAAATGGTAAATTGTCATTGGCCCAAATCCTTGAGCCCGCTATTCGGCTTGCTCGTGAAGGTGCGCCTGTTCCTGAAGTTTCTGCAGGACTGTGGAAGGCTGGTATCAAGAAACTGGTGGCTGTCGAGCGTGCTGGTAGTGATAACACTGATGGCGGCAATGCTTTACTTCTTCCAACAGATAATGGTTCTCAAGAAGACAAATTTAGAGCGCCCGAACCAGGTGAATCGTATGTCAACGAAGACTTGGCCAAGGTTTATGAGAAAATAGCAAAAGAAGGTAAGGCTGGGTTTTACAAGGGCGAGGTGGCAGATAAGATAGTGGAGGCTGTCAAGGCTCGTGGGGGGTACTTGACACATGAGGATTTGGCGGCACACGAGTCGACTATTTTGGATTCTGATGATGCCCCACCAATCTCTACTACTTGGAAGGTCCCAGGTTCCGCAAAAACCTTACGTGTACATGAAATTCCACCCAATGGCCAAGGTATTGTTGCACTCCAGACCTTGGCTATTCTTCAGGCTTTAGAAAAGTCCGGCAAACTGGGCCAGTCTCTTGGTTCTTATACCCATAACTCGACAGAGTATTTGCATCTTTTGATTGAGTCTCTTAAGAGTTCATTCCGAGATGTCGGATCGCGTGTCATTTCAGATCTGAGCGCAGCTTCTAACAAAAATGTGCCTGCACCTGAAACTTTTTTGACTGAAGAATACATTAATGCTCAGCTACAAAATTCTACTACTAGCAACATTAAGTTTGATGCTTCCAAAGCCTCAGAAAATGTAGCGTATCTTGGTTCCAAGTCAGATACCGTGTATCTGACAGCTACGGACCAATGGGGAAACGCGTGCTCTTTCATTAACAGCGTCTATGGGCTTTTCGGGTCAGGTATTGTACCGCGTGAGTCTGGGTTTGTTTTGCAAAACAGAGGCGGCAACTTTAACTTGATCAAGGGCAGTGTTAATGTGTATGAGCCTGGAAAGAGACCTTACCATACCATTATTCCAGCCATGGTGACGGTGGATCATTCTGAGGGAAAAAAGGGTCTTAAGACTGGGGATTTGTATATGACATATGGTGTAATGGGTGGGTTTATGCAACCACAAGGTCATGTCCAAGTACTTTTGAATCTAACATTATTTGGGTTTAATGAGCAGGAGGCTCTTGATGCTCCACGAATCTGTCTCATGTCTCGAGATGATGAACCTCAGTCAGGGGCATTTCCTCAGGGTGGTACACCGGGCGGTCCTACGACTACCAAGACGACTGTTGTTGCGATTGAAAAAGGCATTCCGGAGGAAACAATTGAAGGTCTTAAGGCATTGGGCCACGAGATTGTTGTTCTTGAGGGTGATCAGCGGTCATTATTTGGCCGTGGACAGGTGGTTCGATATAATGCACGTAAGGATACAAAGTATTCAGCAGGTAGCGATCCCAGAGGTGATGGTGCGGCTCTTCCCCAGGTGTTTTAAAAAAAAAAAAATAAAAAAAAAAAAATAAAAGCCAAGAAAGTAGGTTATTAGTTAAGAATATATATAAAATGGGACCTGGTGGGAGAGTAGAAAAAAACCAAAAACAGTTTGTTTACGTATGGACCTTTTATTATTATTTTATTTAATATCATTATAAGATTTACAAAATCTATATAGAAGATATATTAATTATAATTATAATTATAATGGTAATTACCATTTGCACCAACGGAAACCAACGGCGCAGTAGCGCGAGAGAATAAGCGCGATGGTGGTTCCAACGTAAACACAACCGTTAAAAATAACAAGCCGGGTATAATCTGTACCATTTTTAATTAAGGATCCTGAGAGCGGGACACCTAGAAGAATGGTGACTGAGGCAAAGAAGTACATGGACCCATAACGTTTACCATAGTCTCTGGTTTTGCAAACTTGTCCGCAGCAAACTGGAGCAAGAGAATAAATACCTCCATTACAAAAGCCATGAAGAATTGCAAAAACAATAAGGCCTGCGCTTGTATGGCCAAAGGGGAGCCATATGACAAAAATGGTGATGGAGGCTGCAGCTGTGGTAGCTATAAGAGTATTGAAGCGACCGAGTCGATCTGCAATGATCCCTGGAACAATACGGCCCACCATCCCCAGGGAGTTTAAAATGGCAAGCAAAGCGTATGACATTTCTTCAGACATGCCTTGCGCTAATGCATAAGATGTAAGGAAGGTAAGGCCGTTAATGACACCAAGTTCTCCAAGAAAGTTTGCAATAATGAGCCATGTAAAGCGCATATCTTTAAGAGATTTGTAATCAATGAGAGTTTCGAGTGAGAATTTGAATTTTTTATGAGTAGACTGGCTATTGAGAAGTCGTGGTTTCATAAGAGCAATGGATGCTGTTAGCAAAAACATACTGATGAAGCCCAGGATTCGGATGGCCCAGGGGAAGCCAACAGTAGTATAGAGCTGGCGCAGCATAATGGGGAAAATAACACCACCTAGACTTCCTCCAACAGTTGCTGCTCCAATTGCAGTTCCGCGTTTTTTATTAAACCAGTGGCCTATGATGGCTACCTCTGGGGTCATAAGGAGGGCTGTACCGATTCCACAGCAGACAGAAAAGGATAGGAAGAACTGGTAGTATTGGGTACAGAGACTAACAGTCATGAGTCCGAGAGTGAATAGTATGGCGCCAAAGACGGATAGGTGATATGGCCCATAGAGGTCATAGATGGGTCCGACTTGGCCTGTGAAGAGAAAGGAGAAAAAAACAAATACGGAGAAAATCCAAGAGACTTGAGATTCACTTTTTGTAGATAGTTGGTTCACACTGACATAGGCCTGGACAGCGCCGAGAGAGTTTACAAGGCCAAAGACAGCAATGAGTCCGAGGAAGGATCCAAAGACGACTCTCCAGGCATCGAATCCTCCTTCAGGGTATTCTTCATTATCTTCTTCATCATTTGAGTTAATTTCAGTGGTATGTTCGAATTCTAAAGAAGAAGAAGAAAAAGGGAGAGGAGGAGCAGTAGTAGCAGTAGTAGCAGTAGTAGCAGCAGTAGCAGTAGCAGTAGTAGCAGCAGTAGCAGTAGCAGTAGCAGTAGCAGTAGCAGTAGCAGTAGCAGTAGCAGTAGCAGTAGCAGTAGCAGTAACAGTAGCAGCAGAGAAATCGATATTTGTTTGGGACCTCAATTTGTGTAGTTGGACGGCCGTTGTGGAACTGATTTTGTCGTGATATACTTTATCTGTTATTGTAGCTGGTGATTTAAGGCTTTTGCCATTGGAGGAGGTCGGACCGAGATTATCGGCACTTGAAGAAACAGCCGACGGGCCGAGATCTTGGATGTGGGAGGTGGAAGAGGATGTTATTTGGATGGAAGTTGAAGCAAATGTCATTTCTTGATAAAGAGATAAGGTTGAGTTATTATGAATGAGAATACTTCTCAAAGTCTTTGAGATGATCTCTTTGAAAGATTCTTTTTATTCATTGTTAAGGGCGGCGGCTCTTTTTGTTTTTGTTTTTGTTTCTGTTCATAGCCGACATTAAGCGGAATGACTCTTGAAGATTTAAAAAAAAAAAAAAAAAAAAAAATATGAAAAAAGACAGTTTAATTTAAAGCCCTAACCCTTGACATTTTTTTTTTTTTTTTTTTAATTTAATTTTTAATTTTTATTAATTTTTTTTTTTTAAAAAAACTCTCCACCAATTTGATTTTTTTTTTTTTTTTTTTTTGATGACATAACACAAATCCCTTTCAAAATCCATATTTTCAAACAAAAGAAGAAGAATAATTTTATTATTTAAATATAAAAAAATATATATATATATATACTTCAATATTCATTTGTTGTTGTTGATAATATTTATAAAAAAATAAAAGAAAATACATTCTTCTCCCCCTTCCCCATCCAGTAGATTATATATCTCCTATCACGGTTTAGGAAATCTCTCTTCTTTTTGCTCATAGCAAGTCCAAGCTTCAGAATGAAAACGGCCCATGTCCTTGTGCTCTTGCTACCCGCATAAACAATGAATAGCTCTCAGTCTAACAACAATAATACCAGTAGCAATAACAATAACAATAACAATAACAATAACAACAATAACAATAACCATCATCATTTCCCAAGTCTTGATATTAACGAACTATCTCAGTACCATCTTGGAGCTCAACCTCCAACATCTCTCAGCTCTTACCAATACCCCGACCCAAATGCATCATCATCATCCTCTTCTATCAAACGTAAACGCTCATATATCCTGGGCGATAAGCCCGGCCCACAACCCCACCGACAAGAACCCCCAAATATAAGGCTCGATGGTAATGGAATCTATCATAATAATAATACTAGTCAACATCTTGACCCAAGTCATCATTTCCAGCTCCCATCTCCTGTAAATACTCAAACGTTTGCTCCTTCTGATCCAGCTAAAGATGCTCTTTGGTCTTCTGCTGAAGATCAAGGCCAAACGGCTGCTGCCGTTAGAAACATTTCTCCATGGAACGGATCCAGTCACCAAATGTATGACAACACCATGCCATTTTATAATATCCATTCAAAGACCGTGACTAGTGATCAGTGTCAAACTTCTCTTTCCGAACATCGACCATACAACCCTCTTCTACTACCTCAACCAAATCCCTTGTATAGCAGTAGCAGCAGTAGCGGCAGCAGCAGTAGCGGTAGCAGCAGTAGCGGTAGCAGCAGTAGCAGTAGCAGTAGCAGCAGTAGCAGTAGCAGTAGCAGCAGTAGCAGTAGCAGTAGCAGTAGCAGCAGCAACAGCAGCAGCAGCAGCAACAGCAACAGCAACAGCAACAGCAACAGCAGCAATAGCAATGGCAGTAGTGGTTCTGACGCCACGCAGTACGATTCTGGTACCGGTAACACTACTGCAACATTACCCACCACTTCTGAAAAAATAACTAGTGGGGGTACATCAAGCATAGATTCTTATGGAGTTCCTCTAAAATATCATCATCATCAACAACATCAACCATTACCTCCTCCAAAACAACAACAACCATCTCTGACTGTTCTTGGAAACCAGACTCAATCTCACTATGGAGAGACTTACAAACGAGATGAAAATTCTTCCCATCTACAAAAACCTTCCCAAAATGCAGCAACACACGTTAAACACACAAACCAAACCTTTTTCAATAATGCCTTAGATACACTATCTAAATCCATGGATTTTAATCTAACAAACCCAAAGAGCAATAATATAGAATCATGTGTTAACATTAATCAACTACTTTCTGGAAATACACCATCGCTGACTAACGTTAATACTAATAACAATCAGCCCAACAATACCTATTCTCAAGACAAAAATCTTAACTTTGACAACAACCTGTCTACTCCAAACATAACCGAAATTGAAAAATCATTTGGTATCAATCCCTCTCCTGTCCCTCCAGAAAGTTTTAATGCCGATACTTCATTTGTTGTGACACCCTTAAACCACAACTTGGAAAAGAAACAGAGACTTCCTTCATCCATTACAAAAACTCATATCCAATTATCAAGTATAGAACGACCAAAGTACTTAGACCAGCTAGACATTAGTAATACATATTTCGAACTTTTCCCTGGCTTAGTACTACCCGGTATTGAAGAGGAACATAATTCTTTTAATCAACCAAAAGAGGGGAAAATTGATGTTTTTTTGGATCTAACTACGGAAAAATCACTAATTTATATTCCTCATCGGAATTTTAAAAAAAAAGATTTAATGACTTTATTTTTCCGGCCTATCATTGATAAAACAGATTATTCCAGTAATACAGTCATTCAATATCATCGAAATAGCTCAACCGACAATAACAATAATGCTAGTCTTACAACCCAGCATATTTTGACAATTCATACTCCTCTCCAAGATACATTTAGTAGCGCTCTTCAATATTTTGATCCGGTAACCAACCCAGACGCACACTCCTACCTAAAACTCTATTTCGATTTAATATATCTCAAAGGTGATGAAAAAGATGGCGAAGCTCTCAAAAACTTGTTTAATAGCTTTTGCCGCACACCCTTCCCTGCATTCACTAGTACCAATCTGACAAATCAACGTTGGTTCACAAACGTACTAAAACACAATACCCAAATATGGAATATCGTCACTGAACTTAAAAAACAGTCTTTGATACGAGATACTAGAAACAACATCATAGAGCAATTGAGCTCTGGTGTCAAAACAATCAAGGTTTGTAACGGTCTCTGTTATGCTTATACGAGCTCACAGTATACGGTAAACAATAGCCCTCTTCCCAACGTTTTGTACAAGTGCCCCCGGTGTACCAGCACAGAAACCATTGATTTGGAATACACTTCACCCAAGCTACTAGTAAGCCACATGATGTGCAATCCAACTTTAGCGCGGCTGATAAAAACTTCTCCAACGGCCCAAACCAAAAGCCCAATCGACAATGTTTTTGAGTCCAACGTTGTTAAGCGACTCCGCGAAAAGGGGTACCTGAAAACCCCTTACGAGCTGTTATTTTGCTTGTCATTAGTCAATACTAGCGTCTATAAAACTGCCACTGGTGTGGAGCTCATCCAAATCAATCTCATTTTGCTCAACCTCCCACCTAGTGAACGATACCTCAAGGAAAACATGTTTCCAATCTTTTATCTACCAAAGTTCACCAGCAACTGGCACAATATTTCTATTGATTCCTATTTCCAGGCCATTGTGAATGACTTTAAAGACCTTGGGTCGGTTGGCTTCAGAGTTTATGATGCTGATGTCAAACAATGGAAAATCATGAAGGGGTATCTTGGGTTTATTACAGGAGACTTGTCTTCAGTCAGTTTGGCCATGGGTTATGTTTACGAGTTTGGCAATTACCCCTGTCGGGTATGTGGTGCAAAGACTTGCAATATTGATTTACACCATCAACATCTTTTCACAAGCAATGGTGTTGAGGCAAGTGGCACTGTATGCAACTTCCAGCTCAATCCAACTGACCTACCATTTAAGCCTGATGAAACCCTCAAGGATAATGAGTGGTACCAAAAGTTTCAAAATCTTTTAGATGTTGAGAGTGGCAAGTTCCCCAAGGACATTTGCAAGGTTGAAGGTATTAACCACCGCAATGTGTTTTTAGAGCTAGACACTATTTTCCTTCCAGACTCATTCCCATTTGACTTTATGAATTTCCATTATTCTTCTACTTGCAGAAAAATCCTCACTCTTGCATTTAGTACTACTGAAAACTGCTACCGCAGAAATATACCAAAGTTTTCCCAAACAATTGGCGCTCATAACAGGTTTTGTCACGTCCTTGATTTTTTTAATCGAGCGCTTCCTTCACAATGGTTGAAGGAAAAGTTTGATTATGAGAAAATTTTAAAGGGATCTCCAGGAGCTCTTTCATCTGTGCAAGCAAAGCAGTTCCTCGATCTCTTTTATATTATTTATTTCGAGGCCTTGAGTGACCAGAGTAATTCCGATGGTCTCAACTTGGGCAGCGATATCGAAGATATTCTTATTTTGGAATTTACTTTGATTTTGCAAATCTCCATTTCAAGAGAAATTAGTCCTACATTGTTGGATTTTTTGGAGATTTCCTTTGCTCATTTAGTCAAAAGACTAGAACGCATTGTCATTGATGGGTATTCCCAAGGAGCCAATCTCTCCATATTTTCATTAACTGTGCACTCAATCCAGCACATTACATACTACATTCGTAAATGCGGGAACCTTTCCTCATTTAACAGCCATAATCTGTGCAGATCATATTGTGACTTTAGCGATATCCAGGATGATTTCTTTGGCGGAGTCAATAGTAACAGAGGCAACAAAAAGTCCATTCAAAAGATTATGGACTTGAATCTGCAGAATCTTGCAGTCCGTCTGATCTTGCCTGCCGAAAGTCATTTTCACACTGGAAGCTGTACTCTTGTTGAGCCTCGTCAGGGGTATTTCCCCATCAACAAGTCATGGGAAACCCTTTCTCTTTTGGAAAAGTACCAAGAGATTGAGTCCAAAGGTGATGTATTTGCCACGGCCATTTTCTACTCAAAGCTTAATCGTCTAGTTTGGAGATTTTTCAAAAGAAATAAGACTTTCCAACTTTGCATGGTGGACCCTCAAACGAAGGCTGTAATTTTCCCTCAACAAAACGACTTGTTTTTGGACCCTGCCAAGTGCCAACGTTTTCGGGCATGTGAATTTGCATCCACAAAAGCACAAACTCGTATCGACAATGTGGCGCGGCTCAAGTCCAAGGATAAAGCTCGGTATGCTCTAGTGCATGATTTTGTCAAGATCCGATTCACGGTTGCTAATCCAGATGGAACCAATGTACGTGAGATGGAAAAGGGGTTTGTACTTTTCACAGAGCTGACAACGCAACTTAAGAAAATTGAAGTTTCTTCGGAGGTTGTTGATCCTAAAAACATGTTCCCCAAGGGAACTAACTTTGGACCATCATCTATTCTTGACAATACTGGTAAGGTTGGACTTAAGTCCAACATTATCTATGGGTATTATTATACGTTCCCCTATTGCGAGGAAGAGGCAGCAGATTATGCTTCCTTTGGCCGTTTGTATTGTGAGCCACCCATGGAACAGCGTTGGGATGTTGCACCTGCGGAATCTTTGTCTAACCCAGTCTACTCGATTCCCATTGTTTCTCGGGACCAAAAGACTGTGAATGTACATTTGTTTGATACTCGCTATCATTGTGAGCTTCTTGCTGGGAATAAGCATGTTTTGATTGATGACTGTGGACCGGAAAATGAATACAATGAGATATACGGAAAGGCCAGTAACAAATGAGGCAGTTCCACATTGGCTAATTTTTTTTTTTTTGGGAAAGATCTTCACAAACAGCAGTAACAAAATGTTACCTTTTTTTCGTTGGTTCTTTCTTTCTTTTTTTTGGTTGTATATTTTAAAGTCTTGCTTTTTGATCAGCCTCTCAAATGCTTATTTGAGGAGGCTGAAAAAAATAAAAAAATAAATTTAAATGCCATTTTGAGTAGCAGAAACAACAGCAGTGGACAACAGCAGTGGCAGCAGTGGCAGCAGTGGCAGCAGTGGCAGCAACAACTACGCCAAGATATTTTTATATTTTCACGATATGTGTATTGAAGGTTATTTATTTGTTTATTTATTTATTTACCCCGCGCCGCCTTTTTGATTTTAGCCTCTTCGAAAGTTTAAGGTTGTGTTTAAGGTGCGGAGTATATATACCAGTTTTTTTTTTTTATTATTATATGCGTCCTGCTCAAAACAAATCTCCACGGACTTTTCAAAACATGGCTTTGACTTACAATGGCTTTGTAAATTACTATAAATACTCCAAGGATTTTCCCTCCCATTTTTTTTTTTTTTTGTTTGTTATTTTGTTATTTTGTTATTTTTTCAAAATATTCTTTATCACTTTAATAATACAATATATTTAATCACTAATCACTAATACATTCTTTAAACCATTTATCATAATGATTGTTTCATTGTTCCAACCAAAGGCATGGCTCTTTTGCATGACCTTACTCAAAATCACTTCAGTATCTGCTCAACACGAAGGTTGTAGTTATAGTTGTTTTGTTGCTCAAGAAGAAATCAAAAACTGTGGAGATGATAATTACTGTCTTTGTGGAGACTATCACGGAAGATTTCGTCTAAATGCTCCTGTCTGTGGTAGTACTTCTTGTCCCAAAGATGTTCGTCAAAGTAATTTAGAGTCAATGCTTCCATATTTCCAAAAATGTGGTATCAATTATTACACTGATGACTTTGATGTCACTGCTTCTTCAGTATCTTCTGTTGAAAATGGTGAGGTATCTTCTTCATCAGTTCCTGAAGATGTTTCAAGTACTCCATTAGGAGACGAAACTTCTTCTTCTTCTATTGTTGATGAAGTTTCAAGTACTTCTTTAGAAGGTGAACCTTCATCCTCTTCTATTGTTGATGAAGTCTCAAGTACCTCTCTGGGAGACGAAACTTCTTCTTCGTCTATTGCTGATGACATTTCAAGTACCTCTCTGGGAGACGAAACTTCTTCTTCGTCTATTGCTGATGACATTTCAAGTACTTCTTTAGAAGGTGAACCTTCCTCTTCTTCTTCTTCTTCTTCTTCTGATGAAGTCTCAAGTACCCCTCTGGGAGATGAACCTTCATCCGAAATTTTATCGTCTAGCTCAAGTGAAGTCAATGATAATGGTGAATCTTCATTGTCTTCCACACCATCTGGTAATGATGATAGCACTTCTATTGAAGGGAACTCTAATAGCGAAACTTCCCCTGTTGTTGGTGGTGAAGATCCATCTGTGAGCACTGTTATTGATGGACCCAGCTCATCTTCATCATCGGATCCTGGCTCCAATGGTGATGGTGGAAATAATGATAACAACAATGGTGACTCAGGCTCTAATTCTGGAGGAAATGATAATAATAATGGTGGTAATAATGATTCTGGCACTGGATCTGGCACTGATTCTGGCTCAGGATCTGGTTCAGGATCTGGCTCGGGATCTGGTTCAGGATCTGGTTCAGGGTCTGGTTCTGATTCTGGCTCTGGTTCTAGCTCAGGTTCTGGTTCTGATTCAGGTTCAGGTTCAGGTTCAGGTTCAGGTTCAGGTTCAGGTTCAGGTTCAGGTTCAGGTTCAGGTTCAGGTTCAGGTTCAGGTTCAGGTTCAGGTTCAGGTTCAGGTTCAGGTTCAGGTTCAGGTTCAGGTTCAGGTTCAGGTTCAGGTTCAGGTTCAGGTTCAGGTTCAAGTTCAAGTTCAGACTCAGGAAATTCTAGTGGTTCTAGCGGTTCCAACAGCAGCAGTAGCTTTCGAGCTACTGGTACCACTACCACTACCACCGCAATTTCTTCCAAGAATACTGCAACAGTATCAGGCACTAGTCTTACAGTACGGACATCTACATCAGGTGTAACTGCCACATCAAGTGCAAGTTCTATAGCTTCTTCGTCAGCTGCTCAAGCTAACGATGCTTCTCAAAAGAATTCTCACATGTGGGGTGGTTCTTTATTTGGAGCCGTTGCAGCATTGGGAATGGCCTTGTTATAAGCCAATTTCCCCCCTTTTTTTTTTTAAAGGTCAAGTCATATAGAAAGTAGTTTTTATTTAACCGTTAATTTAGAACATGAAATATCAAATAATGTACAATTATAAACAAGCTGTGTGTCATTTTTTTATCATGGTTGAAATATTCTAAGAATTCAAGTTGTCAAGAATTTGTAGCACTCGGCCTCAAGTTTTGATTACGTAAAAATGACTAAGTCTTAACCAGGGACTGATTAGAAGTGAAATCAAAAATTACCCTACTTTGGATTTTCGCGGTCATCTCAGTTTTTTTTTTGTGGCAACACAGAATCGCCACCTTTTTACAAGCACAAGCACAAGCACAAGCTCATCAACATCTCTAAATTAAATAAATACAAAATCACCACCATGGTATGAATTGATACACCTAGAATTTGAAGTTTTCAAATATGCTTTACTAACAACATATCAAGTCTCTACGAATTGCTCCTGAAAATTCTGCACCTTCCAAGGTTTCCAGCACGTCTTATGGCGAGGGCGCCCCAAGTGTGCCTGCTCTTCGCGACACGCTTCGCAACAATGGTCCTACAAGCATGTCAGCTGCTTTAAATAGCAAACACCCTCTCGAAGCCAGATTAGAAAAGTGGGAGGAAACACAATTCAATATGAAGATGGAAAACTATCGCCGAACACTGGGTGCTGCCGAGCCCATTAGACGAGGCATGGAGCTGGAAATTGTGAAAAGCATTGACTCTTTGGTTCCTCGAGAAATTTTGGGTCTGGGAACTTCTGCCCACCACGATATCTTGATGAACAAGGAAAACAATGTTACTTGGGAAGAAATCTATCCGGATTTTGGCGCAAATGGAACTGCAAATGGCCTGGGATTACTTAAAACAGATGTGCATGCTGAAATGTCAAAGAGAATGGGTGTTTAAAAAAAACAAAAAAAAAAAAACAAATATATCACCCTTCCCCACAGATACAAATGATAACCGACCCTTACCACAATTTAATATTATTAGCCTGCTAGAAAATTAAAACTTCATTCTTTCTCCCAAATTTGTATGTAACTGTCGTTTAAAAACAAAAGCTCTTGTCGAACTTTTGAAACGTCCAAGTCTTGAATCTGAAACCATTCTCTAGTGGCTTTATTCAATAGTTGAACCTTCCACGAATGTTGATCTTCGCCCTGTGCTGTGGTGTTGGCTTCATGAGAAATGTTAGCAATCAGGTTGTAGTAAATTGGTAATTCGCTATTAGCACCTTCCATATTCTGCACATAAGGTCTCATGTCAAGCTTTAGTGGAGTAAAACTAACAACAGTAGGATTAAACTTGTTCACCTCGCTATCCTTTGAAATGCGCTTAATGTGGAATATCAGATATGGGGGAAGCTTTTCAATTTTGTAACGTTTCCTGTGACCAGCAAGTTCCTGGGTCGTAATACCATCATATTTTTGTAGCAACTTGGTTAATTGTATCTGAGGAATTTGTGCATCTCTATGATCTGATTTAAACAATGGTGCCGGAGGTAAATCTAGAGATAGAAACATGAATGGAATCTTCATCACATCTATTTTATTTTCATCTTTGTTTAAAAGACTATCCTTAATTATCGGCTTTATCTTGGATACCTTTTCTGACAAAACAACCATCTTCCCTTGAAATGTTTCTTGTATTATACTTGAGTGAAACTTGGTTCTGGAGCCCCCCAAGGCAAGATGTAATGTGTTGAGATACCAGTTAATCAAATCAAATGGATCCGACTGTTTATCAGGAGTAAACTTATTTTTACTCAATAAAGAAAAATATTGTAGCAAGTCGTGAGGAGATACATGTGGTTTAAAAGCTCGAGGATTCCATAATTTGCGAAATAAAAGTCCAGTTCTCTTGACTAGTTCTGGGTACTGATTAGAATCAGTATTATGAACTTTTGAAAAATCCTTGAGTAAGAAAAAGTCTCTCAAAGGCTTAACATGAGCTAATGCATGAATAACAACATTAGCATAATCGTTACTTTGCTTAATGCTATTAATTCCAATGAACCCTGGAACATATAACTGATGATTTAAATCATAACGGTTTTCATAAAATGGTTTAGTGTCTATGACATTAGCAACTTCCTCTTTAGTATAAGTAGGAAATGCAACGTATTTTATATCGTCCAAGTTGCTAGATGTGACCTCGTAACCTTCTGGAAGAATGTAAGCCTTAAGGGTATTGAAATTGATAAAAACGTGGTGATCCTCGTCCACTGAATGAAAGTATGCGTGTGATGACTCGCCACGGCCTTGAAAGTATTTGCCACACACAAGACACGCGTATACATTAATATTTGAAAGGGAAACAGAGCAAATCTTTTCAAAATCAAAATCTAACCTTGATCTTTGAATTGTTTCCAAGTAAAGTGACTTTTTTATTTCCAAATTTGTTTCTTCATCTGAACTCTCAGATTCCAAAGCTTGTTCAAGGGTATTCTCATCAACCACACTTTCGTGACTTATTTTCCTAGTCTTAATAGCTCCCTCTTTCAATTCAGATTCTCTGCGAGACCTGGCTCTTTTTGAACTCGCAGAAGATTTGGTCGGCATTTGAACGAAGCCTTCTATAGAAGTAATTAATTTCAAAAATTTAATAACCAACTAAAGTCCCACTCCAAAGAGGTTACCCTATTTAGTTTTAATATCCTAAACGTGTGTGTGTATGTAGTTAAGTGTAATTTTTTTTTTGTCAAAACATGTAACACATTGACAAAAATTTTCACGCGTGTTGGCTCAACGAGGTTGTAGATGTTGTAACAAAAGTTTTTTTTTTTTTTTTTTTGTTTTGCTTCCTCCCCTTTCAACCTTTTAAACACCACCACAACCAACACTTCGCCAATCAGCCCAATCAACTTGAAAAGCAGCAACGCCAGCTTACCATCAGCAATCATCAATTCAACAGTCATATATAAATCACTTGTCTCTTTAACCAGATAAACACTTATTTTTTTTTAAATAATTCCTAACGATGTCTTCTAAATCTACTTCCTTGTCATTTGGTCCCGAATGGTGAGTCTTACCTTGTATCTCTTCCCCTTGTTCATTGATGAAATAATTTTTCAATCAAACCATCGATGGCAATATTAGAAAAATAGAAGAAAATTTCTAACCTAAAATTTTTTCTTGAAACAAAATCAAAATACGGAGCCTTATGGCTTTGTTATTTTTCATCTTATTTTTAGGATGCGCCCAAAACAAACCACTAAATCACCATCCATCCCCTCGAAGGTCCCTAATACGACATCCAACTTCCAATCCAATACTCCACCTTCTATCTCTGGTACCCGTGCCCAGCCTCCCAGCAATAAGATCCCGTGGTCTGGAATCGCAGCAGGTACAGCTTCCTCATCCCCTTCAGTCGTCCCTCATTCAGCAGGTTCAATCATTCCACCCAACTCATCTAATACTCCGATGTCATTTGCTAATGCTGCTGCTCAAAGCATCCTTCGCTCTACCACTCCAAATTCCGGGTTAAGAACCGTAAATTCTTCTACGATTTTATCCCGTTCTTCAGCTGGAGTTACCACTGGAACGCTTAGAACTTCCAGATCTATTGCTAGTTTGAATCCTCACCAATCTAACAGCCCTCTATCTGAATCATCCGCGCCAAAACCTCAAGCTATTAACAATACAATCGGGGGTAATGGTGGCTCCGGCTTGGCTATTGGGAACACAGCTGGTACAAATAATGACTTTTCGAATAATGTTTCGTCCCCTAATATTTCTTCTCAAGGGGGAGGGGATTTGGATCACCCACTTGCTTTAGACAATACATCTTCTGCATCATCATCTTCTGAACCCGAAGATATATCTTTAGAGTTGGATCAGGAACTAAGCGTTGCAGATGTCTTGCGTTCCAACTCATCGGGGAAAAAATATACTAATGAAGAAATGCTGGAAGTTTGGAGTTCTATGAAGAGATCCAACATCATTAAGCCAGCATCAGAGCCTCGTACTGATTTGTATTTTTCTGCAACCCCAAATGATCCAGCAATCCTCGATCATAAATATCGTCAACAGTTGCTTCATTTACAACACCACCATAATCATCATCACCACAATCATAACCATAACAATCACCACCATCATCATAATCATAACAACTATCAAAATCAAAATGGCTTGCAGCCATCTTCCTTGGGACCAAACGTTTCCAATTCTCCACTTTTGGACATTCACCGCACTAATAATTCCCTTCTTTCTAACATCTCTGCTAATGATTCTACTCATGATTCAATTTCTAACGCCAATAGTGCGGTGAACAGCGCTGTTAACAGTCCCATGCTTTCTTCATCCCAACTTCAAGGTTCTTTTTACTCTGGTTTGGGGAATAACTTGTCTAAGGTCAATTCCAATCACGATACCTCAAACGCTATGGCTGGGATTAATGGATTTGCTGGTAACAACTCTACAATAAATACTGCAGCTAATAACACTAACAACCTCTTGCCTTCAAGATCTAATTTGTCATTAGATGTGACCCGAGTGGGTTCACCTGCATCTGTTCCTGCAACTTTGTCTGATGTTGGGTCCATTAATAATAACACTAACTCTTGGAGTCCTTTTGTTGGAAATGCCAATCCATTGCTCTCTAACATTGCCTCTGGAGTATCATCATTGGGCGAAACCCAGCCCTCAATCAACAATATTGGATCTAACGCCAATTCAACTGGAATTTTGTCTGGACCTGGTAACATTCCTCCAGGTATTATGTCTAATCATTTGATGTCTAATACACCTCCACCCCCTGGAATTCCTGTTTTGCTCCCTCCTGATCAAATTGAATGGGTTTACAAAGATATGGTTGGTAACGAGCAGGGCCCCTTTAATGGTTTGCTTATGCACGACTGGTATTCCAAAAATTGGTTCCAGGATGATTTGCAGATTCGCAGAAGAGATGAAACCGAGTACTATACATTAAAGGAATTTATTGTACGTGTCAGCAATGCTGTTAAACCTTTTCTTGTGTCTTTACCCCCTGCTAAGCCAAATGCTTATTATGATCAACAGCAGCAGCAGGAAAATTTTGTTCGTCAACGAGAGCTTCTTTTGAAATTACAACTTCAACAGCAGCAGCAACAACAACAGCAACAACAACAGCAGCAGCAACAGCAACAACAGCAACAGCAACAGCAACAGCAACAGCAGCAATCACAGATTCCATCAATTCAACAATTTCAGCAACAACAAGCCCCAGCTTGGGGATCCATGTCCCCAGTTGCTACTCCGTTGTCCCCTATGTCACCCTGGTCTCATCCTCAGGCCAGACTTCATCTTAATTCTTCGAATCAGCCTTTGCCATTAGGCTCAATTTCTGATCAAAACACATCCGGGGTTCCTTCCTCATTTGGCTTTACTGGTTTACCCGGATCTCAAGTCAATGCATCTCACCTTAACAACGATCCATGGCAACGTGCACCTGGTTCAATTCCTCATACACCTCGTCGTATTCCTAGTATTGGGAATTTCAACGAGAACTCTAGCATTTTAAATAACAACAGCATTTCGGGATTGGCTAACGCATTCCCCACTAATAGCAATACAAATATTGGTGGTGCTTCTCCTGCTGTTTTGCAGCTTAACCTTCACTCCGAAGTTGAACAAGAAGATCCTTCTGATAAAGATGCATTTTTAGCTCAAGTTGCATCTCCCGGACCTTCTAAAGCTGCTATTCAACCACCTAATAAAACTTCACCTTTAGTTCAACAGGAAAATATTTCTTCGGATACCGTTTCTCCCATCAATTCTGCTCTTGACCTTGAAAGTTCAGTTTCTTCTTTGGAAGATAAGCTTTCAACAGTTGAACTTTCTAAGAGAGAGCCTTCTCTCGAACCTGTTGGACCCCCAAAGAAAACTGAGAAAAGGTCGGATGCCGATCTTACTTTTTCAAATGAAACAAGTACTTCACAAGCTCTGAAAGCTTCACAAGCTTCAGGAGAAGAAGTTAGTCTGTCTAAATCTAAGAAGCGCTCTTCCACAGCCCAAACTGCTTCAACTGCCGAAACAAATAGCAGAAACAAGGAATGGGAAGCCGAAGTTGCTGGAGAAGAAGTAATCAGTGTAATTGTGGATACTTCAGTTGCCCCCACTCCTGTTGAAAAACAGAGGAGTTCTAGTTCTGCTGCTGCTGCTGCTGCTTCTGCTGCTGCAAACAACGCCGCAACTCCAGATTCAGCCCCTAACACCCAATCTTCGACTTCTCAACAGACCACTGCTCCAGTTTCTTCCAAGAGTCCTTCGACTCCATCTAAACCTGTTCTTGCTCCTTGGGCTAAAAAAGAAGCAAAGACTAAACCTAAAACTCTTTCCCTCAAGGAAATCCAAGAAATCGATGCTGCTGAAAGAAAAACTCGCAAGGCTCAACAACAGGCTGCTGCCGCTATTTTGCAAGCTTCGCGGGCAGCCGCTGCGGCTGCTGCTGCTGTCAACACTAGCCCTGCTCTTCCATCTGGTGCTACATGGGCTAGCGTTGGTGTCTCAAATAGTGCTGCTCCCAAGAAGACTCTTGCTCAGATTCAAAAGGAAGAGGAAGAGGCTGCCAAACGCAGCAAGCAGCTGTCTGTTGGTTCCAGTAGCTCTTCCTCTAATTCACCCACTATTTCCAACTCTGCTGGTTCTCTTGCATCTGTAATTTCCAGCAGTTCTTCTGCTTCAGGCGCTAGAAGATATGCTGATATTGCTACACCGACTTCTACTCGCGGTGGAGCTTGGACAACAGTTGGCCCCGGTGGGAAAAAGATTGGGAGCTCCACCTCATCTACTACAGCGTCTCCTTCTGCATCTGCACCCACTGCTGCACCTATCTCTCTTGCCTCTTCCATCTCTTCTGCTCCCAGTTCTCGCAAGTCTTCAGTTGCTACTATTCCTCTTAGCTCCTCCAATTCCTCCACTTCCAAAGCCGTGTCAGCTTCTGAGGACTTTTTGAATTGGTGCAAGGGTTCTTTGACTGATTTGAACTCTGGTGTCAATAAGACAGAGCTTTTATCAATGCTTCTTTCTTTACCTGCAAGCGGTGAATCCAAGGAAATCATTGCTGATACCATTTATTCTAATTCTACTACAATGGATGGTCGCAGATTTGCTGATGAATTCATTAAGAGACGTACCAATGCTGATTCTGAGACTGGTAGTTACAACGCGTCGGCTAATGGTGACAATTGGAGTGATATTTTAAGCCGTGCCAACAAGCCTGCAAACGATGAACGGAATGTTCCCTTTAAGATTGTTTCCAAGAAGAAGAGCAGAAAGGATTAATGATATACTGTTAGTGATCTACTTGATTTAAGCAAATTAATAGATTTCAGTAAATTTATTACTTAAAAATACATTATTTACAATTCCGCCAATGCTCTTTGCCTTATTTTTTGAAGAGTTTTTTCGTAGTCCTCTTTAACCTTAGAAGCCTCCTTAATTCTAGCAGAAACGCCATCTGACTGAGAAACTTCGGTTGCAACGTTAAAAATGGTGTTTGCCCACCCTTCTTTAATCGAATTTGCCTCTTGAGAGATGATTTGAAGTTCAATTTCAATAGCCTTTTCGTTTGTGACAAACTTATTGTAGGTGATATCACCAATAGAACCGCGCTGGTGAAGAGCAGTAAGTTGCTCTTTGGCCTGCTTCATTTTAACAATTTGACGAACATCTTCTCCAGCCCATCGAATAAGAGCGGCATTGATAAGTTTTTCTGGGATCGGTTTCTTTAAACCATCGCGCTCAGCCTTTTCGTTTTGAGACTTCAAAGTATAGTAGTTATTTCTGGCAAAGGATTGCTCGTATACCGGTTTTAGGGATGCCAATTGCTGGATTTTACGACGACGATATACCGAAGAAAATATCACAAGAGAAGTAATAATGACAAAGATGTATGCAAGAGGTGTTAGTACTGAGATCTTTCCGGCCATTGTTGTGGTGCTTGTCAAGTGGGAAATCGATGACTTGTTATTCTTTCAAACGTTTTTTTTTTTTTGTGGTGGTATAAGCTATTTCTTTCAGATTGATTGAAATTTTTGTAATAAATCCTGTAACCAGTTGAGGGTTAGGGTTTAATTTCACCACCTGAGGTTGGGGATGGTGGCAATTTTGATTTACCTCTAATCAATATTTAGTTTAACATTTTAAGATTGAGATATATTAATTAATTGATTCTTTTACCAATTTTGAATCATGGTATGAATGAATATATTTATACTATTTTATTTTAAATTAATGAAATTTCTAATTATTTTTTTATATTTTGCAGTTATTGAGATTTAGAACACCAGAAGGAACTTTTCGCGTTTCTCTTCAGCCCGAGGACGACTTTTCTGTCGTCCTGTCAGAGGTAAGTTATCAGCAATTTTCGCATTTCTTTCCCTATTTTTTTTTTCTTTTTTTTTTTTTGTTGGAAAATAATAACCGATTAGTTAGCTGTCGAAAAAACTACCTGGATATGATCAAAAGAGATTTTTGTTTTCCGACAGTCATTCGTTTAAGGGCCATCCTATTGATAATTACATTGGGCAAACGATTTCTTCACTTGGTTTAAAGTAAGTAATATTAGTCTCTGTTTACTTTTTAGTTTGCTAAATATTTTTTTAAAGACATGGAGATCTTCTATTTGTAACAATTGGAGATCTTTTAGAGCCAAAGTCCGAAGAATCAACTTCTAATTCGAAGCCCGTATCTGCACGACAAATATTTGACAATACAAAACAACCAGCTATCGATGATGCTTTGGATAAGCTTCCGGGAAAAATCCCAAGAAAACGCGATCCTCGTATGTGTCGACATGGTGAAAAGGCAATGTGTGATTACTGTATGCCACTCGAACCATTCGATGCCAGTTATCAAGAGGAGCACAATATTAAGCATTTATCTTTTCATGCCTATCTTCGAAAACTGAATATTCAGCCAAAAACCAATGATTCAACAACAAATACCGGTTCTTTTGTTCCACCTCTCACTGAACCTGATTATGGCGTTAAAAAACAATGTCCTACTGGCCATCCTCCATGGCCTGCCGGTATTTGCTCCAAATGTCAGCCTAGTGCTATTACGTTACAACGCCAGGAATTCCGCATGGTTGATCATGTTGAGTTTAGTACATCAACTACTGTGAACAATTTTATCGATTCATGGAGACAAACAGGCAAACAAAGAATTGGCTATTTATATGGCCACTATGAGCAATATGATGCTGTTCCTTTAGGTATTAAAGCAGTTGTGGAAGCAATTTATGAACCCCCACAACAAGATGAACGGGACGGAATCAAATTAACATTTCCTTGGGAAGAAGAGGAAAAAAGAGTTGAAAAAATAGCTGGATACTGTGGATTAGAGCGTGTTGGTGTTATTTTTACAGATTTACTTGATGGTGGAGAAGGAAATGGGTCTGTTGTTTGTAAACGACATATTGATTCGTACTTTTTATCATCTTTGGAAATATGCTTTGCTGCCCAGATGCAAATTAATCACCCTAATCCATCAAAATGGAGCACTGACGGCAAGTATTCTTCTAAATTTGTTACTTGCGTGATAAGCGGGAATTCCAACAAAGAAATTGATATAACAAGTTATCAGGTATCAGCCTCTGCCGAAGCCATGATCAAGGCTGATTTGATTGAACCTTCTATAAACCCAGCTGTTATGCGCGTCAAAGAACCTACAAATGAGCGCTATGTTCCTGATGTTTTTTACACAAAACTCAATGAGTATAAGCGTACTATTCAAGAAAATGCAAAGCCAGCATTCCCTGTTGAATATCTTCTTGTTACTTTAACACATGGATTCCCAGAAAACGAAAAGCCTTGCTTTACCAGTGGTGTTGGCGATTTCCCGATTGAAAATCGAGAATATCAATCTGTTTCTCAAGACTTTAAGTCTCTTGCAAAACAATTGGGGATCAAACGTGGTCTTTCAAGTCCTCCTCCTATAACACTTGACACATTGAGCGATTTTCACTTACTCTGTTATATCAACAGCTTAGGAGTTATTAATGAAGACGAGCAGAAACTCCTTTGCAAGTACGCAGTAGAACATAAGGACGAGTTTGCTATTGCATTGAGAGGGTCTCCTGGATGGGAGACTTTGAAAATGATTATTGTTGAAAGTATTTAAATACTATGTCATAAGCTTTATCATTAAATAAATTTAATGTATAATCATGTATTTTCAACCAAATTACTTAGCAATCAAAAACTGTTTGCTGTGAGATATTAGTTTTTTTGTTTTTTTTCATTTTAGAAAATGCAACAAAAATAGCTTTGTTTATCGGGCATCAGCCAAATTAAACACCTAGAAACTTCGAGAAAGTTTGCGAATGTTCAGGACTGTGCGTAAAGTAAGGACCGCCAATGGAAAATTTTTCCATGTAGTTCCATGAGCAAAGGGCCACTTACTATTTAAACAGAATGAAAACCCCCTGCCCTACGCGGTTTTTTTAGCAAAAATTTTTTATTTTTTTTTGAGTTTTCAAGTTTTTATATTTTAACCAACAACCACACATAATCTATAGATTTTTTTTTTTTTTTTCAACAATGAGTATTCCATTTGGTGTTGATTTCGGCAATTTCCACTCTGTTATTGGTGTTGCCCGTAACAGAGGTATTGACATCATTGTCAATGAAGTTTCCAACAGAACCACTCCATCCCTTGTTGGCTTTGGCCCCAAGAGCAGATCCATTGGTGAAGCTGCCAAGTCTCAAGAGATTTCTAACCTTAAGAACACTGTCGGTAGTTTGAAGAGAACTCTTGGTCTTAAGAGCGACGATCCTAACCTCGAGACCGAGAAGCGTTACATTTCTTCCGAGCTTGTCAATGTCGATGGCAATGCCGGTGCTAAGGTCCGTTATCAGGGCAAGCAGACTGAATTCACCTCAATTCAGCTTGCTGCCATGTACTTCAACAAGATCAAGCAAACCACTCAGCATGAAGTCAAGGGTGGCAACATTTCTGATGTTGTCATTGCCGTCCCCACATGGTACTCTGATTCCCAACGTCGTGCTACTGCCGATGCTGCTGTGATTGCCGGTCTCAACCCTGTTCGCATTGTCAATGACGTTACTGCTGCTGCCGTTGGTTACGGTGTTTTCAAGACTGACCTCCCCGAAGACAAGCCCAAGATTGTGGCTTTTGTTGATATTGGTCACTCCGATTACACTGTTTCTATCGGTGCTTTCAAGAAGGGTGAACTTAAGATCCTCGGCACTTCTTACGACAGAAACTTTGGTGGCAGAGATGTCGACTACCACATTGCTAACCACTTTGCGGAGCAATTCGTCACTAAATACAAGATGGATGTTCGCACCAACCCTAAGGCCTTCTCTAGAGTTCTTACTCAGGCCGAGAAGTTGAAGAAAATCCTTTCTGCCAACACTTCTGCTCCTTTCAACATCGAGTCTGTTATGAACGACACTGATGTCTCTGGTTCTATGACCCGTGACGAGCTGGAGGAGTATCTTACTCCTCTGATTGCTAAGATCCCTAAGCCTATTGAGGAGGCCATTAAGATCGCAAATGTTTCTAAGGAGGACATTGACTCTATTGAAATCATTGGTGGTTCTACTCGTATCCCCTGCTTCAAGAATGCCATTCAGGAGACCTTTGGCAAGTCTCTTTCTTTCACCCTTAACCAGGATGAGGCTATTGCTCGTGGTGCTGCTTTCATTTGCGCCATCCACTCTCCTACTCTTCGTGTCCGTCCTTTTAAGTTTGAGGACCTTAACCTTCACAGTGTCACATTCTCCTGGCCTCCTAATGAGGCTGATGAGGAGTCTGAGCTTGAGGTGTTCCCTCAATATGGCTCTTATCCCTCTACTAAGCTTATTACCCTCTACAAGTCTGAAGATTTTGATCTTGAGGCCAGATACACCAACCCTGAGACTCTCGAAAAGGGTGTCAATCCTTGGGTTGGTAAGTGGACCATCAAGGGTGTTGTTCCTGATTCTACAGGTGCCCCCTCTGTCGTTAAGATCAAGTTGAGACACGATCCTAGCGGTCTTTATGTCGTCAGCGATGCTTACATTTCTGAGGAAATTGAGGTCGAAGAGCCCGTTCCTGTTGAGAAGAAGGAAGGTGAGGAAGAGCCTGAACCCCAGTACAAGATTGTCAAGAAGTGGGTTAAGAAGGCTGATCTCAAGGTTATCCACGCTCATCTGGGTCTTGATGACGCTCTTAAGTCTTCTTTCATTGAGAAGGAGAACCAGATGGCTGTTGACGACAAGCTCGTTGCTGACACTGAAGAGAAGAAGAATGCTCTTGAGGAGTACATTTACGATATCCGTGGCAAGATTGATGACGAGTACTCTGCTTTTGCCAGCGATGCTGAAAAGCAGAAGCTCCACAAGCTTCTTGATGCGGCCGAGGAGTGGCTTTACAACGATGGTGAAGATGCTTCCAAGGGCCAGTATGTCGCCAAGTACGAGGAGCTTGCTTCTATTGGTAACTTGATCAAGGGTCGCTACCAATCTAAGATTGAGGAGGAGCGACAGGCTAAGCTTGCTAAGCAGGAGGCTGAAGCTCACCGCAAGATGGCTGAGAAGCTTAATGCTGCAAAGGCTGCTCGCGAAGAAGCTGCCAAGCAGACTCCTGCCAGCGAGGATGTCGAGCTTCCTGATGCTTAAATTGGGGTTTTCGAATATTGATGAATTTTCTGTATTATAATATTTCAAAATAAATCTGTTTAATTTATATTATTTTTTGTTTCTTAATTGGTTAACTAAACTTGGATCTCGAAATCAAAATTCGAACACCTTATAAGATAAAACAATATTGGGAAATTAGGAAATACCTCACAATATTATTTTGAAGGTCCATTTGGTCAAAGCATAGCCGCCAATGTAAAATTTTCATAGTTGCAAATTCAAGAAAGTCATGTGACATTAGGTGAGAATTTTTTTTTGTTTGATGGCCCTTGGGTAGTTCCGAAACTCAATGTTAAGCACAGTAAAAAAGGAGTATATGTACTAAAAAAATGCCAACTTTTTTTGTTCTAAATCTACAATTTAAAATATGCCTGACTTTAATATCAAAAATGAGGTTTGTCTAAACTTCAGTGATTTTGATCTTTCTTCTTTCAAAGATGAAGTTGATGTTTTACGCTTGATTTTATATCGAAACAAAAATCAGCACCGCGTTTGGCGATGGTGGAGATACATTGAAATGATAGCAAAACATTGTTACCAGCTTATTGATATTATTGAAAAGCAGAATCGACTTGAGAAGACATGCCCTAAAGGATTTTCCAAATTACGAAATAAAAAGGGTTTAAAGCGGAAACATGAGCCCTCAAATTTAAGTAAACGTGCGATAAAACGCAAAGAAAAATGCGATGCAAGAATCAAATACTTTGAAAAGGTTGAAAAAGCAGAACTTGACAAGGCTCATAGAGAAAACGATGAAAACGCAGATATAACCAAAATCGACCTTGCACATAAAAATCAAAACGACGAGCATATAAAGTACATCCCCCCTGGAACACAATCAAGATTTAAACAAGCATATAAAATTTCGTTACTTTTACACGAGAAACTTATTCCAACTGCATATCGAAGTTTCCATCGTCAAATATTTGCATTAGCATTTTTCATTACTTTGGGGTTTGGTTTACTGGGCTCCATTTCCAAGATTTTTTCAATGGTTGAAACCCTTGTTTTACAATGCGGCAGAATAAAAAGTGAATCAACTAGAGAAATTGCACAGTCAATGATTAGTTTACAAAAAGCGGGAATTGATAATGTTAAACAAAAAGTAAACCAAAAAAAGGATGCTCAGATTTTGGAAGACGAAGAAAATACAAATGAGGATATTGGAGAAAAAGTTTCTTTAGAAGATTTACAAAAGTTTCTAAAAAATGAAGACGAAAATAAAATTGTGGATAACTCTTCAATTAAACCATCAGAAAATCCATCAACTTTCGAAGATTTAAAACAAAGCGAAGTCACAACTAAGAAAATAACTAAAGTCAAACAGAAAAAGCGAAAAAGGATAGATCAGGAAGAAGAGGCAACTGAACCAACACTAGCAAAGACTAAAAAATCTAGAAAATCACAGGACCTTCAACCAAATGACCAAAACACTAGTACTGAAAAGAAGCAAAAGAAAAAGAAAAAGAAGGCAAGTGAAATTGATGATATATTTGGCGGATTACTGTAATGACAAGATACAAGTCTAGAGCTTGAAAAATTGCTCATATGTAAGCATCAATTGAAATGTAGCTCTTTCAAACCTAGGCAACAAACCTATGAATATCCTCTATCATCTATATGAACAAAAAAAAAAAACTATAGCCCTTATAAAAAAAACATCAAAGTGTCTATGAACCAAAAACTAAAAAAAATAATATAAAAATAACAAAAAAAAACAAAATTTAGGATTTTCAAAAAGGTCAAAGGGTTGTTTAATCCTAATCACTTCAGTTTATCTCGGGCCCAAGTTGGTAAAACAAAGGAGGCTTCATGCATTTCTTTGTTGTAATACTTATTTATCGATTCTTCTGTTTCTTCATCCCAAACTCTAAGAGGCTTTTTAACGTCTAAATTAGGATCCTTGCTGCAGACAAAAAGGCCTAGTTGACCTGAGGTATAAGTTGGAACACATGTATAAGAGTATTCTACCACTGGAAATACTAATTTACATGATGTTTTTAAATCACGAATGAGATCAAGATTAAGCCATTCATTCTCAGAAACCTGGCATGATGCTATTCCATTTTCCGAAAGTGCATTGTAAAGTAGTTTGTAAAAAGATTGCTGGAACAACTGTTGGGCGGGACCTTCAGGATCGGAGGAGTCGGTGATTATAACATCAAACTTCTTGGAGTCATCCGTTTCTTTAGAAATATCTTCAAGATATTTAAAGCCATCTCCAACGTTTACTGTGACTTTTGGATGCTTGAAAGCAGATGACATATTAGGAAGGTATTTAGAAGCCACATCTAAAACAACATCGTCAATTTCAACAAGAATCGCTTCTTCCACACATTCATGCTTAACAATTTCACGCAAAACACCACCATCACCACCTCCAACAACAAGAACTCTTTTTGGGTTGGGATGTGAGTTCAAAGCCAAATGTGTAAGCATCTCTTGATAAGCAAATTCATCACGTTCAGCAACCTGAATGACACCATCTAAAACTAAAATATTTCCATGATTCGTACTTTCAAAAACGAGGACCTAAATATTCATGGGAATAAGTGAGTATTGTATGGATAAGGGGGGCTCTAACAGCATGAATAGGCATGTGAATATTTTTCAACACTGGCAAATTTGAAAGGTGTTTAAGACTTATAAACTTGTAGCAGTGACTTGTAATGGTACGTTTAAGTCCGATGATATCAATTTTAAATCAGAGGTATATTCATACACTAACCAGAGGTATTTTTTTTGCAAGTTCTTTTGCCATTCAGTGTATTCCCGTCCCATACAACAAACACCACTTATAGCTTAAGAGCTCCCATATTTTTGTTAGTAAATCAACTTTTTTTATTTTTATAAAAGTATAAAAAGGACTCACATCTTGATACTTAGATCTTTCCACATGGAGGATCTTTTTTACTTTTAACATTAATCCTTGACCCGGCCATTCATCGTTTTTTTCAGTGAACCAGCCATCTATTTTCGTAAGTCAGGATAGGTTTGATCTATAAAAGTCAAATAAATTAATAAATACCTTTGATAGTTGGATGTGTGAGTTTTGACATTTCACAGTGATCTTGTTCTTCAATAGTCATTTTTCAATCACTTTTTTTTTTTTCTGTGAACCGGATCAGTCGGACGACAAAAAAGTCAAACTCCATAATGTCTTCAAAAAAAAAAAAATAAGAAAAAAAAAATTATATAAAACCCTTACCTGTATAGTATCATTTCGTCATAACTAACGAGATTGGTACTTCTACCCGATTAACTTATTAAATCATGTGACATGTTACTAAATGAGTTTTTTTTTTTATTTATTTTTATTTTTTTTTTTAGAATATTCTTATTGTCATATACTTGTGCAAAATTCATATGACAAAAATATTCACATTTTCTCTAAAATATGTAATCTTGAAGTTTTAAGTTTCTCTCAAGTTTCCTAAATGCAAGGAAAGTTTAAGTCGCTATGTTATTTAATCATTTTAGTTTAGGTTTTCTATTCTCTTTTTGTTTTCTTTTTCTTTTTGTTTTGCTTTTGCTTTTGCTTTTGCTTTCTTTTCTTAATTTTTGATATCTTCTTCATCATTCTACTTTTGTTTGCGTTTCAATCATCATAAAAAAGACAAAGTTGACATATTTGTCTTTTCATTACTTTTCAATCATTATTCTAATACAGCTTTTTAGCCCCAAAGTTTTGATCCAGCTATTATTTCACATTTTCTTTCAGATGACATCGGCATTAAGTGATTCTGACTCGGATTCAGTGTTGAAAATTGAGCTTCCTACACAATATTATAATGATTTTGACAGCCTACTAGAATTTATCATCACTTTTCCATCTTATAAAAATAAATCTTTTGTTAAAACTTTGCAACAATCCCCACAGTCTATTAAAATTATTGAGGTTAACCTTGAAACATTAAAGCGCTTTGGTCGTTCACCTGATAATTCACGCCTTATAACGGAGAACCATGTTATCGCATTGATTAACTTTATTGAACCAAGATATTCAGAAAAGATTTGTATTGAGGGCCTCAGTATCTTAGCAAACGCATTGGTAGTTAACACAACGCTTTTAAATTCCTGGGACTGTACGAAAATCTTCAACTTAACACTTCGTTGTTATGTCCCCAGGGCACCTTCTCTTTCTCTTTCCGAACGCTATTTATTTCGTCGTCTTGGATTTCTTTTCACTTACCGGCACAATAAACTTAATGAAGATCAAGTAGCCCTTTTTTTCCCTTTAATTACTCGGTCAATGTCAGAGCTTCCCAGAGATGTTTCTAGATTTTCAGATCCGGAATACATGCCTTTAATAAAGCTTAATAGTATTGAACTTTTAAAGGTCACATTTAACGTATTTCACCATTATTCAGATTACACCCTTCACACTTTGGAGAAAAGCGGGGTTATGTGTCAAATTTGCAAAACTCTTATTATCACCGATACTGGCTCTGTGGAAAATTCAGATCTCACAAGATATCTGTTTAATTGTCTTATGTGCTCCACATCCCCTCCTGAGTGGTTTAATACAGAAGGCGAATTCGAAGATTCAGAAGATATTTTTGAAAATCTCGTCATTGTTCCGTCAGCTGATGACTACAAAGACCTTTCTTTACATAAAGTGTCGTCTTCTTCTTTGTTGATTAGAATACTTGAATTTGCAAAACTTGCTACCAACCCGCAATATGCCAAGATGTTACTTTCTGATATCACATTATCACCATGTTTAACATGCTTACAAAAAGTGATTCAAAAGGTATACTCACCTGGCTCGGCTGAAACTGAAAGTCAAGACACTCCTAAAATTCAACGTTTGAAGAATATTGCAGAATCTTATCTCCTCCCTTCTGAAAGTGAACGAGAATATCCTTTAGGAAGTCTTGATGCTCCCCATTCACTTTCAAATGCATTTGTTCGTTTTTCATCTGATATTTCACTTACTACAAGCACAGCAATTGTCCAAGATATTTATTGGAAACTGTTTTATGGAAGGGAAGGCCTTCTTGTCAGTAAAATGGGATTAGGGTTTGCATCAAGCTTTTTATCAACCACATCTACTCTGTTTTCTGGCGAGACCAAAAAAGCTGATGACATTGCAGATACTGAACAACAAACCGAAGTTGCTATAAGCAGATCAACTACTTTGGTTTCGCCTCATAATACTCAGCGATCAGATTCTAATTCTTCAAAGCTCAAAATGATGTTCAAAAGCGATGACGATTATAAAGAAATATCTAGAGAGGGTTCTTCTGATCTCACATCATCAAACACCCATTCTCCTTCTACAGGTAGCTTTTCGGATTATCCTTCTTCTAATAACGACTCTATTACATTATTAGACAAATCAGATTCTTCATCTATTCTAGACTCGTTGCCTTTTTTTTCCACCTCTCCGAAACCCACACTTGCAAAGCTGAAAGCCAAAACAAAATCTCTCGCTCGTGGTAAAAATCTTTGCAAAGCTTCTGAGTTAGATCCCAAAGAAAGTGAAAAGAACACTAATACAAATAAATCTTGTGGGTTTGTTTCAAAGTATTTACCTGGTGTAAGCTGCAGCAATACAAGCCTTTCTTCATCAAAAACAACTACTCCCGCTAAAAAATCAGATTTAACTTCAGATAAGGCTAATACTTCTAAATCTTCTGCTTCTAAGAGTTCAAATTCGCTTTCTGAAATTGGACCACCTCAAGGAAATGTAAAGCCAATAAATATTCAACAAAGCAATACGTCAAATAGCATTGATAGTGTTGGAAGCGTTGGCAGCAGTGCAAGTGCAAATGTTCTTTTATACCCTTACATATCACCAGCAGATAACATTGAAAACTTGAAAAAAGATTCAACTTTAAAGACACATGTTAAATATAACGATGACGAAATTAATCTGTCAGAGACTACAACAGGATCTAAAGTCAGCATTGACCCCATCACGGGGAAAATGTTGACTCATGACGAGTTTAATCGGCAACTTGAAAAAATTCAACAGGCGGCCAAGGAAAGAAGTTTAAACCCAGATAATGCAGATGAATTAGAATGGACTGAAGAAGAAAAAGAAAAAGAAGCTGAAAAAATGTTTGATTTATTTGAGCGATTGAATAAAAATGGTGTCATAAAGGTTGCCAACCCTTCTCAAGTGTTTCAACAAAGTATATCTAAGTAAAATTAATAAAAAATTAATATATATATAAATCTAATTGATAATACAAGTTTATAATTGGTTAATTGTTAGAGGGGTAATTGCTTATGATGTGCCACTTTTTTGACTCCAGTAATCCTGACGTTTCATTTTTTTGTGAATTGAGTGTGTTCTGCTGTCTGAAGAATCATCTTTATAAGAGTTAGCAGCGTTTTCTTTTTCTTCAGTGATAGCAGAAGTGTCTAAGTCAGCTGGATCGTAATCTGAATCAGATGATACTTCAATTGGGTCACCAGGGGAATTACCATTTAAAATAGAAGCAGACAATTTATCATTAGAATTAACTTGAGGTATTTGGGGTTCATACTTTTCGTCATTCTCATTATCCTTAACCTCTTCATCTGAATCAATAACAAAAAAGCTTTCAAGCTTAGATTTTTGAGAGTCGTTGAATGATTTTCTATCAACTCTCTGTAGAGGCTGGGCTGCCGGGGGACGCCGATTGTTTTCAAACTCTACTTCGGCTGGATCGTAATCATTATCATTGTCACTGTATTCATCGCCACTGTCGCTACTTGTAGACTTCCATGCAATATTTTCTACCTTTGATCGAAAATCCAAAAAGTCTCGTTCAGGACCTTTGAGCTTTATAATCATCCCCAGAATGCTTTGATTTTTGCGGTTTGATACAGGTAAGGAATTAAGTTCGTAACATTTGGCAGTCAACAAGTCGAAAGCTCCAGAAAATGCACGTTTGATGTTCATAATTTTAAAGGTGCCTCTACTGATATTATTATCAGGATCATCAGGATCTTGTATAACTAGTGCATAGGGGGTATATTTAGCACCCGAATGACATAGATTGTAAATTTTGCTTTTGTTGATATATCCAAATGATGAAGATCCCATTGAAAGAGCAACATTATCATAATTAAAATTTTTCCCATAAAGCTCGAAAAATTCAATCAAAAGAGTGCCTAAATTTCGCGATGGATCTATTGAACCTGAGGCAAGTTTTGGATGAAGAGCAAGAAATGATACAATAGAACATATAATGGAATACCCACCCATTCCACCATTAGAAACATCATTTAGTTTGCGATGAGATAAAAATTGCTTTATTGGAATAACCAGCTCACGCAAACATGGGAAACGCTGGCTCCAACCACGAATGTGTTCGACCGCTGTAAGGCCATTGGTCCGTTCAAAAGAAATGTCGATATGAATGTTACTGGACCGATCAACAAACTTAATGATAGGAACTCTAGCTTTACCAATAACGACAACATTAGAGGCAATTTTAGGGTTGTTTCGTAATAAACCACCAAGCTGATACAGATGGCTTTTAGTCGCAAGCCGTTGAGTTGGGGAGGTGATTACCATATCAATATCTGATCCCGGTAAATACATATCGGTTGCATATGATCCAAAAACGTTTACTGTAGCATCAGACCATATACTAGCGACAAGTTTTCTAACACGAGAAACAGCTTCATTTCGAGCAATAATTTCAGCTTCTGATGGAGAAAGATAAGCCACAAAATCCTTAATTTCCGCTGTAAGTCTATCAGCAATCTCTTTATGTGACTTCATATTGCTTTTAATCCACGGGTACTCCTTTGATGTGTCCTGTCTTTTGTGTTGTATATCGATTGGTTTGGCTTTACGTTTCCGAGAACTTTCTGATGCTGGATTGTAGTATTCATCATTACTGTCACCTTCTTCACCTTCTTCACTATTAAAACCATTTGACGAAGTTTTCGAGGTTATCAGAGGTACATAAGTACGGCCATCATCACTATCATAATCTCTGTCATATAAGGAATTGTTATTTGAGTTGTTTTCATCATCACTATCTTCATCGCTGGAGAAATTAAAGGAAATAAAATCGGTATTGTTGGTCAGTTCATTTGTTGTAGATGAAACTGAGGTTTCTCTCTTTGGCTCAGAAAGAGTTCCTAAATCTTGAGACTGAATAGCTTTAGATTCCTCTTCTGAATCGGAATCAATAACAATTATATCCTCCTTATTTGAGTCCGATTCTTCATTTGAGGTGTCTTTCGTGGTATTTTGCTCTAAAGATTTTATTCGTTTAGAATGCTGTTTAAAAATCTTTTTTTCCTTTCGAAGTTCTTTCTTTTTTATCCTCTTCTTTTGCCGAGAAGTTAAATTGGAAGTATCCTTGTTGCTGCTATTGCTGCTGAAAGATTGGGGAGTTGTTGATCTGGACTTATTTTTTTTGTTAGATGTTGATTTTGGTTTATCTGAATCGATATTCGATCCAATGTTCCCATCCCCTCGAGAAGAGTTATGAAAATATGATAAGTTAGCCGGGCCTTTGTCGATTGATTTGCTTTTTTCTTTAGATTTCATTTTCGAGTTGTTTTTAGACTTCGCTCGGCCTATAGGCTTGGGAGGTAAAGAGGGATTAGTAGAAACCTCAGGAATCGAGGAGGAGCTACTAATCATAGTTATGTTTTTTTGTTTTCGTATAATTTAAATTCTTTCTTTTTTGCGTCAATGAAAAAACTGAAATTAGATCTTTTAATGTAGGTACAAAAAGTTGATGGTAAAGCTGCCAAATAAAAATATCTAGTCTAGTTTAACCTAACTCATTTTAAGAAAATTTTTTTGAAAAGTAGACTTTTTTTTTTTCTACGCGTAGAGCCATAGATATTGATACCACGTGATATTAAATGTTACACTAGTTTACCCAATTGTATGCATAGCCATGTTAACATACTAGTATGTTATAACATGTTAGTAAGCTATAGAAACCTTCACAAGTTATTCAAGTAAGCGTACATAACTTGTAATGAAGTTACTTTCTTCTGAATACCCACTACCACCAAAAAACTTAAAAACACAAGGATTTATATACTAGCAAACCAAACAAAACCTGATAAATAGCCCATTTTTTAAGAATGAATGCGCTACTTTTTATTTATCAAATCCCGTTTTGAAATAACTTAACGTGTCAGATTTTGTTCTAATTTTAATTTTTTTTTTTCAAATATTTGAAGAAATTTGATATCATACCTTGCTTTTTTCTCCGAGTTGTTACATCATAATGTCACTGGTTCCAGTTAGGCCAAATCAAAACAACTGGGTGGTTGTTTTGTGAGTTTTTATTCCAGTACAATTGTTTAATATAATTCACTAATTATATTTAGAAAAGATTCAACCCGTAATTCACTTGTTCTGTATAATCAAAGATCTCATGAGCTTGCTCTTATTAACGATCCCTCTGAATTTCATTTTTATAATACTCGGCTTATCGGCTCTTCCCCTAATGACCCACTACCTGAGATTTATCCTGGAATATTACAAAATGATGAATCGTCATCGGAGCTATCTTCAGTCGAGTTATCCCCTAGCTCTTCACTTGATTATCCAACTGCCGCTCCTGCAGAATTAATAGAGTACTATCCACCAGAGTTTAATGATAACGGACATTCAGGATTTCAGGGTCCGTCGAATCACAGTCATTCTTCTTCTTCCACAACCATAATTGTGTGCCCCGAATGTGGTTATCATATACCATCACCATTTCGTCGGCAGGGAACATCCACTCATCGTCATCACAGACAGCATCAGACTCGTTCGTCTCATACAGCAATGCCAAGGCAAATAGAAGCACCAGCAATTGTTCGTGATGCTAATTATTTTAAACTTCTTGAAGGGTTTACCCCAGTTTCTCGAAATAATAATTCTTTAAATCTTAACGAAACAAATGATGGTACTAGTCATGAGTCAAACGAAGAAACAAGTACTAGTATTCAGCAAGAGTTTAAGGATACATCTCTGAATCAGGAGACTGATCAACCTGAAGAACCCAATGCCTTTTCTAACAAACCTTCCTCAATAAAATCAGAATATTCGTCTATTTCAGCGTCTGCCTTCAGCCAGGGTTACTTTGACCAATTTTTTAAAGTTAAAGGCACGTTAGGCCGTGGAAGTCGTGGCACTGTATATTTGGTTGAACATATGCTAGATGGTTATTCATTAGGACTTTTTGCTTTAAAAAAGGTTCCCGTGGGAAATGATCATAAATGGCTTGAAAAAGTTCTTTCTGAGGTACACCTCCTACGATTACTAGCCCATCCAAACCTCGTGAGCTATAATCATATGTGGCTTGAAAATTCCCAGATTTCCAGATTTGCACCAGTAGTTCCTTGTGCTTTTATTTTACAGGAATACTGTGATGGAGGCACATTAGAAGACTATGTTAATAATCTTAAATCAGATTATATTCTTGAATCTTCTTTGCCACCAAAAGATGGGTTATCGCCTCAAAATCCAGCAAATGTTGTAGCTAAAGAAAGATTTAGAAGAAAATCTGAAGCCCGATCAAATAGACAAAAAATTCCTTTGAAAAAAATGACAAAACTTACTTTGGAAGAAATTTTATCTTTCTCTCGAGATATTTTTTCAGGGATTGTTCATTTACATGGAGCACAAGTGGTTCATCGAGATCTAAAACCATCTAATTGCTTGCTTTTAACTCCCGAAAACCGCGCTTTTAACAATATATCAAAAAATTCCCAATTTTCTTCAGCTTCAAATGATTTTAAAGAGGACAAAAACAAGGAAATGGAGAATTTAATCAACTCCCAAAACTCATACCCGTCGGAAAATCATTCATTAAAAAAAATGAATAAACTTCCAACTGTCCTTGTAAGTGATTTTGGCGAGGGACAAATGGAAGGATTACTACGAACTGGAACGGGAACTACAGGAACATTAGAGTACTGTGCTCCAGAACTTATCAGGCCATTTTCTTCTGGTGAATTAGCTCAATTTTCTAAAAAAACAGACATGTTTTCGTTGGGCATGATTTTACATTTCCTTTTATTTTCTCGTCTTCCATACACCCCACTCCTAATAGATGGCGCAGATTCTGAATCTTTAGAAAAGCTAAAGAAAGAGGTCATTGATTTTAAAGGGTTTGAAGTTTCAAACGTGGAGTTCAGAGAAGATATTCCCCAGGAACTTTATATTCTTTTGGCCAAGTTACTTTCTATTGACCCAGACGAGCGTCCTACAGCGATTGAATGCTTGAGAGTTATTGAAACTTTAATTCGATCCTCTGGATCCACTTCACAAACTTCCAATCGTTCAAATTCTACTTCCTCAAATGAACCGTTAAAAAAACAAAAACAACCTAATTCGTTTTCAAACAGCGAAAAGAACAATGGATCTCGAATAAATGATTCGAATTCTTTGGTTGGAATTGTTGCGGTCTCAAACCAGATTTCCAAAAACAAATTTGATGACACAACTTATACCACTAACTCTCCGCATGCTTCCATTAGTTTTATTACTGATCGATCGCTAGCTGACGTCAAAACTATGACAAATTACTCAACGCAACCATTTGGAGATCTGGGCACTCCCCCCAGTTCTAAGAAGCTAATTTCGCCTCGAAAAGGTTCAGAAAGTCAAAGTTCTGAAAATATATCTGGTAAAGAAAAGTCTCATATCAAGCAATTAGAAAGTCAAAATAAATTAAGCAGTAAAATCATTGAAAAAAAAGATACTATCAATACAATTCCTCATGATTTAAAGCTTATCGATACTCACTCTAAACTTCAATTAGAGAAACTGGTAAATCGGCCTTTTCCTGAGAATTTCTATTTTGGTACCTCAATTAATGATAATATTTCCAGAAATCTGGTGACATACCGCAACTTAACACCTCCAACGACAAATAATATCATTGGATTTTCTTCTCCCAAAGGTGCTGAAGTTAATTTTAATGGGAAAGCTTTTGGAGAAACCTCATTCCCTGATAAATTCACTGATCACAATCAAGTTTCACAACTTGCTAATTTTAAGAACTCACAATCAGATGAATACGATACCCATAATTTGGCTAATTCATCCCTAAAACGTAGCATATCAACTCTTAAAAGAAAGTATGGTGAAAGTTTACGACTTACCCAAGATAATAGAGAACTATATGTTGAGCAAAATTTTCCGCAATATTTCGAAGAAGGGCCAAAAACCAAGTTTCAGCGTAATCTAGATTCAAACAGTGACACCAATGACCATAATGATGGAGAAAATACTATGCAACTAGAATTGGTACCTTCATCTCATTTGCAAATACACAGAGATGGAAATGAGCTTCCCAAAGTCTCTTTACCTAATACCCAGAAAAGTATAATATCAATATTAATTTCATGGCTAAAAAGACTTATGTCCAACCCGAATATCCGAATTGTTTTAATAAAGTTTTGGTTAATTATAATCAAAATTTACTTACTTCAAAGGTATTTGAATAAATTAGATAGTATGAAAGGTATTAAACGAGATGACAACTTCAATTTGGTATATTATGTCATTTTTCGACCTTTAAAAAGATTATTTTTTGAGAAAATCAAATGGACTGGAGTAACCGAAGCTAAAAACTACAATCTTTCTATTAAACCAGATAACCATATTGATTACAGTTCAAACGACACATCGGATCAAGGGTTGTTCAATTTGTTAATTCTTTTGCTTGGAATGGAAGTTCCCATGTATGTATTTCTTCAACTTTTCAAGGACACATGCTAACAAAACTTTAGAATGGACCTTAAAATAAGCCTAATTTTTCTATTGTTGCATTTTTTTGTGATTTTTTTGTTCTAATTTAAACATAGCTTAAAAATGATAACTATATGTATTTTAATTTAATCTTTTTTTAAGCATAGTCCTCTTGATTAATGAAAACGTATCATAATTATAATAACTTATAAGCCATTACTCAATGACTGAGCGGGATATTATGAAATAATAAATAAGATAGTAATAAGCATGAAATGTAGGTTTATTTTTTCCCCAATTGTCAACTAAGTTAGCCTATTCAAATACTCCTAGAACTTAGCATTGGCAGCCAGTGGCTCCAGTAGATGGCCCCTTCAAATCAATTCCTCGTCGTGCATTAGCGCTATTGGAACCTACAGCACCAGAAGCGCCACCCCTTGAAGCGAGAACTGATTCAATCGGAAGTTTCTTTGCAATTGCGGTAAAAAGCTCAGTAACATTTTGGCCAGTTTTTGCAGATGTCTCAAAAAATAGAAGGCCTGCTTCTTTTGCGTATGCTTGTGCTTCCTCTGTAGTCACTTGACGTTTAGACTCATCCCCTAAAACGATATCAAGTTTGTTTCCCGCCAATGCAATCACAATATTTTCATTTGCCTGGCGCTGAAGTTCCTTTACCCAGGCCTTTGCACGGGTTAATGAAGCTGCTTGGGTAACATCAAAAACCACTACAGCACAGTTTGCATTGCGGTAGTACATTGGTGCAAGAGACTTATATCGTTCTTGACCCGCAGTGTCCCTAAATTCAGGTTGTTAAAATCATTTGTATTATTTTGGTAGAAAACACATGAAAAAAGGCGATTTAAACTTCTTGGCCTTCGGTAATAAAAAAAAACGAGGCGCATGAATTTAACAAATCAATACGACGACATATATATTTGTTTATTTTCATTGGTAACATACCATATTTCAAATTTTACTGTTGTGTTGGAGTCTAATTGAATTGTTTGTGTGAGAAAAGCTGCACCAATAGTGGATTCTCTGTAATCATCGAAAACATTCTAATTCAGTTAATATTATATGATAGACACAAAACCAACTTTTTTAAAAGATCATACCTTTGCAAATCGTTCAACGATTGAGCTCTAAGTAAGCACAAAAGTTAGTATGCATATTCACATTTAAAAAAAAGTATTGTAATCAGGATAACGATGTAATAAAATACCTTTCCGACCGCGGATTCACCTGTTAAATAAAAAATGTGTTAAACCAAACCAAACCAAAAAAAAAGTTAATAAGAAAAAAAAATACCTAATAAAACTAATTTAAACTGAGCAAAACGCGAAGAAACTGATGATCTAGGTGTTGATGCCGACATTTTGATATAATATGTAAATGAGATGAATGTTTATTTGGAAAATATAGCTTGGAGAAAAAAGTGGTTCTTAAAAATCTGTTGATATCAAAGATATTAAAATAAAGCTTAGATACTAAAAAAGACAAGAAAAAATGAAAGCAAAAAAATCTGTTTTTTTCCTTTTCAGCTGATTAAGATATGTGACGATATGGGTTCAATAGCTGGGATTAGAGTATTGCTGGAGTTGTGTCTTCCAAAAAAATCTAAAGTTAAGAGAAAAAAGACCAAGATGTGAGGTAAAACACCTTTGACGTAAACTTATTTAGGAATGACATGACAAGTTTTGTTACTAATCATGACTAATCATTTACTTTGCCACCGGTTTATCTATCTTTGCTAGGTATTGAGGCTATTCTTATCTCAGACACTGATAACCACAAAACTCGCATTCATCACGTTTAAACATATATATCTCCCCTCTTTACTTTTTTTTAATCTCACGAACATTACCATCACAGCATCAACATAACATATCATAATAATTACCTACATAATGGCTACTATTTATCCGGGAAAAGGACTTGGTAATTTGACTCTAGGCTCATCTCTTCAATCAGTCCTTGCTTGTCTTAAGGCCAGTCCTACCACATTTCCTTCTATCAAAATTATATATTCTAAAAAAACACCTGTTAAGTCTCCAATAACTGTTGTTCTTAAATACAATGGACTTAGGCTTAGGTTTGATGGACAAACACAAAAACTACGACTTATAGAAGTAATCGAATGGGGAAAAATGAAATTAACATATAAAAAACGAGATGTTGGGTATGTTTATAAATTGTAAATTATTTTTATTGATTATTGAACTAATCATTTTTAAGGAGTCAAGGTCCTCTTACTTATATTAAAATTTACAACAATATTTTTGGACCTACTTTTCCTGGTAAATTTTATCATGAGCATCGTGTTTATGTTCTTTCTTACCCTGGTATTGCATTTTCCTTTCAACTTTCTTATGAAGCAGTGCAGCGATTAGATGCTTCCCAAGACATTCCAAAGTTTTTAATGTCTTCCAATGCACCCCCTTGTACTTCGATGGCCATATTTCAAGGCGATTACTGGTGGGATGTCGAAAGTATGCTTTTTCCAAAAATGAATTCAATCGATTTAGCTCCGGGATCTCAAGATAGAATAAAATCCTTACCAACTAGGAAGGTCTCTAATCAAGGTTTGGCTATTGACAGTGTTTGGGCAGATGAGAGGAACGGTACTTGTTTGCTTAATTTTTTTGCACACCCAAGATCTATTTCAAATTTTTTAATAAAAATCAATACCACTACGATTCAAGATGTTGTTATGATTCTAGGTCCACCCTCAGAAAGGTTTTTTAAACAAGATTCTCGGCTTTCAATTTTTAATCCAGAAGGGAGCGATGAGAAAGAGCATTCCACACTTTTTTTTAACTACTTCTTTTTGGGAATTGACATATGCTTTGATACCTCTCTGCGAAACGCAACTGCGAAAAAAGTGATAATACATGGTAATGTACCAGGAGCAGTATCTTTTCAAAAGTATGAACGCTGCAGGTGGAGTTTGATTGGAAGTTCACTTTCTAATGACGCGACTTATCCAAACTCAGAAATGAAATTTAATAAGTTTGCAAAACAATATCCTTTCAAAGAAACCCCTATGGTCCTTAATCGGCGTTTAGAATGTGCCACTACATCTCTAAATGATGATGGTATGGAAGTTATTGGTGAAACTGATGAGCAGCACTATGATGGTGATAAACTGGGAGATTGGGGACTTACAGATTTGTATGGAGCACCTGGTTTGGTTATTGAGGTTCTTAAAAATGGTGATATTGCTTCTTTGACAATTTATTAAGTAGATTGTGTAAGGTTTATTTATGATTATATAATACTTAGTTAATATACAAAGGTATGTAATATTTTGTACAAGACTGGTAATTACTATAACTACGAAAAACAAAACAAAACAAAACAAAACTACAAAATATAAACATCTAATCCCACTAAGTCATCATACATATGCTTTTTTAAATCTTTGAAAGACCTTGACGCATTTATTTACAATTTATAGTGCTTAATAATGGCAAACTCATCTTTTAAAAGTTCTGCTAAAAGATCCGGTTTATCATCATGTTCTGGGGTTAGAAAAGATGCACAACACAAATCAAATTCGAAAAAGTCGAAATCAAAAAAATCAAGCAAATCCAAGTCCAAGTCTAATAAGTCTAAGTCTAAGTCTAGCAATGATTCACAGCAACACTCGAAGTCACCAAACTTACAGCAACGTAAATTAGATTTACCTTTACCAGCTTCATCAGAAGACTTACCTTCTTCTTCATCTTCTTTGAGTTCTCTATCTTCAAGTGAACAAGAAAGAGTTGATCAAGTTTCAAAAGAGTACATTTTATCTAATCAATCATCGAAAGTAGATCCTACAACTCAAACAAAGCCTCTTGAGACATCCAAAAATTCAATGAATATCATTCCATTAGCTTCTACTGGAAAACTCTCTAAAAATGATGATTGTTCTAACAATAATAAATCTAATGATTCTACACCTATAGATTCAATCAACCAAAACAAAGCTGAAGGGAATAATAACACCGTTAAAAATTTAGAAAATTTTAATTTAGAATCTTCACCAATCCCTTTAAACACGCTTGTTGCACTTGCCACCGTTGTTATCAATAATACTCAGGATTTAACTCATTCTTTACAAGACTTAGCCGACAACACTAAACCATTCTTGGAGAAACCACAAGATAAAGTTGATGATCAGGATTCAACAAGAAATGATGTTATGGTTTCTTCAACACATGGGTCACAAGAGCCCCCATCTAGGTCTTTAGATTCGATTGGAGAAACTCTTGCATCAGATATTACAACGCCTGCTTCATCAAAAACGATACATTTAAATAACGGACTTCATAATTCAAAAACTGATATCTCTAATTCTTCAACAAAAAAGAAAGCCAGGTTTAATAATGTTTTGTTCTTTGAACCCACTAATTGTTCAAATAATTTAAATATGTCGCCTAGTAGAGCATTAGAATTAAAATTAAAACTCAATAACTCTGAGGCTTCTCTTAACCCTTTTGAAGCTTGTTTAAGCAAATCAGATGATTTGGTTTCCTGTGATAAAACCGCAAATCCCTTGTCCATTTCGCCAAAAAAAAACCTCTCACCCCTAAAATCGATTCTTAAATGCCCCTCATCTCCTATTCCTTACTCTGATCCAGTTTTTGCTTCTTCGCCAACAAAAACAGGTCTTTTACATCAACAATCATCTAAAACAAAAAGTGAATATAAAGTACATGAAAATTTATTAAAATCCTTACTTAACATAGTGGAGGATTCTAACTCTTCCAACAAAAATAATAGTCCAACAAAGCCAGATATTAAAATTTCAACAGAAAACGTAGAAATTCATATTCAAACTTTGGAAGAAATTTATTCTTCTACTTATGATATCAAGTCAGTGATCTCTATTGATCCTATATTTGTTGTTTCTTGTGCAATTTTAAATTATTTGCAGCATAACCCTCGTTATGAATATGCCAACTCTAATTTATCCGGAAATGGTTCTCAGTTGTTAGGTCCTCCTTTTTTTAACAGTTTTCCCAATATTAAGTTGAAAATTAAAATATATGGAGCTATTTACATTTTACTTAAAAGCCGAGACACACCTATCTCCAGTGCTGTCTTAAAAGCATATACCCCCATTTTTCTTTTATACGCTTACAATGATTTGGTCAAAGCCACTTCTGCTTTTGAAGAGGCCCCTGCTTTTCCAGCTCCTTTATCTACATCAGCTTTTAAAAAAAAAGATAATGTTTCTATTCCAGCGACTCCAAATATAACAAAAACAGAGGCAACATTACTTTCAAAGCTTATAGGAATGATTGGAAAATGCCTTGAAAATGCTCTTAATATCCGGTATTCAATAGATCGTAATTCTTTATCAGTTGATAAAGCTACCAAGGTTTTACTTGACTCCGCAAATACCTTCAACAGTAATGGTAGTTCAAAATCTGGTAATTCAGCTGATGACTCAAAAGTTATGCTTATAGATGTTTCAAGAAAAATTTTTGCCCATGTCATTTTATGTTTTTCTGGGAAATTTTCACCCAAAGTATGTATTAACTTCACCTCATTCAATTCAATTTTTTTAACATTTTTTAGTATATTACTTCACCATTTCTACGTTTGTTTTTGAGTAAAATGGCTAGAATTGCACTTACACCAAATATGCTTCATCAATTTCTTGTGATTATTAACAACTTAACTGTATCCAATGATTCTGAAGCTAATATATCTTCCAAACCCTGCTTCTCCAGTTCGAATTTGATTGAGATCTTGAGTATTTACCGCCAATACCTTACTGTGGATAGTGTTGGCTTAAACGGTGGAACTGCTTTGCATTCTTTATCTATTAAACGTCGAAATTATATGCTTGAACACCCAAACTCTTGGTTACCTTCTGTTATGTCAAGACTGATTGATACAAACCCTATTATAAGCGTGAAGGCTTTGGCGGTATTAGAAGAGATTGCAGGTATCTTTGATTCTGGGCATAATACGGCTTCATCAAATAAACTTGATGGTGGTGGAATTTTTGACCCCTCTTTATTAGACGGAAGTTCTGATACATCATCCTTAAATTCGTCATCATTTGTGCTACCAGAGCCATTTTGCAAATGCCTATTACAAATATTTGAACGCCAAATTGGTAATAATTCTCATTTCAATCAAAACAATAACACAAATGAAAAACAAAAAAAAGTCTTTTTGTTTGACTTATTCAGCGACTATTTTAAACAGGCTTGGGCATCTCACAAAATCCCTATTTTGTCTAATAGCAATTCAAGTGTTTCTTGTTCTGTTAATGGTGAACCGTTCACATTTTCACCAAGTTCTAACAATAACACTAAAACAGTTTTCCTAAATAATGACGTTGCTCAGCATGCTTTTAATATTTGGCGAGCAGTTTTTCGTTGTTTTTCTGCTATTTACCATATCAGCTTCACAGGTTCATCTACCAATGGAGGAGTTAACGGTTCACAAAAAAATGAAAAATCTATACCTAGATTGGCAAACTATCTTTTTTTTAAGTGGAAATATTGGCAGCATTGGATATCACTTATTTTGGATCAAGTGAAATCCTCAAAGGATTTATATTGTTATCACGAACCATTTGACTCTTTGTTGAAAACACCTATTGATACATCTTTGTTTGAGAACCACCCTCCAATTGATATCGATGAATTTCGATTCAGGTTTTTAAGATCAATTTTTTTTGAATGGATTCACTTTAGTACTATGGTAATGACGGCATCATTTAATCCAGCGGGCTCAATCTGTTCTCGTTTAAATGGATCCCCATTTTTTGATTTGTGTTTCCCTTTTTCCGAAAATTTTGAGCTTCAGGGCCTTTCCATGTTTGAACTTTTTAAACTAATCGATCTGCCCCCTATTCATCCATATGAAAGCCACAGTGATCCTGGAAAGCTCTCACATGAGTTTTCTAACCATTTTCAAACAAACAAATCTGTTTTGGAAAAATTTGAGAAACAAGTACATCTCATTGGAAGTCTTCGCTCTACCATATATAAGTCTCTTGTTTTTGTTATTACCTCTGTTCGAATTGCTGGAATATATCCTCAGGATTTATCTAACTGGCATTCGGATGATCAATCAGATTTAGAACGGCTTTCTGGATGTACTCAAGATTGGATCAAAATTTGGGATGAGTATTTAATTAAGTTCTTTGAGGTTCAATTGTCTAACATTTCTGTTCCAGTTGCAGAACTTGTTCTTGGAATCCAGGTTTTATTTTCGGGTGATTTATACAATCGTAATGACTTATTTACTAAAAATCGAATTCAATCAGTGCTAGATATCAATTCCTTGAATAGCCATGAAATAGGATCATTTTCAAAACCATTTTATCCCAAAGCTGCAACAAATTTAGTCAAGTTGTACATCCATGACCCCACTTTGACGAAAACCAATATTGAAGAAATAGGAAGAGCTTCTGTTGATAGGGATGAAGAAACCACTGTTTCACTAAATAACCAAAATGAAAACATTTTATGCTCCGATGTCGTTGGAATGGCCCTTGCAATTAGCTTAAGGATTAAGAAGTCATTGCGTTTTACTAAATCAAATTTACGAGAATCATTTTATTCTTCTTTGTTTCTGGGCTTGCCTAGGCAAAATATATCTATTGTTGAAAATAATCCCAATTTTGCGACATCATCAATTTACGATATGTCCAATGAATTATGGCGTGACACTTGCATACTTTTGTTAAAGTTGTTCATTCATGGAAACCTAGGCTTGCAAAATCTCCCATCTGACGTCTTTGGGATTTTTCTGGAACTAATGAGTTTTTGCTTTTCAATATATATAAAAGAATTAAAAAGCATGAAAGTTTTAGATGAGCTTTTTCAACTTGCTTTCATTTTTTCTGCTTCTGACACCCAACACTCAAAAAAATCATGCTGGGGTTATTTGGTCAATTTCAATGTTGAAACATTTGAATTTTCTCTTAGTCAAGAAGACTCTAATATGGACAGTAATGATGAAGCCAGTACCCATAAAGAATCTTTAGACCCCAATGAAAAATTGGGAATTGCGGTTCTTCCATTTAACGTTGCTTTTGGTATAGCTATTATCTCTGCTACCCAAGTAGTATTTTCTGATATTTCAAAAGATTCTTCTTGTTTGTCGGAAAGTACTCTAAAAGAAAATTATGTTACTGGTCATATACCTGTTTGCTCTGAAAGTTTCAAGATATTTAAAACACCCACTGAAAATGTTTTAAATTCTTTTTTTAAGTTTTTAGGGTCTTTTATTCCTTTTACCGAAAGTCTTGAATTATTAGAGAATAATTCTAAAGAATCTCAGCCCAAATTTAGTTTCGATTCCCACTATAGTCGCAGTATTTTTGATACAACTTTACAGACTTTAGCCTCAGTTGAGTATAACCCTTATTTTCCCATTAATAGGTTTTGGAGTTGTTTCGTTGATGCTACAACTAAAAGTCTAAACAATTTTGACGATGATTCAAAAAAAAATAGTTTAGATGGATCTAACGAGCATTTACTTGAGTTTCAGGCAAAAAATAACGATGAATCTATTCGGCTTATTGTTCAAAGGTATGGTGTGCTTTTTCGCCTTTACAATTCATTAGTTATCCAGCTGCACAATTATAAAAATAAAGACAATACTGGTACCAATGACATTGGTACCAATATATCCCGTTTAGAAAGTTCTTTCCTTTTGATTTTGGTTTCTTTTTTTGAAAAATCAAAAGTATTCATCAACGCTGCGGCAAAAAATAGTGTTGTTCGGAGAAGAAAAAGTTACGATGATAATGAAAAATCAGCAAGTTTATCAAAAATTTCGCATTATCCAAAAATGACGCGTTCCGTTAAACATTTTGTGAACTCTAAAGATATCAGTTCACAACATTTTAACTCTTATCATTGTCAGATATATCTTGCTATTTTTATGGGAAAGCTTTTTTGCGAGATATGGTCGTCTGATTTGAAAGAGCAAATGCTATTGACTTTAACCAAATGTCATACTGAAGCTCCAAAAAGAATTATTGTTCAGCAGTAAGTATCTATTTTTTTATTGGGTTCTCTTCTAACGTTCATTTAGGCTGTTAATAGCTTTTGCTGTTCTTGAGCAGATTTATTTTCAATTAGATCCTCGCATTAAATCTTTGAAAAAAATAGAGCGGGACCTTCTTTTGATAAATGGCTTTCCTTTTATTTTGGAATCTGATTTGGAATCTTTTAAAAAAATTATGGAACTTCATTTAGTAACTATGAGTTCATATTCAATTTGTCCTGACATTGTTAAAGAATTTTCAATCGCCATGAAAGATCTTATAAAGTACATTGATATTGAATTTTTTAAAGATTCTAAATCTCCTTCGTGCTTCTCATCATCTAATAATAATGGTTTGTCTTTTCAAGCAGCAGGACTTCAAAATATGTCTATTGCTGAATCGTGGCCCTGGTTTATTGATGCATTTTTTTTCCGAATCTTTCCATGTTCTCGAGATCGCATTGAAGACAACTTGGCTTTGGAATATTTACTGCCGATAATACCACAAGGTTACTTTACTTCACTTTCAAAGTACGTTTCTCAAATACCTATGACAGATCAAAGGTTTGGATCTGGAATCACCGTGCCAGATAAAATGTATAAATCTGCATATCGCTCTTTGATTGTGGGGAAACAAAAGTTAGAAAAGCTTATTACTACATCTGATGATCCTAATTCATTCTCAAAGTTGTTGGGATGTGAAACAAAGGCTGCCAGAGCTGCAGGATTTCCATATGATTCAAATGATTCTACTAAAATTTTTGACCTTCAAAAGTTTTGGTGGCTGGACACAGATCCAAGCGCAGATTTTAATGATCTTGTTGATTCATCTGCATTCATTGAGGCAACTCTTGCTGGACTTTTTGTTAATGATGTTTCTATGGCTTCTGTTTCAGCTTCTTTGTTTCTTCGAGTAAAACCCAGTATGCTAAAAAAATTCCTCATACCTGATGGATATTTTCTTGACGTCAGCCCAGATGAACAAAAGTATTTATATCCTCCTGTTTTCATAGGGATTTTATATATTTGGCATAAAGTTTGCCCTGATTTTCCTGATAAATCTTTGCTTCCAAGAAGCGATTTTTTGTTTTTTAAAACAAATAAAACCTTCAGCGAAATTTTTGATTACATTGAAAAGTATGGAAAGAAATTTCTCTCGTCAGTCAAAAATTACAAATTTACCACAACCTTACAAAATCCTTTTGGTAGTCTTGATTTCAATTTATTTGTTCAATTGCTGCAAAATACCGACGATTCTGATTTGAATGATAATGAGCAGCAATCTGATTCTTGTGTTTTCAACAATTCACCAAAACCTGAACAGTCATCTTTTACTCAAGAACTTGAACCTATCAATAAAATAAATGATTCATGTCAATCTTTAGATCATTTTCCTTTAGATTCGGTTAGAAAATTGCCAATTAAACCTTTATTAAAAAGAAATTTGTCGGATCTAAATGAGCTACAGACTACTAAAAGTATTGGTTCAAAATTTTCGGAAAATAATTGCCAAAATACATTCACTCAAAAAATTGTACCTTTAGAAGAAAGTATTAGTGAATCTGATAACGCCCAAGAAATTTTTCTTGAGTCAACTGGAAACTTGAGTAAAAACAATAACAATTCTTTACATATCAGTGGTTCAAGTTCTTGCGAAGTCAATAACGAAGCAAATGAAAAACTAGTTTCTGAAGAAACCCAAATCATTTTTGGCGTTGAAAACAAAAATCCCACATTACTCCATAATTCTAACAAATCGACATTAGATCTTGTTGAAAGGCAATTAAAAAAACAAAAGACACAAAATTGTCAAGATTTCAAAGAAGTCGGCGATCTAGTCTCAAATCTCAAGACTTTCATATCTAAGTACAATATGAGCTTTTCTTCAACTCCATCAGAAAATGATGATTCATCAAATTGCATCCCAGAGTCACTTTTGTTTAGCTTGGAGTCTAATTTAATTGAGGCATTAAGAGTTGCTCATACTAATAGGGCTCATGAATTTAGAAATGTTCCTTAAATTATTCTTGTCATTAATTTTTTTGCTATTAAAAGCAATATTATCAATTAATCGATAATATTGTTTAGAAATATTAAACCGTTGTATTAATTAATCTTAACTAACATATTATTGTTCTTTAATTTAGTTATCCTTTTTTAAAAATAAATTTATATTAATATAGATTTCATCAAATATAATATTGTATTTGATGATCTTCTTGGATATAATGACCTTTTCCTGTAGGCACATACAATTACCGGAAAATAGTGTTGGTACACACCCACATCACCAAAAAAAAATTTCACCATATTACTTTCAAGACAGATTTCTTTACCAAATTTAATTCAATTCGTAAATAACTTGAGATATAGGTTCCTTATTCTTTAGAGATATATATATACTTGTTTAATATTTTGTATTCCAGCCGTTTGCATCTACTACAGCTTGAAGTCTACGGGGCATAGATAAGACTAGCTTATTTATGAGGTCCTGATGGAAATCCTCCCAGACTTCCACAGCTGCTTCGCGTAACATATTTAATGACTGATTATTCTTTGGTAATAGTGATGGTTCCGGAAATCTTTTACAGATCTTTTTCCTTAAGCAGTTTCCATATATTCTCAATTGGATTAAGATCAGGCGAATAAGGCGGCCAGTCCACTAAAGTAACCCCATTCTGTTCGGCCCATTCACGCAGTCAATTCTAAACTATTCGAGCTTTTATGTGTAGGTGCGTTATCTTGAGCAAATCTGGCCCTGCAATTTTTGGAAGTTGATCTTGGAGGCATTCGAGAATACAGCGGCTAGTAACACCCCCGCGAGCAGATTCAGGGTCTCCATGAAGCGGCTATAAAGACAATCGAGAAGAAAAGGATATAGCACCCCATAACATCTGAGAATGACGTGAGGGCTGGCCTTTTGGCTGTAAATATTGAATATCTAATCGCTGTCCCTATTCATTTTAAATAGCTGAAGAAATAGTAATGTAAATAAAACATACTGTTGGGCAAAACCCCCCACTCCTGCTTTTCACTATCACCACGAGTAATTGTAGACTCATCACTTAAAATCCAATGCTTCCAAAAGCTTTCTGGCTCATCTTTATACATTCTCGTAGAATTGAGGCGTTTTTCCGCTATCTGTGGAGTTAGTAATGGCCGTCGGAGGGCGCGTTGATGATAGATGCCTTCACGCTTGAGCCATTGTAAAATAGTACGTTCAGAGAGATTTAAACCAACGGCAACAATAAGATCTTGTGTCTCAATAAAAGGATATTTCCTAACGACTCGTAAAATGGCCCTTTTATCCCTATCAGAAATCTTTGGTGGTCGTCCTGACCATGCACAACTAGAGGCATTTTTTTTGGTTAGGGTAGTGTCGAATTATGCCAGAAACAGACCCTAGTGACACTGTATATAGTACTCAAGGTTGAGATAAAATCATTTTATTATAATCCATCTATAAGCTAATGGAACATTTTTGCTATTAATATAATAGTAAAAATAACTATATATTTATTTTAATATATTAACTATATATATATATATTTATTTTAATATATTTATGAAGATTATGTATAAAAAATAATTAATGATAGTTTTTTGGTTCTGACTTGGTTACCAGAATGCTTGACTGAAGTTAGTAAATTCCCCAAGCCCTATATTATATTGTCTTAGAAATAACTAAGTTAGAAAAAAACTTATATAAGCTGATTAGCTTATGGCGGTTAGCTAATTAAATTTTGATAGGCTAACACCTTTGTTAGTTGTTTAAGGAAAATTAAAACTCACCACCATTTTCCCACTCTTAAAACCGGTTCAAAAATGTTTCGATTATCACATCTTAAACCCCGCTACTTTGGGAATCATTTATTTATCAATCAAAAACTTGTTCAAAAATCACATTTATTTTCTAAGCGGAATGTTTCATCATCTGCCACCTCTTCGTCGCCTAGAGAACAGGTATTGTTTATTATATACTTTTAAATTTTCAAACTAACTCGAACTAATTTATAGCTCAAAGCTGCAGACATGATAGCTCCTGTGAGTAGAGTATTTCTTTATGCATTTTTGACATATTCAACACTTCATGCTATTTGGTGGAATCTAGAATTTGAAACAAAAGAAGCTCAGTATAAAAGTATGTAATCTTATTTTTTTATTAAGTTATAAAAAAATCATTAACCGTTTTCCGTATTAGAGGAACTTGACGATCTTGAAAAGAAAATATACGAAAAAGTAGCACAACTCGATTGTCAAATTAAAGAAGCTGGAAGTCAAACAGAACTTAGCGCTGGTGAAAAAACACACAATAACATTCATAAGAAAAGCTGGTTCTGGTAAACAACAACCCAATTTAATTAGATTTACATGAAAATATTAAAATCTGCCATATATTAAACTATTTATGTGGGAATTTCTATTTTTTGAATTTGTCGACTCCAGTTTTATAATATTGTTTCAAACTGAAACCTGTTGAAGCATTGATGGAATTTGCAGGAGAATGATTAGCAGAGTTAGGAGGGTGTTGCTGTCTTACAGCATTTGCTGCTTTGTAGAATAAGGCCTGTGCATTTTCTGGCTTAACTCTGTCATATTTTTTCATGCGAGTCATAGTATTATTGTATTCGCTCATATCCTCTGCTCTAAGAAGATCAATGCTTTGGCGAAGTTCAGTAAAAGTTGTAGTCAAGCTCATTTCATTTGAATCTTTGGCCATATCGTCAACAAATTTTTCAAGATATCTAACATCCATATCAAAATTTGATACTGCAGCAGGTGTCAAGCTATCACTAGCTTCAATTAAAAACTTTAAAAGTGAAGCGGCCAAATGGTCAAATGCATCTAGGTATAAAAAACTTTTGACGTTATGAGGGAGGTTGACCAACGTCGAATTAACCATTGTTTTTAAGAAGTTTATCATTTCCGTAAGATAAGAACTTGGTTCCGTGTGTCGTTGATTGGTGAGCCAGTCATAATCGGCTATATCCAAAAAGTCATCAACAATTGCATTGACAAGTTCAAAAATACGAGCCTCAGCAAGTTTTCGAGCTTCTTTAAAAGCATCGGTGCTTTTCAAAATTATAGGTGTACTTCTTCCAGATGTCTTATGAGCTTCAAGCTCTTTTTCTATTTCAGTGGAAGCATACTCAAAATGTTCCAAATTAAGTAAAATTTGAACGATTTTTTCTCTTGTGGTAGAAGAAAGTCTTTCTTTAAACGCTGCACAAACATTATCAACAAGCACCAAATCTATTATTTCCTGAATCAAATCTTCAATAAGACAAGGATCCACATTTAAATCGCTCATAAAATTTTCTATGCCATCAATGAATTTTTGCATCCCAGTACAAAAAACGAGATATATCGGTGAAAAGTAAAGCATCCGGGGAAAAACTACCAGTTCGCCTTCAATAATAGGATTCTTGCACCAAATTCTTTTAGAAATATCATTATATTCTGTAAATGAGTTGGCCATCATGGGCATGTAGTCGTCATTATCCAAGTTATTGGTAAAGTTTTTCACAAATTCCGCCTTGGATAGCAAAATAAAATGCTTGAATAAGTCAATGATAAAAGAATATAAGCTTGAAACATCAAAATTGAATATTTCCACTGTATGAGTGAATAGGATTAAATAAGATCGCAAATCAGCAAGAAATTCCTTATCAGAAACTCCCTCTAATGATTTTTTGAATTTAGATATGAGCTTTTGGGAGTTTTGAATCCAAAACTCATCTACTGCCTCGCTTTTTCGCAAACCCTTAATCTGTCGAGAAATTGTCTTGTCAATTATTTCAAAACCAGCCGCAGAAGCGAAAATATCTTGCAGCTTTTGAAGAGTAGTTTTCATTGATTCCACACTACTGACATCAAAAGGGAGAGTTACCGGAACGATCTCTTCTTTTTTTGGTTTGATTTGAATATCGAAATGCTCATGAAAACTAATCGAAAGCCCTAAGCTGGTATGAATTAAGGAACATTCATATAAAGATGATAGTGTTTCCTTTACTTTGGAGTTATTGAGATAATTAAAATTTGATTCTCGATATGATAACTCAACAGGAGAATTAAACTTATATTTCCGTAACTCTTGTTTTTTATTTTGGATTTTCCTCCAGTTTTCTCGCAATAAACCCACGTGTTCAAAGGCAGCATATCCTATGTTTTTACTCAGTTCTCCAATATTCTGTATCCAAGCGTCAAGATCTGCCAAAGAGTCTGATCGTACAACTTGTGTCAAAGCTGGGACATTTTTATTGATAAGTTGCGCGAAACCAAAGTCTTGAACTTCTTTTAAATGAATATTTTGAAGATCATCCATGCTTTTTAAGGCGGCAAACCGCTGGCCATCTCGTATTAGTTCATATACCTTGTTGGTGATATCAAGAACCTGCAGGCAAGCAGTTACCGCCTCAACGGCCATATCCACATTGACTCTAATTGATTTTGATTCGAGATAGTCATTTTTCTTAAACAAAATTGTTAGTCATATACCAATAGGATAAACTAAATAGCTTACTCTGTCTAATAGAACACGTCCTGTTTGCTGCATATTGGAGTTTAAATTTAATATTTCATTTTTTAACTTGTCTGTTTCTTCGGATACAGCACCAAGTTGTTTGATAGACATCATATATTCCTTTCATTCCGTTAGTTTGTCAGTTTATAACATCTTATGAGTATCTTACATTTTGATTACCGTTGCACAATATTTCAATTTCTTGATCTTTAGATTTAGTGATAGTGTCTAAGCTACTTCTTAGTTCTTCCGTTTGATTTAACGAAAGTGCATCTCTGACAATAGGAGCAAGCTGATCTAAATAGTCATCCGAGGTAGTAGAAGAGACTTGGGACCTAGGCTCGTTTGAGTGCGTAGCAAGAACATTATCTGACAAAAGAACACGCTGTAAGTGCACAATAATGCTCTGAAGATTACTGTCTTCCTTTATAACATCTGCTGCCGCCATATTTAAAAAAAGTTTGTGTTCAGATTTTGTAGAAAGCAAAGAATGCACATTCTTATAATTTCAACAAAGTGCGTAAGAGCGGGCTTTTTTCCAATTTTTGGGTGATGTGAACACGTTACATTGATTTTAGTTTGTAACAAATTTTAATCGTCACAAAAGTGCCTCATTTTAACGTTATTATTAATTTATGACAATTAAGTTAGTGCTAGTTTAGTTATAATTAGATAACAAAAATATTAAATTTTGATCTGTTTATGCTTATGTAATTGCATGGTTTTAAAGACTCAGTATTGAAATGGATATCTACAATTGTATGATAAAGCTGAAAATAGTTTGAGACATTTTGATTGAGTGTAATTTGTAGCAAGAGAAAATAAAAATATTGAAACAGATATCTCCTAGTATGTGCATGTCGACTCTCTTAAATAATTTAAATGGCTTGCAAGAAATTGTTAGCTTTATCTCTATTTGGAAATATTAACAAATAAAATAAGCGTTGATGGAGACAAATGGAAGTAAGTTGAATAGGTTTGGTCTTTTACTCCTTGATCCTCATAACCTGACATCAGGAGTTATTTTCGGGAAGTTGGAGATACAATGTTAAAATTAAATAAAAGTTAATCGTGAAAACAAAAATTTATATAGTAGGAGCACAAAGGATTAATATATTAATAAATAAATAAATATGAAGAGTAAAATTAACTGTTAATATTTAAATATATCAATTAAAGTTTTGACAAAATGTATCTTGCTTCACGTTCACCACTTATCCAAGCACCATGAACAAAAGTAAAACCACGATAGGTAGTATGCTCTCCAGCAAATCTAATATTACCAGCACCTTCTTCAAAGTTTTTCGTAGCAATTGAAGGGTTAATTCCCAATTTTGCTCTTGAAATAGCGCCATTTGTTAATTTATCACTATTCCAAGTAGTTACTTTAAACTTTGTTGGGTTTGGCACAGCCTTTTTGCGATCAATCTTAATAGATTCTAGTACAGGCTTCAAAATTTCGAACGCTTGAGAGGGATTGGCTTCTAACTTGTTAATCAATGGAGCAGGAACAATCAAAAAGACACCAGGATATTGTTTCTTGCCATTGTAAAGGTACCAGTTTGATATAAGAATAGGGGTATATTCTCCATTTATATCTCCAACAAAAACAAATTTGTTAGAATCAATTGGCCAAAAAACTTCATCAAATTGAAAATAAACTTTGCCAATTTGTGAAATTCCCAGTCCATTTACTGCTTCAACAATTTTTTCAGGAAGACTAGGTGTAAATTTAATCAATTCTTTTTGTAAAACTCCAATGGGTGCAGTAATGATAACGTACTTAGAAGTAAATTTTTTACCGTTTTCTGTAATCACATCAACCAAATCATTGTCAAGGCGTTTAACTTCACTAACAACAGTGTTAAAAAATATATTCTTTTTTTCAATGGGCTTGGAAACATATTCCAAAATCTGATCGTATCCCCCTGTAGCAAAAGCATCACGACCGAGTGGAGGAATGGAACCAAACTTGGAAGAAACTTGATCAGCAGGTGAGCCGTTAATTAAAGTTGGAATTTTTAAAATGCGTTTGACTTCTTGCATTTGGTAATCGGAAAGATTAGGATGTTCTTGAATAAACAAATCAACAAGGTCTTTTAAAGAAATATCTTCAATATTAGGATTTTTGTCAAAATATAGAGTAGTCCAAGGAGAAAAGTCAGATGCTGCTTGGCCTAGTTTGCCAATTGGATCCAAGGGCCCATTGTTATCGTAAATTCCAGGACCTACATCGTCATACTCCGGTTTCAACCCAATTTTTAAAGCTAGATCGTAAAGTGGATTATCAAGAGTTTGGTGGAACCAACTACACCCCAGCTCATAAATTGGGCCATTACTTCTGTCGGTAAACAATCTACCACCAAGCCGATCCCGACCTTCCAGTATAATAACAGAGTGACCAGCAGCTGATAAATCAGCAGCTGCTTTAACACCCGACATACCACCACCCACAACTATGGTGTCGTAAACTGGTTCGTTCATTACTATTGAAGTGAATTAAAAAAGAGAGAAAATTAATTAAAATGTGAAAGAAAAACTAAGAGAAAGAAATGACGAGTACTTTTTCATTAACAAAAAGTATTGGTCTCTTAGCTAATTGTAACATTTACGTAAGCTTGGCATTGTCACAAAGCGTGGGGGTTAAGTGGGAGACGCTTAAGTTATTATCCATTTCTCTAAATATATATGGAATAGAAATAGCTTATAAGCTATTTCTAATTAGCTATATTACCATTAAAGTGTTTAAAAGAAGAGATTTTTGCTTTCTCAAAACTAATCAGTTTTATAAAGTTGCCATTTTCAAAGATTTAAACCCCTAGACTTGAATTTTAAAAATTAAAAATTTACAGATATAAATACAAGCTAATTAAATATTGCCAATTTGGACGTTACAATTTGATTTTCTATAAAAATCATAGGACTTCTGTATATATATCATATTGAAAAAAAAAAATTTGAAAATAGAAATAAAAATGCTAAATAGGGAATTGTTCTAACTTTAAAATTGACAGATTGTAAAAATAATCAAGAAATTATTTATTATTACATATAGAAGTTAATTAGCTTTGTTGGCAAGGACGCTAAAGACATTTTCAAACAACTCATTCATTGAGCATCCACCAGTTTGAGCATCTTCAAATGCGGAATCAAATGTAGTGGCTGTGATAACATCTGATACACTATCAAAATCAAGAGCTGGTGCAGTAGTGGAAGAACGAAGCCCATTTGATGATGAATAAAGATTGCTAATCGAATCTTCAAAAGATGTTGAGTGTTGTTGTAGCTCAAAAGTTGAATTAGATTGCTTTTCAGTAGCTGGAGAAAGAGTACTAAACCTTAAATCTGGGTTCAAAATTTGAAATGTGGACGAAGTACTAGGGACATGACGAATGCACAAAATATAAGATGGTACATTTTCAACATGCACAGGAACTGGAGTATCGATAGAAAATATAATAATTCTCGCAATCTTATTTTTTCCTTGATTGTTGACTGCTAGAGCAATCAGGCCATTTGATGAATCAACTGCCAGCAGATTTTGAGAATCTAATTCCGGAACAGTAATACCAACAGACCAAACCTGAGCACCATTAATAAGATCGTATACAGCCAATCGAGTCTGTGAAAGAATAACAAGTCTACTACCAATTATGTGAAGTTGATAAATTGAAGTATCGACAATATTTGGAAGACTTGCTTTGATTTCAAAGGATTCACCATCCACAATATACATAGCACCACCCAGAGATAGCACTATCACAGATCCATCGGTAGACCAAGAAGCGCTAACTCGGGAAGGTGTATGTAGAATTCCTGGAATATCTTTTCTGACTGACCATGAGTAGTTTAGTCGTGATTTATCGACTTTGATAATCGCGTCTTTAGAAATTTTACCCTCGTTTGAAACTTCTTCGGGACTAATAAGTTCGGGCATCCACAATCTTAAACCTCCATGCTCACTACTGGTCAAAAATGCATGACCATTATTATAATAAGATCCAGCGGCTATTAAATTACTGATTCGAACATTTGTACCATGAGGTGCAGAAATACGAGTTGTAAGCACCCAATTGCCATCGGTATTTCTCCATATCTTTAAATTAATTTCCCTGTCTCCCTTCGAAAGTAACGGATCAATGCTTGGTGGAATATATTCATCAACAGTAGCCATCCACTTCCCATCAGGAGTAAAACTAACATGTGTAACTTTGGGATCTCGGATTTGGGTTTCCACCTTTACTTTACCAGTTTGAAGAGCTGGGGCAACAGTGATCATGCCAACCTGTTCATCCCTATTAGTATCATAGACTTGAATAAGTGATGAATAAGTTAAAGGTATATAAGAACTTTTTGTTTTAGGATTGATAAAAAAGGGACAAGAAAAGACTGGTACATTAGTATTGGTCTTTTTAGATTTCATTGCAGTAGAATCATTGGCCAGCTGCTGTGAAGAAAGAATCTGAGCTTTCACGCCAGCAATCTGTAAACGACTAAGCAAATCCAAAGATGAAAATATAACTATTTCGTTATCAGCCATTCTAACAGCATAAAGTTCGCTTGATGAATCAACAACAATATCAGATATTTCACCAGTGAGACGAGGAAGAAACTGAGAGCGGCCCGTATCTAGCTGCCAAAAAACAAGAACCTTTTCATTACCACCAGATAACAAATAGTTTCCGTCCAAGGAAAAAGATAGTGCTCTTGCGGGATCAATGTGCCATTTCAAAGCTCTTGGAAATATAATTGAAGGTCTATTTTTGTCAAAGATTTCATAATAGAGGTCAATAGCTCCACCAACAGAGCCTACAGCAACCACACCCGTATCGGATATCGCGATTGCACGCGTCCTGTGTTTTCGTTGAATAGGCTCCATTGCTTGAATAAGATTGTATTCTTCATCCAATTGTCCCGCCACAACTGTATCACTTAAATAACTGGTAGTGAAAGCAAAATATTTTTTGTTGTTAGAAATAGCGAAGTTTTTGCTGTAATCAATATGAAAAATCACCGATGTATCCCATCGCGAACTATCTTTAGACTTTTGAACATTTTCATCAGCAAAAATCGATTTTCCGTCCTTCAAAGTGTGCTTTAGAAGGTATCGGTGACCGGGAATAGACTTTGAAGAAACTTGATCAAGAGATGAAATTATAATAAAGGTTTTATCATCAATAATATCAACAATCTCATATATTGGGAGATCAAGGGTTGTTAAAAAAATTTGGCCGTTTTCATCCTCAAGGTCGACAAATATTCCTTGACCCAGTTGACTAAAAAGCCACAACTTTCCATTTTGCCCAAGGTACATATGTGCATATTTCGTTCCATCAACTGCAATTCTTCGAATGCATTGTCTCGTAGTTATTTGATATATTCTAACATCTACTGAACCAAGAACAATAAGGTATCTGATGGAAAAGTTAGATTCCAAATTTTTGAAATAAGTAAATTGTAACTTACTTTCTATTTTTATAAAAAATAGGTTTTACGGATGGAAGAAAACCTCCAACTTCTTTAGAAAATTTCCAAGAAGTCTTTCTTGAAGTAACTTCTGAAGCCTTTATAGAAGTACCCATTTTTGGCTGGACTTTTTTGGGTTATGGTTGAACTAGGAAGAAAAAAATTTGAGAAAATGAAAAGGAAAATTTTTTTAAAAAATTATTATGTAATATATCACATGATAAGTATACGGCTTAACATTTATATCTGACAATTTCAAACTGAAAAAATTCAAGGAATTAATTTTTAGATAAAAAAAATATTATAATTTTAAATGATTTATTAAATAATGAAAATATAATTATATATTTTATAAATTTTTATACATTTCATTTTACTGTAAAGTTTTCTTTTGTCAAATTTTTTCATAATATGTTTACTATTAAAAGTGTTAATTGTTAATTTAAAAGCACTAGTCAGGGTAACTATTTTTTTCATTGAGGTGAAGCTGTTGCAGGATAGATGAGCTAAGCTTGCTTGAACAAAAGTGGTTAGGGTTATGAGAAAGTCATAACACAAAATTTTCAGTTTTGTAGAAGCCTTTACCTTACACAGTTAACACCTTTTATCAGTTTCATTACTGCCGGATTTGATTTCGTTTATTATCAAAGATAATAAGTGTTATTTCTAAGTCTCATGTATGTAAGGTTATTATTTATTTATTATTTTTATTTAAACGCGTCTTTTAAGTCCCAAACCTGTAATTCTAGCTTTAGTTTTACTCTACCTTGACTGACAAATGTTGACTTTTAGCGCGCCACAAAAACATCTTTACACCTATATCACAGTTTGATAAAGCTTAATCAAAGGGTTTTAACATATTGGATCTCAAGAATATTTTGAAATGATTATTCCAGTTCGTTGTTTCTCCTGTGGTAAGGTAAGTTAAGAAAAGGTAATATAAGAATTTCATCATTATTAACATATTCTGTAAGGTTGTTGGTGACAAATGGGAAACTTATCTTCAGTATTTGGAAGACGGAAAGACAGAATGGTATGTGGATTTTCTTTTTCTTTTTCTTTTTTTCTAAAACGATTATATTAACAAATAGTTTAGCCAAGCACTGGACAAGTTAAAACTGAAAAGATATTGTTGCCGAAGAATGGTTGTAAGTGAATTAATTACTTTATTTTGGGGAATATTTAGTGACTGACATTTAATGCCTTATAGCTTACACATGTGGATCTCATTGAGAAGTTCTTAAGATACAATTCTCTTGATAAAAATTAAATGAAGTTTTTTTTTTTTCTTTTGATGCTATGATTAAAACGTATATGCTATGATACAAAACCGATGATATGATGTAATGAAAAATAGAGGACCTACCAAATTATAAAAATAAAATAACCAGGAAATGGTTTAATTAAAAATTCTCTTTCCCTGGTTGTGGGACTGTGCAGGTCTTTAATTACTTGAACCCAATGAGCCATTAACACTCATCATTGTTGGTTTACCAGATCTCCAATTGAAACAACTCTTAGTGAAAACCTCTAAATTAATATCAAATTATTTGTTTTCTTCTTTATAATAATGATTTTTTAAAAACCGATATGTTTTTAAAGAATACAATGCAATAAGCTCTATAGAAACAAAGTAATTAGTAAATTTTGAAATAACAGAAATATATAGTTATTTTACCTTTCTTGATATATTCCCCAAAATTCAGACCTTTTTGAATATCGTCGGGGTTTGTGATTCCAGCCTTTCCTCGAAAAGCTTTACGAAGTTTTTTAATAAAAAAATCATATCCAGCGCTTTATTGATCAGTACTTTTTACAAAAAAAGTTTAAATTTAAACAAAACATACGGATAATCTTTCCCCATGTAAATTAATTCTTTATATAGGTATAATACTTTTCTTCTTAGCTCTGGAGTTGTCATTATTGAGATGGAAATTTGGGATATTTTATGTGAGAGTACTGAGGTTAGGTAATTTAATTAAATGAATAGATTTTAATTTATGGATTAGCTAATCTTATTACCTAAATATTATTAATATATTATAAAGGTTTGAAATTCTACGTTTACCGTAATTTTTGTACGCTTAAAAAAGGCTCAAGTGGCCATTTATTACTGTTTGGCTTTGATATCGCCATTATTAACTTTTCAACCAACTTATATGCTGGCTACTAGACACATTAATAAACACTTGCTCTTTTCAGATTCTACTAAGGTTTAATTGTCTTTACAATGACTGTGAACAACCAAAGCGCATCTGCAGCTGTTCGGTACGTTTCTATTTTTGATATGATTCATAGAATATTTTCCTAATGGTTGTTTTAGGATTTCTGAACTACTTCGGCATCAAGATGTACGTCGTATTTGAGAAAAAAAATTAAAAGCTCTTAACCTAACACTCTTGCAGGATTTAGAAAAAGTGACAATATTAAAGCAGCGACTTTTACGGGAAAAGGCCGCAATAGATAATAGGCTCAAGGCTGATGTTCAATCTCGTATTGATTTAACCTTAGTAAGTTAAATTTAAACAGAAGAGAAGTTTTAAATTAACAGGTCTTTTAGAAAGGGCTAAACTCATTATCCAAAACTAAATTAATTATTGAAGATATGAAGACTGAAATAAATCAGGTAAGTGATAAAAAATTTGCTTTTATCATAATATTAATTTTTTTTTAGATCGACAAACTTCGTGTTGATTCTGAAGAATCAGTGTTACATTTTGAAAAGATAAATAGAATTTCTAAAATTCATGAGAACTTTGTCGAGACACAGAAGTTTCTTGATAATTTTAAAACCCTTAATCTCCAAATCCAAAGAATTCAAGATTTAATTGATGCTGATGGTGAATTTCAACTGGAATCTCCTATGCCTAAACTTTTGGCAATTCATTTTCAAATTTCTCAATTACGCGACTTAAATGATAATGCCCAATTTTACGCCTCTCACTCAACTGAAGATGTCAGAAGAACAATCAAAAAACATTTTGCACCACTAGATGATCTTGTGTCCAGATTTGATTCCATTCTATTTGAAATATCAGAGAATCTTCTTGAAATTGTTCGAACAGGAGATAAATCATTAGTTGTTAGAGTGGCCAAAATTATTGATGTCGAAGAAAAACAAGATTTAGCGGCTCAGATTGTTGAGGAGATTAAACAGGAAAGTTTGAGCCAGGAAAAAAAAGGTGACAAATCTGGTAAATCTAAATTTGGGAACGGGGGCAAGTTTGAGGATGTTAACTCTTCATTTCGCAGAAGTATAGGCCAACGTCCTTTTGGTCTCCCAAATACGAATAATGGTTCTGATGATTCTGTGGATCATGAGAAACAGACTATGAAAACTTTGATGGGATCTTTGAAAAAACTCCATAGAATTAGACGTGGATATCCGGAACGATTTTTTGAAGCGGTACAAAAATCAATTCATAACCTTTTTGTTGAATGTCGTGCTGCATTTAATAACGACCCAGACCTGATTTTAGACAATTTAAACTGGATATTTACAGATTTGGGATTAGTCAAATTTGAATTAGTCAAATGCATGCCCGCTAGATGGAAAGTTTTTAACAAATTTGTTAATTTTTATCATGTCGAACTTTACCGAATGCTTGATGAAATAATTCAAACTGAACCAAGTGCTATAATACTTCTTAAAATTCTTCAATATGTCAAAAGTTATTACAAACACATGGAAAAGGTGTTGCATATATCAAAAAATGATGACGACGATGAAAGTGCTGGTCTTTTAGTACCCCCATTGTTAGATGGTCGCGAAGAAAAGCTATATGATGATTATCTCGCCCTTATTGTTTCAAAACTTCATGAATGGAGAAAAAATATGGCCGCAACTGAAACGGTCAACTTTGTTGAGCGTGCAATTCCTCCTGAAGTTGGTGACGACAAAAAACTTGCGCTTCAAGGCGAATTTATAATGTTTTCTATTATAACGCAACAGATTGATGTTGCTGCAGAAAGTGGTCAAGGTAGAATATTATTTGGAACTGTTCAGGAATGTGGAAATATTTTGAAAGAACGACAATCTTTTTGGGAGAAAACTATGCGCCAACAGGTAGAATTACAACTTAGCGATGCACCTAATCCAGAAGAAGCAAAGGAAAAAGACCCAAATTATGTTCCTGTACCTGGTGGTTTATTTGAATACCTTATGGCTCTAGCTAATGATCAAATTCGTGGTGCAGATTATACAGAAGTACTTTCAAACAAAACATCTGACATGGTCTCAGCAAAATATAAAACGCCAATCATTGCTGTATGGAACTCTGTTTGTGATGGATTTATATCACTTGCTAAATCTTGCATTCGGGGATTAATCAATATAATTTTCAAGGATTTGGAACCGGCCTTCAAATCTATATTTGCGAAATCATCTTGGTATAAAGGTGTTCCAATTAATCAGGTCTCCGATACTGTTCAAGAGTATGTTTCAGATTGTCGAGAACACTTGAATCCAACTATTTTTGATGTTTTCTTAGACGACTTACTTGAAGAAACTATTATTCACTATTTGGGATCTTTACTTAATTCAGGAGTATCGTTAAAAGTCTCAAAAGCAGTTGATCGCATTAAATCTGATATCGAGGTTTTATATCTTCTATTCACTAAAAATCATGAAGATCAAGCCCATGTTCAAAGTCATTTTCGCGTTTTTGAACATTTCCTTTCTGCTTTGGAAGCTAAACCCGAATCACTTCCAGAAATATTTTTAGGTATGCGAATGGACTTTTGGGATGTTCCTTTAGAACTGTTTGAGGCGATGGTATGCTCTAGAAAAGATATTGATACCAAAGTTGCTCGTGGAATTGTTGCAACTGCAAGAACACAAGCGCTGCATCAATCGCAGCTCCAACGTGAACAACTTCTACAATTACAACAACAGCAACAATCAGATCCACAATCTCAAGAATTACTTCAGCAATTAGCTCTTCAGCAACAACAACAGCAACAGCCGACCTATCTTTCATTTTTTGGCAAAAATAAATTATGGTGAATTGTTGTTTTTTTTTTGTGTATAATTTTTTGATAAATTATTGTTCTCACTTCCTTTTTTTGATTAAGGCTAGAGTTTTACATGTAGAATAATTTTATTATAAGATTGAGTCAGTTTTTATTGTATACACATCCTTATATTTACATAATGATCAAATCTGATGAAGGATCAATATTTTCCTTTCCAACCGCAGATGTCTTTGTTCGTTTTACACTTTTTTTTGTAGGCGTGTTTTCAAGAGATTTTGGTACAACTTGAACCAAGGTGTCCGTACTTTTTCTGCAATCAAGTTTTGGGTCTGACTGACTGTCCAAAGACTTTTTCTTGCGGGCTTTTTCAGATGTTACTCTCCTTTTGCGCTTATTTGAAATGGATTCAGATGCTGCTGCTGCTGTTATAATGTCTGTCTCTGTTACCACTGCATCAAAATTTGAATTGACTTCTTTTCGAAGTTTGGTGGACAAAGATGGAAGAGTGTAACTTATATTTTTTGAGCAGCTTCTCCGGGGACGCCTCGGAATCATTGCATTAAACGATGAGGGCGACACTGAATTTGAAATAGAAGCCAAAGATGAGAGGGTTTCTGGCATCGTTTCTGTTTCGTTTGGTGAAGGACGTTTTGCTGAAGCTGGAGATGCAGCAGACCTTGCTGCTCGTCTTGATGATGTTGCAGATCTTTTTGTCCTTCTGGCTTTTGTATTTGAACATGGTTGTACGTTTGTGGTTCTTAGAGAATTTTGTGTAATGCTTTGATCTGTGTTAGAATTATTTTCGTCAACTCTTTGTTGAACTTCTTTTGAAAAAGAGCTGCTAATGTTAATTGTAAGGTTCTCAATGTCAGTTTGACTTTTCTGTCCTAACTTGGCTATATTATTTGAAAATGATACTGAACTTCTTAAAGCAGCTTCATTATCAGACTCAAAATTACCTTTTGAGTTGAAACTATTGTTCAAAATTACTGAGTTATTAAGTTTAGTTTTTGTTTTTAAAGCAATGTCGGGAGAACAATCATTAGCTATGTTATGAGCTGTTAAAAGAGACAAATCTTGATGAATTGGTATTACCGAGGACGAAGTTGCGTTACAGACTTTTCGTGAAACTTGTTTAGATCTTCTAAATGTAACTCCTTGAAAATCACGCGAATTTTGATCACAATTTTCGTCAATCTCAATGCTGGAAGAATCGATACTATCTGTTAAATCAATGACATCAGCGCATTCCCTTTCTTTAAGATGCTTTATTTCAACTAAAACTTCGTTCTTAGGTGACGATTCTGATGTGATATTGTTTTTTTGTTGAATGTTATCTTGTACAAGAGATATTTCTTCTGAAGAAACCTCTTCCTCTTCTGGTATGCAGGAGTCGTATTCATCATCTTCTTCAGAGTCGCTATATTGATTTTTAGTTTCATGTTCTTCTTCGTTTTCGTTATCATGTTCAATAGTTGAATTGTTAGAGACATTTTCAATGCCTTCATAAGACTTGTTAATCTCGGGAACTTCAGAATTACTGCTAATTTTTCTTTCTTTGTCGTTCCATCTAATATCTTCTTCCTCATATATTTCACCTTCCTTATTTGGCTCTTCAGAAATTTGTTTTGGAAAAGGTAAGTTGTTTGGGGACATTTCAAGACTATCAAAATCTTTTGAAGAAACTTCGGAATCAGAAGAAATCAAATCGCTGTTTTTCACCCCATCACTTGACACTATGGTATCTAAAGGCTCTGGTGAATTCGTAATATCTTCGTTATGTGTTGAATTTTCTAGAGTGATAAGAGAAGATACATTGACAAACCCACTTGTTCGTCGCGAAGAGTTTCTGCTTGTAGGTCTAATTGGTAATTGGCTTAGTCTTTTTGACATATTTGGAGATGAAAAAGATAGAATGTTGTTATTGAAATCATTATTAGTGGTATCATCTCCTTTAATGTCCTGAGAGTGTCGTCTATGTATGATTACAGATGATAGAGAATTAGTTCTAGAACTAGATTGTGTTCTTTCAAAAGATTGCCTACTAAAGCTTTCTCTGAATAATAAATTTTGATCAGAACCTCGTGTTCGTCGATTTGGTGATAAAGACACATTTAAGGAGTTGATTATTCTGGCTGCTTCACCAAGTTTTTGATTTAGTTTGTAAATATTTTGATACATTTCAGTTGTTATAGGTCGATCATGTCCGCATACTTCAGGAGAACAGTGTTGATGAGTATTGTTTTGGATTTCTTTTGAGCTATCAGACTCTGTTTGAATATTCTGTTGGTATTTTTGAGCTTGTTGTTCTAATTGTTGCTCAAGATGTTGTACATGAGATTGTAGTTCTGTGTTATCTTGTTCAAATTCCCGAATTACTCGATTAAGCTCAAAATTTTCAGTTTTTAAATTATAAGTCTCTGTTTGAAAGTGAGATAGTCGGTCTTCAAGCTGAGAGACTTTTAACGTAAGCATGGAATGCGACTTGGCTATTGTTCGATTTTGTTTTAGAAACACTTTCTTTACTAATATATAAGTAAATTAGTTAGTTATCAATCAATCAATCTAAGGTGATATTACTTACATTCATCAACATTACTAAATGCCAGGGAGTTCTGGCCTTGTTTTGACAGTTTGGCCATTGTTATATTTCCTTGATGATCATGCTACTCAATGTAGTTGGCTGGTAAATCAAATGCAATAACTGAAACAATGAAAATAATAAAAGTCTAAATCGGTTGATTGATTGATTGATTAATATTTAAGATAAGAATATTTCAATATATTTCAGAAATACACAAAAAATAACAAGTTAGTATCGTAAGAATTAAAAAGATTAGCATATCCCCCCTGTTGTTGTGGTAAGTTTGTTTACTTTTTCCCAGATTCGGAATCCTAAAGTTATCAGAAAAACATTTGTTGTCATAGAAATAATTACTTATGTAATGATTATTTAATAGTTATGTAAATAATGTTTGAGCGGCTTGTACTTCCTTTGCTCGACAACAAAAGACGATTGTGTGTCTAATGAGACTTAATTAAGATCTTATGAACAGAAAAGTAGTGCTTCTCCCACCATATTATATTTATCTTTTTCTTGTAAAAGTAAGAATACGTTCTTATTTAAATACATAATGTCTATTCATATTGTAGGTTTTTCTGTGCTATAGTATCAATTGAGTATTTTTTTTCTGTTTTTTGGAAAGTGATATCAATACTAAATGCCTCATACGGTCTACTAACCCCTTTACTTTAAGAATGTCCCTCGCGCTGAAATCGACTCAGCAATAGAAAAGCTTGTCTCTGAAACCTTTGCTGGTGATTTTAAGAAGGATTCCTTCTCAAGACTAAACGCAATAATTACTAATAAAACTATTGAAATAGTTTCTACAATTCTCACTGAAAAGAACCCAAACTTACAGTCCCCTAAAGTAATTGTTACGGCAACCACGCGCGAGGTTTTGAATCAAGAAAGTCGAGATGAAGTCATTCAAACAAGTGTTGCAGCTAAAATATCACCAAAAACTGATGGTGTTATTTCTTTTAATTATAAACCTCGTCCAGATATAGACATTTTACTTACCGTGATTTATATCACATCTATTGAGCATTAAACATCTTAAAGGCAGCTATGCTTACATTTACTATGAACAAACTTTAGGATTTATCGTATTACAAAGGGAAATATTAATGTATTTTGTTATAATAAAAGCGTAAAAAACATAAAAAAAAAACAAAAAAAAGCAAACAAAGAGAGACATATATTTGCATTAAAATAACAGTCAAACATAAATACAAGCTGGTCGTAAAAAGTTGTCATTAACTATCGTCTCATAATGAATTAGCATTATCGTAAATGTGCAGAAGCATTTTTGAAAAGAGACTGCCACATGTAAGCTTCGCTAAGCAAGAGCTCAATTTCCTTTTCGCCCCAGTCTTTGGTTGGTAACGCCTGTAAAAACATCATAACCTCTTGAAAGTCCATTTGCTGAATTTGGGCAGACCATTTGACGAGAAATGCCGCGCACACATAAACATGAAACTCAGAAAATCCATATGCACCTTCAGCAATATATGTATCCCACATTCTAATTGTGTTTTTCACACTTACTTCACGCATAAGCAAACAATTCATCCAACGAAAGGAAAACTGCATAAACTCAACACCTTCGTTACTTAAATGTTTAGCTAAATTGGCGTCAATTCTTTGAGTAAGCTCTTTTAACTCAGCAACTTGTCGCTGGATTCCAGGTTGGGCATGAATATAATTATCTTGAATTCCATCAAGTAGCTTGGTTAGACACCAAAAAGTATCAGCTTCAACTGCATCTAAAACGTATTTTGGGAGCTTTCCTGGGTCGTATTTTTCAGGATCAACCTCAATATAAGCAGAAAGAAATGTTTCAAAAAATGGAGTCACCAAGTCGTTAATACCTTGAACGTATCCAGATGCAGGGTGTCGAATAGCCCAGAGATATAAAATTCTTTCCAGAGCTCGTTGAGTTGTGGGATGGCCATAAAGCTCAATGTGGGGGTTAGTACGAGGAACATCAATTGAAATTTGATGCCACATAACCTGATCCAACCCCGATGAAAAAGCTTGCTCTACTCCATCAAGATATTCTTTTCTTTTTCGAGCCAGTGTCGTTACACGTCTTTCTGCGTTGGTCGGGAGGTATCCAAGAAGCAACTGCCATGTGATGGGTCTGAGCTCATTCGGAACTCCTGACCATGCAAGGGTCTTTAACTCATTTAGATCGACGTTTGAAGAATGCAAGATTTTTTTAAATTTATGAATGCGAGAAAGTCGTTGGGTATTATTTGGACCATCAACTTGAAGGTTGGGTTCGCTAGGATTTGTTCCAGGAAGACTGGAGTTTGATGTGATAGGTATTAAACTGATCGAATTTAACAAGTTTGTAGGGTCTTTCACGATTCCATCAAATTGTACCTTTAGCCCGTCTTCACGCATGCTACTGCTAGGGGTTCCATAAAAGTTTGTACATGTTGTAGTCGTACTGTGGCTGTTTCCATTACTGTCACCTCTTATATTACTTCCTGAAGATGTGATTCGGCTTAAGCTAAGTGAGCTGCCATTTTTAGGAATGTCGTGGGTTGAAGATGTGGGATAGCGTGATAGTGGCAAGCTCCCACTACTAGTTTGGCGATGTTGGTATATCCCTGAACCACCCGCCCGGCTTCTAGGTGAGCGTTTGAATTCAGGGCTTATTTGATTATCGTAAGACTTTTGAATGGAATTTACACGAACTAAATCGTGTTCAATATTTGCATCCCAGTCATCATCAATGTCAAAGTTAGACTGTCTTCTAGAGCTTACAGGGTGAATTTCTGGGGATTCTGGGGCACTGTTTGGCTGTGAGGAAGATAAAGATCTGATGAAAGTTAGGAATTAAAAAAAAGAAAAGAGAAAAGAGAAAAGACTAAAAGCACTTACAGTTGATCGAACTTCAAAGCATCTGCGTAAGAATAAGCGGCGCCAATGACTTTTGATGATGCCTCGCTACCCTGCTTGGGTCTAAATCGCGTGTTAAAATCATTTGAAAGAGAATAACGGAAATAATCACTTACTTTTGGGAATCGGAGTCTGAATTATGGTGGTGTTTGTTATAAGAAGCCAAACGTTTAAAAAATGTGGAAGCCGGAGTTCCTCGGCCACCATTTTCATCGAATATGTACTCATTATTGTCTGGTATATAGTTAGTATATATACGATTTCTTAAGAAGTTTATAATGACTTGACATACCTAATTGGACCATTTCCTGTTGTAAAATAAATAAATGAAAAAGTATTAGTTTCAGTGATACTTTCAAACTTTTGAATAAAAAAGTGATAAGAGTGAAGGAACAAGTGTAAAATGAAAATTAAAATTTCCCAAACATTTTTGAGATGTAGTGTAAAAAAGGGTATTGATCTTATGTAAATAATAATTCACAATGGACAACACATACTGGTCTCTGAAAGGAGTTTTTAGATGACATCCCAACAACTTTGAACACAAATCACAAGTTTTGAAAAAAGTATAGATGTGAAGCGATATGAACCCCGTTAAATATTTATTCTATTAAAATGGTGGGTAATTGGCAAGAATAAAATAGCAATAAGCAATGCAGCTCTAAAATCATAAAATAAAGAAAAAAAAAAAAAAAGAAGGAGGAAGGACCTTTTTTTTTAGGAGCAGGTACACACGGCCTTGCAACAAGTACACGAGGCTTTGCTAAGTGAAAGTTGTCTCGTACGCTGCTTAGGTAATCTTTACAGATGCACGTGAATTACACGTGATTAATTTCCCCCGTGGATAAATAAAGCTTTGGACATTTCAAAGTTCTCTCTATGCATTTTCTGCTGCTGCTTCGGTTTGCTACGGGTACACACGCTTAAAAAAATTTTTAAAGGCTGTACAGGTGTATGCCAAAAAAAAAAAAAAAAAATCTTTGAGATAAAAAAAAAATCATTGTTAGTCAAATTTCTTTCTTTTATCACTCTCTTTTTTTTTTTTTTTTTTTTGACTAATAGTAAAACAACTTCAGCTTTTCTATTTTAAAAAATTTTTTATTCAGTAATTCGTTAAAAATGAGTGCTGCTCCTGCTGCTGCCTTTCCCTGCAGTAAGTCTTAAAAAAAAAAAAATAAGTCTTGATCTGCGCGATCTTTTGATTTTAACTGTGAACTTGTGCCTTTCGCTCTTTGAAGAAACTGTTCTTGCCAGTACTATCGCGAAACCTTTTGTTCAAGAAGTAAAGGATGGTGTTACTTCTCTTGGTAGATCTCCTAAACTAGTTGGTTTCCTGGCGAACACTGATCCCGCTGCTCGAATGTATGCCGACTGGACTGCCAAAACCTCGACAGATTTGGGTTTTACTTATGAGCTTCGTCAAGTCGACAAGGATGACCTGGAAGAATCAATCATTGCTGCCAACGATGACGACGATGTCGATGGTATCATGGTTTACTTCCCTGTTTTTGGAGGTGGCCAAGACCAATATCTTCAGCAAGTCGTGTAAGTTTTTTTTTTATCTGTTATTTTTTTAAATGAGTGCTTGACAATTACTTGCATCTTATAGGATGAATAATGTCTGCACTTTTAAAGTCCTCCCCAACTTTTCAAAACTTTTGCCTATTGAAATTACACGTGCTGTTTTTTTTTTTTTTTTTGATTCTAACATACTTATTCTTTTTTTCTTATCTCTTATCACAATAGATCTCCTGAAAAAGATGTCGAGGGCTTAAGCCATATTTACATTCAAAATATGTATCATAACACTCGCTTTCTCGATAAGGCTGAGACCCAGAAGAGTATTCTTCCTTGCACTCCGCTAGCTATGGTCAAGATTCTTGAGTATTTGGGTGTTTACAATACCCTTATTCCTTACGGAAACAGACTTTATGGTAAAACAGTAACAATTGTTAATCGAAGTGAGATTGTTGGCCGTCCTCTTGCTGCCCTTTTGGCAAACGATGGTGCTACCGTTTATTCCGTTGATATCACCGGAACACAAAAGTTCACTCGTGGTCAAGGTCTTAAGTTTAAGCGTCACCAGGTTGCTGATGTTGATATTCCTCTTTCGGAGGCTGTTTCTCACTCAGACGTTGTCGTTACAGGTGTCCCCAGCCCCTCTTACAAATTCCCTGTTGAGTACCTTAAAGATGGTGCTGTTTGCATCAACTTTTCCAGTGAGAAAAACTTTGATCCCAACGTTAAGGAGCATGCTTCTCTTTATGTCCCTTCCATAGGAAAGGTTACCATCTCTATGCTTCTCAGAAATCTTCTTAGACTGATTGAGAACAAAAAACAGAGAGAAATCAAATAGACTCGGGTGAAAGAAAATAATAGATTTATACTATGACTTTAAAAAAAATAATGAAAAGGATTTAGAACCATTGATGTATTGTGTATTAAAAGATTAACTATCCCTAAAATAAATTTACTTAGTTTTGGCCTTCTTGACAGATGTGTCAGGAAGTTCGTCAATATCCATTTCGTCAAAATCACCAGCATCCTCATATTCATCTTCATCATCATCATCTTCTTCTTCTAACTGAGAAAACTTCTTTTTAAGACCCTTCATTTTTCTAGTTTGAAGTTGGCCAATATCCTGCTTATCGACATGGACTCTGCCAACCTTATCACCAAGAACATCTGTTTCAATGTTCTTCTTAGTCTTAGGCTCGAGCTGCTTAGCAATCTTGTAAGCCTCCTTAATCATATCAGGATCGGCTTCCTGGCGTCTTCCAATAACAAAATCAAAGCGAGGGCCAATCTCGTCCAACTCAACGCGAGGGAGTTTTGGATTGTCGCTACTGCGATATGTCTTGAGGAGGTAAACACGGAAGTTCACCTTGGGAAGAGGCTTTTCTTCGTCAACCTCGTCGGCAGAAATAGAAATAACATGCTGGAGACCAGCGACATCTAATGATTCAAGAACCTGACCACGGAAGAAATCAAGAAACAGAGACTTGATGTGCTGGTAAATAGGGTGTGTGTTAAAAGCAGTACCGTTAAATGTAAACATAGGCTTCATTCCAATTTGGAAAGTTGCTTTCCGGAAATCCTTCAAAAACTTGTAGTTGTCTAGTCGCAGTTCAATCATGTCGTAAATCTTGTAGTTAAAAGTACGAATGAATGTAAGGTTGTTAGGATGCTTCTTATTGTGCGTACCAAGAACAACAAGAGAACAGTCATTCTTCTCAGAAAAAAACTCAATAGATGAAGGATCTTCAAATGGTCTAATTTCGTTCCTTCGCTGGAACTTCTTGGAATCAGGCTTCTTTAGCGCGTTCAGGTCAACCATAGCATCTTGCAAGATTTGATTGCAGTTAGCACCGGGGACAAAAAGAGCTTGCTTAGTATTTTCAATAAGCTTGGGCTCTCTCTTCTCCATAGCCCTCTTGGATCGGGCGTTTTTGGGTTTTGTTCTCAACATTTGGGTATTGATTTATTGATAATGGATTGAAAAAAATTCAAAATTTTTTTTTTTCCTTGAACGAAAAAAATTGATCAGACTTTGCTTCTTAGGAGAGAAAAAAAAAAAAAAAATTTCAAAAGATTATGTAATTAAAGCAGGGTAATTTACATCTCTCTTTTTTTTCACCTCCAAAACAAATGGACTAAATGGCCATCACATTTCATAACATCTAGACGAGATTCAAAAAAAAAAAAAAAAAAATGTCTGAAAACTCATTCTCTCTGAAGAGTATCAGGCCTACATCTCATAATGGACGAATCTTTCCTAAGGTCGACTCAATCTCTAATGCTTCTGATTTCTTTTTAAATGATTCAAGCATAAAATCTTCGACTTCTTTCGCGTCAACAGAAACAAGCTTTGGAGAGCAACAATCAGCCATCCAAGATGATATATTCCAAAACGATGTTTCTTCATTTGAATCGCCCTCTCTTTCAGCTGTTTCTAGAGATGGTCTTATTGAATTAACTAAAACTTCAAAATACTGTGTGTCAAAGCTTCCCGCGACCCCAGCCTTTTTAAAGGAGTCTCATATTGAAGAAACACTCAATGGATCGTCGGATCAGAATACAGACTACGCTCTTGTTTTGGCGAAAAATGGTGCTCACGTTTGGAATTACACTAGTCCAGACCTTGTTCCTCAGCCATATTTTTTCCCAGTTTCCGGATACAATGAGACACCAATTCTTGGTACACTAGTCTCGCCTGTAGCTGGAGTTAAGGAGCCTGGATTTATCACAGTGGTTCCAGATACAGGTCTGGTCACTTATTGGGAAAGCATTGGGGGTGTGATTGCTAATGAGCTCCTTCAGAAGAAGAAAGTCATTACTTTTGAAATCAAGCTACATGGTTCTGAAAGAATTGAAATTTTGGAAAGCATTGACCCCGCTGGTATTATCGCTTCCACAAACATTGGTCGTTTTATTTTTATTACTTTTCGCGATAGTACCGGTAAGCCTTCACTTCATGCAGAGACAATGCGTGGAACTGGCTCGGGTATTTTCGCTACCCTAAAGGGAGCAATATCTTTGGCTGGTTCTCGCAGAGATGTCGTTTCTATAAAAACAGGCCAAATCATTGGCCGTGACCAACGACAAGCTTTGGTCGTTACAAAATCTGGAAATCTTTTGATTTGGGATTGTCAAAAATCTGGTCAGACGAATCTTGTCTTGGAGGAAAATCTTCGGGAAGTCATGTTAAACACATTTGTTTCATTATATCCCCACGGGGCATCGACATTTCAAGTTCACGATATTGAGTACAATAGCTCCTTAAATTACATTTACCTGTTGGCTTCCTTTGTCAATAATCCGGCTACTTCTGAAGTTTTTTACCTTCTTTTCACTTTGAGTACAGCTGAAAACAATGTTCAAATCATTTCAACGCACAGATTCCGCACATTTACTTCAGTGTCCACATGCAGACCCCAGCTTCTTTTGCCCAGCCCATGCAAGACGCTGTTTATTCTTTTTTCAGATGCTGTTATTTTGACTGATGCTTCACACGACAACTTTGAAGAGCTGGGGAACCTTAATCGATGGGAAGACATTATCCCCTTTTTGCCTGGCGTCGAAGCGTTTGCGTTTGGAAGGGAAGATTCTGTAATTCATAACACAAAGGTTGCTAGGTATCCTGGCGTTATTGCCATTACCAAAAATGCAGGCATTTTACGGATCGAAAGATATCCCGATGAAGAGGAAGAGGTAGTAACCCCTGAATTTTCCACTGGGGAGCTCGGTCCTGCATTGGCGAAAACAAGAATTGAACAAGCGGTATTCTACGGTCACAAAAATGAAGATATTAATCCTGTTGATTTTATGGTCCGCCCAGAGTTTCACTTTAAACAAGAGGTTTTGGATAACGCCTTTTCTCAAGTCAGTACGGACATTATTTCCAGCACATCCCCCTATCTACCCCCGCTGTTGCCCTCGCAAGGTGAATATCTTCAGCTGAGATGGAAGTCTCTCAACTACCTGTGCACTTACTTACAGGAAAACTTCCCTGATGAGGTAAGTATCGCTTGCCGTTTATCCCTTCTTTGGGATTTGGAAAAGTTGTGTGCCGCAAAGTCCTTATGGACTGAATATAACAACGCACTTACATCTGCCTCTTCCAACCCGGTAGCTGCATCTACGGCCAACATCTGGTCACAGATTATTACCAATGCAGCCACTCCTGCTAAAAGCGATAAAGTTCGACACTGGTTCCGAAGAGATGTCCGAGAAATTGTTCATCTTCTCACGGAAGCAACAAAGTATGACAAAGCTTCTGGCAACAATATTGCGGTGACCTTAGAAGTTAACAAGATGTTGTTGATTTCTGTTACTCAGTCTGCTTATAACACCCGTGAAGGATGTTCCAAGCTGTACTTTAATCTTGCTGAGAGTGACTTTTGCGAAAAAGTTCCATGGACCGCCACTAAGGAGTTAATGCAAAACTTTGAACACCAGTACACTCATACAGTCGCCATTCTTGATTCCTTATCACCGAATGACGAAAACTACAAGGTTCTTTCTGAACATCTTGTCAGCCTTGTGCAGACACTTTGTGCGATATACACTGAGCGCATTCACTGGATGGAAACGTTTTTTGCTGATGCTACTCAAAAGGAAGCAGAAAAGCTTGCTGAGGAGTACATGAATAAGCGTGGCGAATGGATCCAAACAATGTCCAAGTTTGGTCACAAGAATACAGCACTGGACACTGCGGAACAGTACAAGATTTACCGCTCGCTAGCTGAAATTCTCGGGACGGATTATCTTGCTGAGGTTAAGGCTGCTGGGAATCAAGATACACGCCAGTCAATGACTACTGTTTTGAAATTGCAGTACTATATTCAAAAATTTGGCTATGACTTTGCACGTATTTTGTTTCAATACTATGTGGAGACAAACCAAATCAAGGCTCTCCTCAAGCAGTTCCCTCGGTATAATGAGTACCTTGAGCGATTCTTCAAGCAGGGGAACTACGACCGGATTTCATGGATCCATGACCTTACAGTTGAGAATTATGAGCTTGCAGCAGAAAAGCTTCTAAGTGTGTCTGTGGATAGCGAGCGATCCATCAAAAACAAGCGACTACAGCTGAGCATTGCCAAACTTTCTGCGATTGCGTCTGGCCTTGATCCCAAAACTCCTGCTGGCCCGCCATTAGGTGCAGCTATTGATTTCCGACTGGAGACTGTCGATATTTTGGAGTCGATTGAAAAGCAACTTGCGCCGTATATGAGTGTTAATGCTGAGTCTTCAGAAGCTACAGTGTATCCTGATGGGATCTCTGAGTTTCTGGACTCACAAAACATGACGCAGCTCAAAGCCGTTTTGAGTACAGCAATGACACGTTTTGTCAAGAAGGAAGCGCTTAGCACTGAAGAGCTTATTGACATTTTGACACTAGTCGATGTCGGCGGTGGCCCCAGTGGTGGAACTCCGCAGCTAAACTTTGCGCGTGCGCTTCGGCTTGTATCGCTGCCAACATCCGGGCTCACCAACGCGCAGGTCAAGTTCAACACGCAGCTCATTTGGCGACGCCTGTTTATCCGCGACAATTGGGAGGCAATTGAACGCACAGAGAACCAGTCGGACGAGCTTGTACAAAAGACGGTAGCAGGGACGTTGCTCTACAAAACTTTGTCAACACTTGTGACCAAGGACTCACAAAAGTATGCGGCTCCGTCTCCGTACGTGCTGGAACCGGCACAGGCCCTATGGGATGGAAATCTGGAAGCCGTGGGCGAGGCTGCACGATATCCACCTGCACCCAAAAATGGCACGGGAGACGTGGCTAAGGAAAACGGGCTGTTGTCTGCACGGGTAGGAACACTATCCAAGTGGGCACCTGGTATACATGCACGCGTGGTTGGCGAAGTGCAGCGGGCACAGGGCGGGAACATGCTGGGGAAAATCAAATATGTTTCGGAGCCTGTGCGTGCGACAAGCAACAGCAGCACCAGCAGCAGTGATGTGGATATGGGGGGGTCGACAGCGTCGTCGTCGACGGCCAGCACTGGGACACAGCCTGATGTTGATGGCGATGTTGAGATGTGATGGATTTTATTAGAAATGTAAGAATGCTTGTAATAAGGATTAATTTAGAATGAAACCATTTGTACTGGTTTCTATGATGGATTTGAGTTCATTATTTTTATTTTTTTTTATAAAAACTTATTTAAGAAATGAAAGCCCATACAGTGATGATCAAAAGTGAGATTGTGAATTTTCTTCTAGTGTGTTTTCAAGCCATAATAAGCATGTATTGACTACAAAAGAGAGTGCGTTTCGAGAGTAATTTAAACGAAAGAACATTTAATTTCATATCAAGCAACTATATATAGTACAATTTGATTAATGGCTTAACCTAGTCTACCAGAGACTATCACCACTGAGTCGGACCAAATGAACTTCCTTCTTTAAGCTGGACCAAAGGTAGGGATTGATAGTCAGCTGTATTTTTAACAACGGTGTACCCCCACCAGGACGGTTTTTTAACGTTTGGGCTGAGTAGAATGACAAAGATGACGAGCGATGCCCATGCGAGCCCGAGGTCGAGGCCTGCCGACAAGGTATAATTGTATTTAGCCCACCAGCCAAAATACTTGCGCTTAACCCAGTACCCGAAAAAGTATCCGACCGCGCAGTACGCACCGTAGTTGTAGGCGGTGGCTGGAGGGATGTACCCGGTTCCCGTGAAGAAGACGGGCCAGTGAATATGGCGGATAGGACTTTTGGGGTACTTTTTCAAAAAGAACCACGAAAAGAGGGGGAGCAACCCACCGACAAGGAAAAAGTAGGGGGTTTTACTGTAGAGGCTGCCGTTTGAGAGTAGCCGCTGTGGGCCAATAACCCCCCAAATGACGGAAGCGTTGAAAAAGACTCTTGCGGCAGAACAGGTAAACCCGGCACTTTGCTCAGTTGTGCATAAGTTATCAATGTTTGTTTCTGCCCATGAAAGCGCGCCCAGTTGCACAACTCCGCCCCAGATAGTGGCCGAGAGCTGGGCCACAAACATGAGGCGTGGAGAGATTTTCATATAGTGACCGAGCTTTATGCCTTCGAGGAACTTAATTGCCTGGTAGTTTGTAATGTAACCAAAAGTTTTGAAAAGCATCATGGCGATGGGTCTGCCTGGGACTAAGTAACCAACAATAAACTCCGTAATGACATTGAGTCCTACGGAGATGTTTGTAAGGGCATAGATCATGCCTACAGGAATAAGCATGAGAAATGCAATAAAGAGGGCAAGGAAAAGGGCCCATACAGGCATGTCTGTATCCCAGGCACGGACCAGGACAATGGACATAGTGAGGAAGATGATGAGGCAAAGAAGGTACCACCAGTCGGGGGCCTCTTTGTAGCGTTTCATGAGATGCATGTGGATATCGTCTGGTTCTTTACGAGAGTTTCTCCAGAAAAACAAAATCTCGCGGCCATGGAAAAAAAGGGTATGGACGAGGGTTGAAGAGATGGAGGCAAAAGATAATCCATAAGAGACAGCAAAGGCTGTGGGGAGAAACATAGGAGAATAGTTTTTATACATTTGTAAATCAAATACCTTTCTCGGAGTCAATATGCGGGTGACGTTATAGACATTTTGATAACGATCAAAAGTTTCATTGCCGGACATGGGGAGATAGTGACCGTACCAGACGTTTGAGTAGTGGATGATGGGGCAAACAATCCAAAAGATGATGATGATGGAGGCAAAGATATTTCCAATGGCGAAAAAGGGAGGGATGAGAGGGGAGCCAATGTAGCCAGTGATTTGATTCCAGTCAAAAGTGATGGGAAGTAGGCCAAGGCCAGAGGTTGTACCAAAGAGTTGGTTGATGATTACGTTATTAGGAGTGAGCCATGTGAGGACACCAAAGTCAGAGAGGAAGGGACAAAGGAAACTTGGGATCCAACTCCAGATAAAACAAACTATCATGACAAACATAAAGAGGTGAAGACGGGAAATGTGCCAGCCATTTGCGACGTGGTTAACGTTGAGATGGATATTAGTGAGAAAGGTAGTGGTGACGAGGGTGCTTGGCCAAATCATGGAAGCTGGGTAAACGAGAATTCTGCGGACAATTCCTGCAAAGGAGTATCCGATTGCTTGTGTGCAGATGGCACCGATAATATTAAACCCCCAGCCAAATTGAATTCCGTAAAAGTGGCGCAGGGTGAGGACAATATCAGTCATGTAAGATGCTCCTTCACCAAAAGAAACACTGGCCATGATGGTGATTAAAGCGTGTTCTTTAAGGTTAAAGGGAGAAGGGTTGAGATAGATTCCAAGGATTTTTTTGTTTGGAACAAAACGTTCCCAAGCGCGGCCCAAGGGCCAGGCGACCATAGATGCGACAAAAGTCGAAATGGAGAAAAGCGGGGAATGGAGGAAAAAAATGGTATTAACAGTAGAACCAATAGTTACCATAATGAGACCAATGACCCACATGCGGAGGGTATTTTGCGGAAGATCAAAGTCATCAGTATTGGGGACAGACGCACGGACTTCTGGGTAGCGAGAGTCGCTTGGTATTTTTGTTGGTTCTACGTCGGGAGGGGTATTTGAGTGATTCTGTTTCAAGGGAGGGTTCAAACGAGCCCATGCTCTTGATTTCAAGTTTTTAAGAAAGAAAGGATTATTTTCGTTATTGTTAGTTGAGATGTTTGGAAAAGATGAATGTTGTGTACGCCTGCGTGCACTATTTCTAGAAGATTTTGATGTAGAAGAAGATGAAGGTGAAGATGAGGATGAGGATGAGAATGAGGGTGAGGGTGAAGAAGATGAAGAGTGTGGATGCCATATTCTCCGTAAAGGTTTTCGACGCCAATAGGCAGACCGTTTATGAGGAAAGCCGGAGCTGCTTGCAGGTTCAGGTTCAGGTTCAGGTTCAGGTTCAGGTTCAGGTTCGAGTTCGAGTTCAAGTTCGAGTTCGAGTTCGGGTTCCTTGGAGGGCACTGTTGTGACAGTTGTTTGGGGTTGATTTTTAATTGCATCTCTAGATGAGGATATTATTTCCTGGGTTTGTTCTGGGAACGAGTCCAGGAATACTGTTGTTACATCAGTATCCTGGAGTTCAAAATCTGGGGGTTGTTTCTGGGGGGGAATTTTAGTAGAGGAATTTGATGAGGGTTGTGGGTCATTATTTTCGAAAAGTATACTAAATGGGTTTGTTGTTGAGGTTGAGTTTGCGTATTGTTGAGAGTGAGAGGTACGATGATTGCGATGGCGGAACGAATCGTGTAGGCTATGAGCCGAGTCATGAGAGGAGGAGGAGGATTGGGACATAGAATAGAGTTAAATAAAAAAAAAAAAGTTGAGTTAGAAGAGTCGCACTCGCAGAGAAGTCTGTTGAAGGCTCATGGCGGGCTTTTAAAAAGCTGTGAAGTTAAGGGTTGTGGGGGAGAGATTTAGGGAATTTCAAAAGATGGTGAAGGTGAAGTTTGTAGGATTAAAAAAAATTATTAAAAATAAAAATGATGAAAATGTGTGTGTTACCCTAACCTTTGTCACGTGATTTTTATATAAAGACTTTTTTTTTTTTTTTGACTTAGTGTGTATTTTTTTTTTTTTTTTTTCAATGGTAGTAGAAAGAAAGAAAAAGTTTAAAGTTCTCAAAAAGGAAATTAAAAAGATTTGAATTTTAATAAGATCAAAAGAAAAAAATGGTGTAGAATATATGATAAAGTTCTGTTAAAGAAAAAAAAAAAAAAAAAAAAGGCAAACAAACAAATCTATTAAAAAAAAAAAGACTCTATAAAATAATAATAATAATAAAAAAGAAAATGCAAAGAGAAAAAGTATGGACAATTATTTGGAAAGAACAGAGCCAGGCATGAAAATGACTTTGGGTACAAAGTAAGAGTTTTCATGGTTGGCCAGACCAGCATAAGCATTGTACCATGCTATTATGGCAGTCACAATTCCAAAGTAGCCTCCAACTTTGTTAACCACAGGAACATGGCCAAGATGACCGATAGTAAGGAAAAGGAAAGTCAGGTCAAGCATTAGAAAGAGAGAAAAGAAAGCAACGGTTGATTTAACAGTTAGAATCATCATCATAAAGGTGAAAAAGAACCAACCAAGAAGAAAGAATCCTACCATGTCATTCCATTCACGATCAGTTTTATAATGTTCTCTAATTCCAAAAGCCTCAGTTTCAAGGGCACCCCAAGCCATCCAGAAGCCACCATAAGAAGATAAGGCAGTAGCACCAAAGGGATTTTCCACCACAATTTCCCACATACCAGCCAAAAGTTGGATCAAACCTCCATAGAAAAAGGCAAGACCCACGACTCCTGCAGGGTTTGATACTCCACGGGCACGGACATTGACTAGGGATAAGACTAAGGTAGTGAGGGCAAAAGCAGAGAGGCCGAGAGGACCTGGGTTTGCGAATTTGCGTGAGGGTGCGACGGAAAGACCTGGGTTAAGGGAACCTCCAAAGGCTGCAATGAAGTCTTGTTTGAGGATTTTAGTATCGCCTATATGAAGGATTTCTTGATCATTTCCCGAGGTTTTGATGCGGGAGATTTTGTGACCATCGACATAGTCTGAATTTTGAGGAGGGGCCTGTTTTTCTAGGTCGAAAGAAGCTTGAAGAGAAGTGTCTAAAGATGTGGAAGTCATTGGAAAAGTAATGGATAGAAATAAAATTAAAAAAAAAAAAAAAAAATGTGGGGAAAAGAAAGGAAATGATGAGAGTTTAAATAGTTTTTTAAAAGTAACTATTTAACTTTAATGTTTATTTGGTTTGTGTGTGTAATGGTACGTTGTATGTACATTTAGTTGCACAATAGCAAGTATTTTTTTTTTTTATTTTTTATTTTTATGTATATTTATTTATCTTATTTAGGAAATGTTTCCTATATGAAGTTCAACATTTGTATTCTTTTTATGGAAGTTTCCAAATTTTGTGTAATGATTTCTATAATTTCAATTACTTTTTATTTTATTTTTTTAAATTTATTTTTAATATTTAAAGATTGTTACTGAATTATAATTCAAAAAGAAGTAATACTACTTCTTTTTTTTTTTTTTTTTTTTTTTATTTTTTTTATTTTTTTTTTTTTTTTTTTTGGGGGAAGAGGAGGTGGCTGTTTCGGAAAAACTCCTCCTTTGCTTCTCTCCTCCTCCATAAAGTTGATCCATATATCATTTATTTCTTTTCTATTTTATTTTTATTTTATTTTATTTTCATGGCCGGTTGACGACAGATGTTATTGTTTTTTTTTTTTTTTTTTTTTTCGGAGACTTCGGAGGGTCTTTCTTTATTTTTATTTTTTTTTTTTTGATTTTTTGTTTATATGCCAAGAGGACTTTAAAAAAAGTATTTAATATATATAAGTCTATATAGATATATATGAATAAGTCTATAAGTGGCTGCTTTATTATTATTATTATTATTATTATTATTATTATTATTATTATTATTATTATTATTATTATTATTATTATTATTATTATTATTATTATTATTATTATTATTATTATTATTATTATTATTATTATTATTATATAAACAAAAAAAAAATTTCTCCATTGAAATACCTTCGATCTTGTATACTTTATATTTTTTTTTTTATTTAAATTTAAATTTAAATTTAAAAATACAATCTCAAAAGTATCCCTTTCTATTCTAGTTTTTCCGAAATGATGGTAAATAAATAAATAAAAATATTCTTTCAAAACCATTACAATCACCATCACCACCACCACCACCTTTTATTCTTTCTTCTTTCTTCTTTCTTCTTTCTACTTTCTCATATTTTTTTTTTTTTTTTTCCTTTTAGAAAATTCTCCTCGGAAATACTCACAATTTGGTACTTTTCGGCTCCGTAAATGGCGTCCACCGAAATTACAATTATCCAGCTAGCCACTCAGCCAGCCTCTCTAATAATAATAAAAAAAGAAAAAAAAAATATATATATACATACTTACAAACACACACACTGGTGGGTGGCACTGAATACCCCGCATCCTTCAAAAACTACAGTAGTAGTAGTAGTAGTAGTAGTAGCAGCAGCAGCATTTTTAGTTTTAGTTATTCTTATTAATAATCCAACAAACAACCTTTTGCAACAACATTTGTTGAGGATATATTCAATACTTTTTTTTTGAATTCTTTTTTTTTTTTTATCAAATAAAAAAAAAAAAACATGAAAAAATGAAATAAATGCAATTCTATAAACTTCGAGTACAAAAGAAAAAATATAATTATAATAACAAATAAACAAATAAACAAATAAAAAATACATCTCATTACAACTTGACAGTTCCTGGCATGTAAATAACCTTGGGAAGAAAGTAAGAGTTTTCATGGTTAGCCAAACCAGCATATGCATTATACCAAGCAACAATAGCTGTGATAATACCAAAGTATCCACCAGCCTTGCTACAATTTGCACTGTCTGCTAATTTCCCCACTGTAAGCATAAGGAAAGTCAAGTCTAGAAATAAAAAGAGTGAAAAAAAGGCAACTGTTGATTTAAGAGTCATGGATAACATCATAAAAGTAAATAGAAACCATCCAAGTAAGAAAAATCCCACCATTGATTCAAATTGTTTAGAATCAGAATATGCTGCCTTAATTCCAAAAGCATCAGTTTCAAGAGCTCCCCATGCTAACCAAAATCCTCCATAGGAAGAAAGTGCAGTAGCACCAAATGTATTTTCAACAACAACTTCCCACATCCCTGCAAGTAGTTGAATAAAACCACCATAAAAATATGCCAAACCAATAACTCCTGATGCATTAGATACACCTCTTGCGTGGACATTAACAAGTGATAGACATAAAGTTGTGAGTGCAAAAGCAGAAAGACCAAGTGGTGAAGGGTTTGCAAATTTATGAGATGGGGCAACAGCTAAACCTGGATTAAAATTACCTCCAAAGGCAGCAATTAGTTCATGACGATGGAACATGGTATTCCCAATTTGTATAATGTTATCATCTGTAGATGATGTTCTGACACGAGCCA